AAAAAACGCATTTCGACAAAAGTGTCGCTTACGATAACTTGGTGGTAACGGCTCGAGATGTACAAAGTACCGTAGGCTGTAGGTGCAGGTAAAAGAGCAAAAAAAATATCAAAGGTAAAGATGTTTACTAGTGTTTACTAGTTGGAATTTGAAAGATTTTTTTTTCCGAAGTCTCTATTGTGGGGGCCCCTCGTTTGTGGAGGCCCCGGGGCCTCGCCCCGGTTGCCCTCCCCTAAATCCGGCAGTGCCCTGGATTACACCTGGAGTGCGTATGGCCATGCGAAAGCGTGACAAAGCTTTTCGCATTTATAAAAGATGCCGTACTGATTTGCATGGAATGCTTTTAGGATTGCTAGAAATCGTCGCAATCAGATGGTAAGAAAAGCTAAACGCCATTACATTCATAAGAATATCCTGGAATCTTCTCCTGCGGATACTTGGAAGTTTCTCCGTACCCTTGGCATTGGTAAATCACAACTTCGGCATAAGCCTTCTTTTCCGTTAGATGAGCTAAATAAACACTTTCCTTCTATTAAAACTCTTCTTACCAATGTCAAACTTTCTACTATCTCTGCTCTTTCTTCCAAGGTCCCCTAACAAATTCAGAATTCTGTTTCAATTTCTTAACTGAAGATGAAATCCGAAAGACAATTCTATCCATTAAGTCTAATGCTGTGGGTTATGATAATATAAGTCGAACTATGATCACTTCAGTGCTAGATTTTGTACTTCCTGTCTTGACTTATATATTTAATTTCTCCCTTACATCTGCATCTTTTCCTGATCTCTGGCGTACGGCCTTAACTATCCCTCTACCTAAAAACAAAAGTCCCACTTTGCTTATCTTACCTATATATAGCTAAAGCAAAGAATTACCATTCTTATCAAAGATCATTGAAGCCGCAGTCCACAAACAACTTATTTCATTTATTAATTCTAATAAACTTCTTTGCCCTTTTCAATCTGGTTTCCGTCCCGGCCATAGTACCACTACTGCTCTCACCAAAGTCCTTGAAGATGTCCGGGATGGCCAAGAAAATGATCGTCTGACACTATTAGTTTTAATTGACTTTTCTACTAGATATTAGTTATAATTGTTTTAATATTCAAATGAATATTTATTGTCAATTTTTATATAACTTATAATGTTCGTTACGTTAACGGCAATAAGGCGGATTGTTAAGAAAAATAAAACAAATGAATTATTCAAAAATATTAATTTTATTACAATTCAAAAACACTTATTAACACATATAAACAACAATAATGACTTATATTTATCCAATTTTGGCTTACCTTTTAAATACTTAAACTAAGATATAGAACGGATCAAAAAACAAATACATTGTTCTTACCATTCATCAATGTTGCCATATCAAATTTTAAATTTGGCAACAAAATAAATTTGACCCTAAACGAGTTTATAAAAGATCAATTTTGAATATATTTACAAGTAATTAATTCAGCTTACTGGATTTAGTTTTTGATCGTTTCTATCAAGAGTTGTATTGAGATCCGCTTCGCAAATGCACTTCGTTTCATTCACATAATAATTACAAATTAATACAAACTATTTCTTGCATAAGAACTTTTAAACTATAAAATCTGGTTGTTACTAATGTTAACATAATTAAAAATGGTTGTTTGTTGTTGTTTGGCAAATTGTAAAAATATATCCAATAACGAGTGGTAAGGAAAAAATGTTTGGACTATTCAAGAGTTATACTATACATCCAATTTGCATAAAGATATATTGATTTCTGAATGGGAAATCAAAAGTTGTACATTGCCCATTATCCGAACGCTGATTAACTGAATCGGTCCTAAATGTAAAATAAAAAAATAAAACCAAGTTATTTTTGTTTTGTTGGAACTCGCTGGAATCCAGATATATTTCAACTACTATTATGGTTGAAAGCTAGAGGCGAGACACTACATGTTTTGCGTCGCGCGGTTTTTTTTTGCTACCATGTACCTCTATTATTGTATTTAGTATTGTAGAACTGTGTTTGTTAAACTAAATAAGGTTTACTAGCAAACCAGTGAACCAAATGTTCACCAAAACCTGATTTCTCGAAAACCGGAAGTGCTACGTTACTCAAATCCGGTTTGTAGTCTTATCAGACTATTCTTAACTTATAACTTAAATATTCTCTTTATCTATCTCTAAACGGCCGCTGAAACAGCACCACAGACGGACGGACGGACTTGTCTAATAGATAAGAGATTCTATGTGTGACAGTTTGTTTTTCTTTATTACCAGTCTATGTCCGTATATCCGAATCGACCCCGGTCCTAATTAATTCGGATAATCGGCGATCTACTGTAATCAATTATAGCTCACTTGTAGCAAATTTGCTAATTCTCGATTCAACTAAAACTAGCTTAATTTAATTCGGATAATCGGCGTACTACTTCATATTGATTTCTGAATGGGAAATAAAAAGTTGTAATATCAGTATTCAACGGTGCAGAAGGCACGCTAAATCGTCTGTCCAGGGTGCATCTGCACTCGTTGGTGGGTGACCAATCCGCACTGGACCCAAGTGTTGAATTAATGTCTGTTTTCTCTTCTGATGGGAAGGCCTGGGGGCATTCGTCTAACGGAAATGCTTTGGAAAACGTTAACCCTTACGATTTCATTTTGTTTTTTCTAGCCGCCTGAGGTTTTCAAATGCCTCGCGCTCTTTTTTTTCTGCATTGGTAATAAAAATATTAAAGAAAATGAGCGTGAGGTATTTGAAAACCTTCGGTGATCAGAAATAACAAAATAAAATTGAAAGCGTTCGCGTTTTCCAAAGCATTTCCGTTAGGCGTATGGCCGCCTGGAGGTTCATTGCCTAACGTGTTATTTCTGACACCCCAAAGTTTTCAAATACCTTACGCTCATGTTCTTTAATATTGTTATTACCAATGCAAAAGAAGAAAAACGAGCGCGAGGCATTTCAAAACCTTCAGCGGTCAGAAATAAAAAAAGTTAAATCGTAGGCGATAGCAATCTCGTTTGGCAATTGGCCCCATGCTAAAGTATTAAACCCGTATGAAAGTTTTAAAATTACATAGTACAATATCAATCATTCACTCCACAAGATTCACTCTTAGGTTACCTACAATCAAATTGCAAAGGAGATCTCAAACCTTAATTACATTAACACTACGACTCAAAGACGTCAATTAAAATTGAGGCTCGTCAAACTGACGTGATTCTTTATTGAGCTTTAATCAGCTTAATAATGTCCTTGATCAGTGCCGTCTTTGACCTATTGGAGGCCCGGAGCATATTAGGGTAATGGGGCCCCTATGACTTCCGTTTGGTGATTTAACAGGAACTAGGGACTTTGTATTTGATCTGAGGGGGCCCTATCGATCGCGGGGCCCTGGGCACTTGCCCAAAGTGCCCACTGGGAAAGACGGGTCTGTCCTTGGTGGGTGGCCGGTAAAAATCAAGAGTTGTATTGAGCTTCGAATTTAACTAAAGATATTTTGCATCAAATCTTCTTAATTGTCGTCTGTGATTACGGCTGCTGTTAGACCTAGACATTCATACACATATCAAAATAACCTATAATATTATATTTAAAGCCAGTTTCTAATTAACTATACAAGGATTTATACTTAACTGACTATTACGTACTTACTGAAATATAGGGTATTCCGTAATACATACCAGTATACTGGCCAGTGGTAATGCCGTCATGGTTCGACGCTATCCTGGTGAATTGTTCCGAAATATATTGGCCAGTGCACTGACGTCATAATTCGACGAAATATTAAAAATAGTGCGAATAAAGAACATTTTTATTTATTTATCTTATCAATTAAAAGGAATTATTTTTGTTCGGATGCCATTATTGTTCTTTAAATAAAAAAGAAATAAAATTTGGATGCTTCTCACACACGCTCCGCCATACGTTTTCCCGGTAAAAATATGGTAGAATACCAGTACAATATGGCGTCGGATTCGTGACGTCATTAGCACTGGCCAGTATACTGATGTGCATTTCGGAATACACCCTTAATTAGTAACAATTTTAACGTGAACATATATCTTATGTTTACACGCATTACAATTATACTAATATTATCTCGGTATTACACTTCAATATTTGTAAATTAGACAACAGCCTTATCATGATTTGTAACTCCTCGTATCCTCGAAAGGTGACTTCATGAATCATCTCTGCCCCTCTACCATGACCACCGAAACGGGATATGATAAAGCGATATATAGGCATTAACTGTCAGACTACTATGGAGTTTGACAGTAGTCTGACAGTTAATGTCGATATATCGCTTTATCATATCCCGTTTCGGTGGTCATGGTAGAGGGGCTGAAGTCATTTTTCAATTTGACGACTCTGTAAATAATAAAACAGGTTGAAAAAAACAGCCCTTGCTGAGTTTCTTGCCGGTTCTTCTCAGAACAAGGTCTCCCGCCGTAGATTTACGAACCGATGGCGTAGCTTCTAGACATTCATGAGTGCTTGTAACAGCCTAAACTGAATAAATGTTTATGATTGATTATGCAAAGAGAATGACAAGGATACACTGTTGTCAAGTTTAGGTTTAGAGAATCATGGCATGAATCGACACCAGTACCTATTCGATTTCGAAAAATGTTTCATAGTAAGATTTTTCAAAATTTCGTTGACATTTGATTGAAAGAGTCATCTGTCGCAAGTTAATTTCATGGAGTAAAATAGAAATCTAACTAATAATTTTGAACAACAAATTAATTAAATACTAAATATAACGAAACGTTTTTCGAAATGGCGTAACGAAGACGCTTTTTATAACACGGAATGAGTTTGATACAAACTATGATTTAGATTTATACTGATTGTTTAGTTTAGAGTGCGACCAAGATTTAATTTTAGATCCTTTATTTTTGTAATGACAGTTTTTTGGACAAAATAACATATAAGTTAGGGTATATTAGGTAAAATTTTAACAAATACTTTTTATTTGTTTGATATAGATATGGTAAATGTGGTGTTTCATGCTGGGGCACAGGCCTTCCCTATGGATGGAATAGGGAGATTGGGCCATGACCCAACACGCGGGCCCAGTGCGGATTGGTGGGTGCTAACGACTGCAGATGCAGCCGGGACCAACGGCTTAACGTGCCTTCCGAAGCACGGAGGAACTCGAGATAGTAAATTTTTGGTCACCCATCCAATGACCGACCACTACGAAAGTTGCTTAACTTCAACGATCGCAGCCGAACGTGGTGGTGGTGTTTACCTTTAATTAATTGTAACATTGATATAAGTATCTCCGTGTCTATAATTGTAATTGCTTAAGTGTTACAATTGTTGGTAAGCCTTTTATATAAATAAATAATAAAAAAAGATCTGAAGGCGCGTAACTTCGTTTGACAGATGGAAGTGAGAATCACTAGAAGTGAGCTATTTAGTGATCCACTGCTGCTTCATTATAACCCCACTGAGATAATTGTTCTGAAAAGCATCAATAGATAATGCCATAGGAATTCTCTCCTAGTCAACCTGAAGAGTGTTGGAGACTTATGGTATGGCGAAAGGGCAAAATGCTTTATACTAGACATTTAGACAATAACGACGATAAAAATATAATTAATACTTAAATACTAAATTTGACACACATACATAAACTACTCTTATACAAATACAGGGTGTAAAAAAACCTATGACAGAGACTAAAACTACGCATTCTGTACACCCAAACAAGTAATATTACAAAATATTAGGCGTGGGAATCATTTGTATTTTTAAGTTAAAAAAATACATTTTTTTCCAGCAAAAGAATGTGCCTGTGTGTAAGTGTGTGCGTGTGTGTAAGTGCGTCGATAAAAAAGTTTCTAAATTAAGTTCTGAAAATATTAATGTATAAATCTTGAAAAAAAATTGTAACTTTGACCTTCAATATCTCCAAAACCATAAATTTCCCAGGTATGGTCCAGAAGAAAAATTATCGTCATGATGGGGAAAGTACGTGGCCTTCGACTCCGTTAAAGGTTTTTTTACACCCTGTATATACATACAATACAATACATCTGGGTTCCAAAACATCTTGGTCGCACTGCAGATGAAATAGTATAATTACTTAACTAATATAATCGTTAAATATCTTAAGCTAAGTGTTGCTGTCTCTTTCTAAATGTGTATCGCGGTTCTATGGTGCGAGGAGCGCGGTGAACTGGACACTGATTCTATGCAAGAATCGGACGCTTGTTCCGCCAATTCTGTTGTGATCTGCTCGGATAATATTAAATAAGTTAAGTCTTCATTAGGGGCTAATAATTTATTAGAAAGAACGAAAAATTATTTAATAGGGTATTTGACAGTGTTAAAAATAAAGTGCCAATTGTTAGCATCTGTTTTTAGAATGAATATTGGCAGGGGTTTTTACTATTTTTACAAAAAAATATTCATAATTTTACTAAAAACTAACGAAAAAGATAATAGTTTTCTTATCTATTGTCACGTGACGCAAAACGCTTGGGATTGGCGGAGCCTAAAATGACATCACACGCAAGTAAACTTCTGGTTAAAGTGACATTACATTGTATCGTTTGACGTTTTAATAACAGTCATGTGACGTCACACACTAGTAAGACGCCATATTGTCCAGAGAAACGTTAAAAAGGATATTCATCATTCTGTTGTGTATTTCAATTAAAATAACCAAATCATCAAGTGGCCTCGAAAACATTTCTCTGGACAATATGGCGCCTCACTGGTGTGTGACGTTACACGACTGTTATTTAAACGTCAAACGATACAATGATGATGAAGTTTACTTGCGTGTGACGTCATTTTAGGCTCCGCCAATCCCAAGTGTTTTGGGTCACGTGACAATAGACAAGAAAACTATTATCTTTTTCGTGGGTTTTTAGTAAAATTATGAAGATTTCTTCTGTAAAAATAGTGAAAATACTTGCCAATATTCATTCCAAACACAAATGCTAACAATTGGCACTTTATTTTTAATACTGTCAAATACCCTATTATTACACACATCTTTCATTTTGTAACTTGTCTTTATGTATGTGAGAACTAAAGTGCATATTATTTACTTGTTTTACTCTTACCTGTCTAAACGCAGGGCAGGCGGATCCCGGAGGCAGTCGTAGTGCAGATAGTGTAGCAGCCAAAGTGGATGGAGAAGCTCCCCCGGCCACTAATAATTGGACTAAACGGCCACCCATCTCTGTTCGGGCCGCGGCTTGACGACTTGTACTGTACAAAGAAAAATATATGTAACATTTCCAACACTCACCAAAGCTAGCACTGTAAGGCTTGTATTATGGGATGCTAGGGTAACGGATAGAATACATATACTGTACATTTATAAGTATGTTTATATAGAAATACATATTAAATATCCATGAATGGAGTACAAATGCTCGTATTCATCACACAAACATCTGCCCCCACCGGGATTCGAACCCGGGACCTTTCGAGTCGGCGACACCATGAAATCCGGCGTACAAACCACTCGGCCACGGAGGTCTTCTAAAATTTAATGTAAGCCGCAATCTATGAATGTAGTGTAAGCAGTATGTAATAGTTTTACTTACCTAGGGTGTAGAGCAGCGAGAGCCCTACAGGCGGCGACTAAACGGGGGCGGAGCGCCCCAACCCTAGCTCCTACGCCACTTCGGCCTTCGCCCTCCGCCCGACAAACTAGGCCTCGAACCTATGTAACAAAAATTAATTTCATTTTAAGTTACTGTTGCATGTTGGTATAACTTTTTTTTTATACGCAGGCAAAAAATACTATTTACAGACGACTGCGCCTCTAAGAGGCATACCGCCGTACGGACCTCACACCTGGCTCCCGCAAGCCTTATGAGCCCCAACAGTGGCTGCCCGCTGAGGACCCCGTAACCCTTACGGGCGCTTTACGGCATAATATCCGCTAAAAAACCCTGCGAACACCCTCTATGCTGCTTAGTGCGAAGCCGCGGGATCCCCGTTTAGGGATTCTTCCGCGTCTCCGCACCTGCTGTTGGTATACCTGCAGTTTTGGAGCCATCTGGTGTATTGCGTTCGGGTGGCAGACGACCAGATGGTATGCCACTTAAGCCTTGGAGTATGGAAAGGTGTCTGGTTTGGGATGCAACATGCGTTGATATATATTTTTATTCCAACTTATTGTAAGGGTATTTAGCCTGTAATAAACAACGAATTTATGTATATACCTAGTCAGGTCATAAATTCTGTCACATGTTTAATATAAAATAATTGAAACAAGTTTATTCATTATGTAACCATTTATATACCAAAATGAACTTAACAAAACGTAGATTCTTATGACAAAAAATGGGTGCGTGTACTTATGTAGGCGCGTGAGAAGTTATCCTTCTTTGGCATCGTTTAAAATTAGTTTTTAATTGCATGCAAATAATTAATTACAATAAATTAATAAAAAGTCTGGAAAAGGACACAGTCAATAAAGTTCAGTTTTAATTTGAATAAATAAATAATCAAAATATTCAATTAAAATCGCTACTGAATATAATTTATTAGAACATATGTGATTTGCACTTGTATGAAACTCAAACACGTATTCCGAATATACAAACTAGAAACATGTGGATAAATATTATAAATATGAATAACCTATAACTGTTACTTTATTACAAAAAATAAAGATGTGGTTTTTGGTTCTACTACACCAATGGTCAAGAGATGGCGCTGTAGTCTCCTGAATCGCGCTTTGGTTCCGTTGTTCCAGATTAATAAATACTTTTGTTAGGCCTTCACAATCCAGTCGTTAGCACCCACTAAATAGAGATTCTATTTCTATTTTGTTAATAGATTTTCTTAATGTGCGGTAAACACAAAAGTAACAGCATGAAGTTGGTCGCTTTAGCTATGCTGTTAATTTTTGTGTTACAGTGATGCGCGCGCATTTTAAAATTTCACTCTCATCATTTTTTCATAACGCGCCTAAAGAAGTATAACTTCAATAAAGTTTATTCAAAATGACCTCAGTGATTTTGAATACAGGCCTTCAATCTGCGCGGCCAGTCGTCTATCGCAGCACGAACGAGGTCCATGTCAATATCGGCGGCTGCCTTAGTCAAGGATGTCTTGAGTGACTACAAATTGGGATGAGGCTTTGAGCACGTCTTTTCCTCCAAGTGTTGCCATATCTTGTAATCTAACGGACTCAAATCTGGACTCAAATCCCACCAACCACCCATGGCCTGGCGAACCTTCTTGGTTATGCAGGCCGAAGCAGCGGGAGATACGCTCGGAATGGCCTCCACCGCGCGTACTTTCTTGACTTCCTACAAATTGTTCTTTATCTGTCTCGTTTGTCCCTATGGTCCCCTCCCCTTTCTGTGGCGGACGCACACGAAACACCTTCGTCGCAAATTCCAACCGTCCCGTGCCCACTACGAAGTGGTACCGCTAGCCTCCAGTATTACTCCCTGTCTTCTTTCTTCGCCTCTCTCGAGTCCACTCCGAATCCTGTGCCATCTACGCGCGAAGTCCCGTAGCTGCCTGAAGTTCGCCTCCGATCCCACAAGGTCGCGATAGTAGACCGGCCCAACCTCGAGCACCTTCACACTATCAAGAAGTTCCCTACGCGCCTCCCGGTAGAGCTCACACTCCCACAGAGCGTGGTATGCGTCCTCTACTTCTCCCTCCCCACAGTAGCACGACCCCACCTCCGCGAGTTTCATTCTGTGAAGTCTACCCCTGAAACAGCCGTGTCCCGTCAGCAGCTGCGAGGTTTCGTAGTCAGGCTCGACCCAAGTATACTTGAGTCGGGCCTCCACTTCCGGGAAAAACCGATATAGCTCCCTCCCCTGTTCCGACGTGTCCCAACGTCTCTGCCATTCAGCATTGACGGACTCAGTGACCCTGAGTTTGGCGCTCCGAAGCTCTTCAATGGTAACCGCGGGCTCGCGTGCATCACCTAGTCTGCCTGCCCGAGTTACCTCGAGGTCGGCCGGCAAGACGCCAGCCAAGACCGGCAAAGCGACAGAGCTCGTCGACCGGTACGCCTTGGTCAGAAGGATCAAGGCGGGTCTCTGGGTGCGCAAAAGCGCACTACGCACAACGTGAAGGGACGCACGCTCATACCAACATGCCGCAGCATACGTCACCGTGGCGATCTGGAGGAGGGCCAGTCTTCGTGCCGGATGAAGTCGATTTCACGATTTCGCAGCCAGTCTTATGTGCTCTTCGCTCTATGAGCTGGCGCCGAGTCTTGTTGGAATACCCAATGCCTGTTATTGAACATGGTATGAGAAACAGGTTCCACAAGGTTCGTCAGGACTGTATTTTGATACAACTGCATTCGTTTTTACACATTTCTTACAAAACTCCCAACCATACCATGAGCGAGGATGGAAAATGACCTCGTTGGACACGCGGAATACGGTTGCTCGCTTCTTCACTACTATGTGCGTACACCTTATCATTTTGTTTTATGTAGCTCTCTTCTACGGTAAAAATTTTATCATCCGAAAAAATAATTTCCCGATATTTTTTTCCCGCATACCGCTTCAAGAAAGCGCGGCATCTCTTCAGTCTCTGGTCCATTAGACGAGCATTCAAACGATGTCCTGTTTTTCTTCGATACGCCCGAAGCCCTAAGACTTCATTTAACACCCTTTCCACCGTGGTTCTGCTTAACCCCATCTGAAGGGCCAACAGTTTCTGCTTACGTTTGGAATTTCTTTGAATTCGCGCCTTCACAGCTTTTATCACTGCTGGAGTATAACAGACCGAGGGCGACCACTTCTTGACCTGTCATCTTCACTAGCCTTATTTGTATCGTTTGATGTTACGATAAACGAATCTTTTGGTTATATTCAAATTTCTCAGTATGTCAAAAATTTGAATTGGCGCGTAACCGCAACGATGCAACGCAATAACTGCAACACGATCTTCTTTAAGCGTCCACTCCATATTTAAAAATGAGTAAAATTGTAAAAAGTATACATTTTTATTTTCATGAACAATTCGAAATACGAATTCAATAAACTTTTTTGTGGCCAGCATTCTAAAAGAAAAGTTTTTACTGTGTGACAATACTTATGACCTGACTGTGTATATATATTTTATTGTTGTTATCGTTAAAGCAAAAGAAAAAAACTCAGGTTTTTTTTTTACTTATATTGTTTCTTTGTTTGTGGTATTGTTAACCGTGATTGTGTCATTTTTCTCCTTTTATTCTCATCAACCTTAGGCCCTGTAAGAATATCAGCGCCGCAGCGGCCTTGTGTGTCATTGTGCTGAGGCAGGGACCTAGTTGACCTTATTCTGTGTTTTCATTTATAATGCGATTCCACTAAGAATAGGACCGACTGGGCGCCATATTGTGATGTCATAGCTGTCAATTCAAACCAAATAGGTAGAGTGAGCAAAAAAAAGTTTTTTTTTATAACATTTATTTACTAAGATTGAGAAAAAAAAAACACCGATTTTTAATAATATTTATATATTAAGACTGAAAAAAAGGATTAATCAGAATCTAGCTCTTCTATTCCGCTCATCTCTGCATTACCGCCGGAGTAGTTATGAATGATCATGCACTATTACTAGGTCACATACGAACATGCATCCTTTATGTAAACGAAAGTTGAAATCGAGTTTCTGAACGCAACTTAAAGTGACATTTGGTTGATTTAGGTTATCAACCATTCATGTTCAATAAGTGTAAAAAAATATGTACCGATATTAATTATCAATATTTGTTATTGTTTGTTTACAAATGTTTGGTTTTTATTCTAGAATAAGCGGAGTGCTAAAAAAGAGTTCCAAGTTTTTTTTGCAAACCGTACTTTTCAAGCGACATTTGACAGATAGAGGTCATTGGCTTTCCTATTCTTATTTGAATCGAATTATATGCTTTTTTTCTATTTGTCAATGTTATTGGACAATAAATTATTTCTTTCTTTCTTTCCTTCTTTATTTATCAGAAATTTCTCGCTCGAAATTCAACGTTTTCTGTAACCGTGTATTTTAGCTGTAATAAATGATTGTATAACAAAACTTATGACGCTCACCTCTTCGCAGACGTGCATATAGTGGTACAAGGCGAGACCGCCACTCTCCCACTCGCTAACTTCGTCCCGCGACGCCGCTTCATTCAATAGTTCCAGTAGAGATGCTACGCTTTTCAGGTCGTCTGTAACAAACATGAACATAAGATTATTAAATCCTGTTTAATATTGTACACTAGCGGCTGCGAATCCGATATACGGAGATCCGTAGAAATCAATCAGAAATCAATATATCTTTAGTACAACTCTTTTGAATCGTCCAAAAATTTTTTTTCCCTACCACTCGTTATGGACATATTTTTTAGCTGCGGAGAAAAACGAGCGAAAAAAACTCCACAACATTAAAAGTCTAATGTAACAACATTTACAAATCATTATGTTGTTACAACGTCAATACAATTATGATTTATTTAATATAGAAAGCCTGTTGGAATGATTGGAACAGTTCAAACCCAAGCATTTTTGTCTGTAATATAATCAGACACTTCGTAATAAGCTTTTTTAATAAGTGTTTTTTTTATAATATCTTTAAATTTATTTATGGCTAACTCTTGGATATTGCTTGGGACTTTATTGTGTAAGCGAACACAAAGACCTTTAAATGAATTATTAATTTTGTGAAGCCTAGTAGCAGGTAAAGTTAGTTTATTTTTGTTTCTTATATTAATTGTGTGAACATCACTGTTTTTAAGAAACAAATTAATATTTTTTCTTACAAGGTAATAAATATTTTTTTTAAGTGTAGAAGGACCGGTGTGTACGACATAGCCCGAAGAGTTAGCACGCTGAAGTGGCAATGGGCAGGCCACATCGCTCGAGGATCTGACAACCGTTGGGTAAAAAAGGTCCTCGAGTGGCGACCACGTACCGGACGACGCAGCGTGGGGCGGCCCCCAACACGGTGGACTGACGACATCGTCAAATGGGACTGTTCAAGTATTACGTAAGCACTATAGGGGGGCAGGGGGGTCTTTGCTTTGCTTATTTTTGATGACATGTTGGGGTGGGGGGGTAGAGATGGTGATTACGTCAGCATCATCGATTAAGCCTTTTTAAGTACTGCAGCTCATGAAGCTCATGAAAGCTCATGAATCAATAAAAAAAACAGAATACATTAAAGGAAAAATGCATATAGGTACCCATGTTTACGTAAGGATGGGGGGGAGGGGTAAGAGCTTTGCTTACTTTTGCTGACCAGGGGGAGGAGGAAATAATTGTAATAAATCTGCTTACGTAATACTTGAACGGCCCCAATGTGCTGGGAGCCGCTGGATGCGGATAGCGCAGGACCGCGCATTATGGCGTTCTATGGGGGCGGCCTATGTCCTGCAGTGGACGGAGAAAGGCTGATGGATGGATGGATGGATGGCTGCGACTTCGTACATGTGGAGTTAGTTATTTGCACATACTTTTTGACCCCCGTTCTGTGCTCGTTCCCCGTAGGTGATAGCGTGATAATATGTAGCCTATAAGTTGACCCGACTTCTTAATAATATTCGTGCCAAATTTGAAGTGAATCCATGCAGTACTTTTTGAGTTTATTCAGGACATACATACATAAAAACAGACAAAACTTCTAAAAACTATATTTTTGGCTTCGCTATGTACAGTTTTGACTTTCCTACCATTTTATTATATGTATAGATGCGACTTTCCAAGCTTAAACCGCTGAATCGATTAGATGAAATATGGGATAGGGATAGTGTTGTTATAATGGTGAATGTATTTAGTTTGATGTCTCTGAACGCAGCAGCAGTTTGACAGCTCGTGTTCTTGCTCTATAGTTTTTTGCGTTTACCTCTCTCTATGGTCTTGCGAGTAAAACAAGTGTGCAGATTGTAATTTACTTATGCTATTAATCCAGTGTAATCCATCAATAAATAAGTGATTGTTATACTTGTGTCTGTCTATTAAACCCTGCAAAGAAGACCTTTACAAGTGTCGAGGCCGAGGCGGAATTTTTATCCCAGGCAACATTTCCATCCCTATTTTTTTAATGTTTCAAACATTCACACCAATAGCCTAGCTCCAAAGTAATCACGTTAAGGCCTTGTGTTATGTGATGTGAGATACTAGGTACATGGTGGAACACCCTTTAGGTGGTCCACCGTTAAACATTTTTTTTTATGATACATCATACAAATGAAATGAAATGAAAAGTCATTTATTCAGTCTAGGGTGTTACAAGCACTTGTGAAGGTCAAGAAGCTACGCCAACGGTTCGCAAAACTACGGCGGGAGACCTTGTACTGAGAAGAACCGGCAAGAAACTCAGCAAGGGCTGCTTTTTTCTCCCTGTATATATACAAAGTCGTCAAGTTAAAAAATGACTTCAGAGATACTTCTGAAGTCACCTTCCATTACATTATTTAGGATATAGTTAGATATATAGTTAATAAAATAGATACAACCCTAAATTTTCACCCTTCTACCACAAGCCCCTATTTTTTATGATGACCTCCGTGGCCGAGTGGTTTGTACGCCGGGTTTCATGGCCGGGTTCCAATCCCGGTGGGGGCAGATGTTTGTGTGATGAACACGAGCATTTGTACTCCAGTCATGGATGTTTAATATGTATTTCTATATAAATATACTTATATATGTACTGTATATGTATTCTATCCGTTACCCTAGTATCCCATAACACAAGCCTTATAGTGCTTACTTTGGGGCTAGGCTAATTGGTGTGAGTGTTGGAAATATTTATTTATTTATTATTATTATTACTAGCAAACCAGTGAACCAAATGTTCACAAAAACCTGATTTCTCGAAAACCGGAAGTGCTACGTTACTCAAATCCGGTTTGTAGTCTTATCAGACTATTCTTAACTTATAACTTAAATATTCTCTTTATCTTTCTCTTACGGTTTGGCCGCTGAAACAGCACCACAGACAGACGGACGGACTTGTCTAATAGATAAGAGATATTTGATTCATAACTCACCAGATAATACTACAGTAGGCAGCAGTTGTTCAATCAGTATGTTATGGGCGGCGTTCCATTGCCCCGCGGCCGCTAAGTGGTCAGCTTCGATGTTTGGTAAGTTCTGCAGCAATGTAAATACAGTATACATCATTGGTAAGTGGTTGGTTAAAAAGCTGAAAGAATTTTTTTTTTGTTTTTATTTTTTTTAAGCATTTAATTGCTAGATGTTTAAATCTAAAGAAAAGTTTTACTTATTACTATTTCTTCTTTCAAACGTTTAATACTTGAAAAAGTATTCATTTGACATTGTGAGTTACCTACAATGCGAAGAGATGGCGCTGCCTTGCAGCTTAAGGCAAGGAAAATTTCAACGTGGCCATCAGGGCCGTGGTAGCATAATTGGTCAGTGCATTCGCCCGGATTGCGAAGGGTGCGGGTTCGAGTCCCGTCCGTTGCCTGGTCCACGTGGATTTTTTTCTAGTAAAACTTTTCTTTAAATATTTTTTTACTAGTTAATATTCCACGCGGACCTGGCAGCAGACGGGATTCGAACCCGCATATCTCCTCCGCTATCCGGGCGGATGCATTGACTATTATGTTACCGCGGCCCTGATGTGTTTCTTATTCTTAGGGGCTGTTCATGTATTACGTAAGTACTATAGGGGGGCAGGGGGGTCTTTGCTTCGCTTATTTTTGATGACATGGGGAGAGTGGGGGGTAGAGATGGTGTTTACGTCAGCATCATCGATTAAGCCTTTTTAAGTACTGCTGCTCATGAAGCTCATGAATCAATAAAAAAAACAGAATACACTAAAGGAAAAATGCATATAGGTACCAATGTTTACGTAAGGATGGGGGGGGGGGGTGGGGGGGTAAGAGCTTTGCTTACTTTTGCTGACGAAGGGGAGGAGGGGGTAAATGATTGTAATAAATCTGCTTACGTAATACTTGAACGGCCACTTAGGTGCTAAAGTGATTCTAAGTTCACGTAAAGTACTCTGTAGCTTTTGATTCCCGTGCAAGTTTCGAAAATTTGCGGCATAAACGGCTGTATCTTTTGATTGCTTTGGCTTAGAAGTTTGATTTTTTTCACAGCTCCAAGGGACAGTAGACCTGAGTATTAGATATGAATTTCAGTTTGATACCTTTACGCGTTCCTGAGAAAAACGGTCTTGACAGACAGACGGACGGACGGACGGACAATAAAGTGATCCTATATGGGTTCCGTTTTTTCCTTTTGCGGTACGGAACCCTAAAAAATATAAATTAAAATCTGTTTACTTGATTTTGATTATATTTCAGAAAAATTAAACGTTTTAGGTATTAAGTTCATAATTTTTCACACTATTGTTATTTGCTGATTATAAAAGAGACTGGGCGAAAGTGGTCCAAGAACCAATACCAATACAATACCCTTAGTACGAGTTTGAGCTCACGAAAACTATCATAGTTTTCGTGACTGTAAATTATGTTTCTATGTCCATTTTGGTGAAAATTAACCCAATATACTTAAAATTTACGAAAATGCAAATGATTTAATGATAGAATTTAAACACTGTTTATTTGTATTGAAAGGAAATCAATAACATCAGTACCTTAGTACGAGTGCGAGCTCACGAAAACTGTCGTAGTTTTCGTAATTGTAAAACTCGTACTAAGGGTACTGTTGTGATATTATTGTAGGGTACACTTAATTTGTTATTTGTTACTCAAACAAAACATTACATTTCAACATACAACAATGGCTGTATCTAAATACCCTTAAAGATGGGTTTATATTTCTACAGCGATTCTCTCACATATCATTATTTACATACATTATACATCTTATATATAAAATTCTCGTGTCACAATGTTAGTTACCATACTCCTCCGAAACGGCTTGACCGATTTTTATGAAACTTTATATGCATATTCACTAGGTCTGAGAACCGGCTACTATATATTTTTCATACCCCTAAGTGAAGTTGTCCACCCCTAACATTTTTGGTTTATTATTTTCATTTTTTTATAATGTGGCATTAAAAATAAATACAGCTCTAAATTTTCACCCTTTTACCACCCATATTTTTATGGCGATACGAATTTCGCTGGGTCAGCTAGTAATTATGTAAAACACTAACTACATATATGAATTTTCTTCTTTTATCTCTAAAATCACACTAATATTATAAAGACGAAAGTTTGAATGTTTGTTACTTCTTTACGCGTTAACGGCTGGAGCGATTTTAATAAAGTTTTTTCTCATATGCCACCTATAAGGGAGCGTCCATAAATTACGTGAGATATTTAAGGGGAGGAGGGGGTCGAGTCAAATCTCATCTAATCTTACGTTGGAGAGAGGGGGGGTCTCGGCAAATATCACACAATTTTTTTTCACAGTAGTATCTATTAAGTATTCTATTGTTAAATTTTTATTACACTTATAACTCTCAGCAATATTGATTACTAGTCTTAACTAGTTGTAAATAAAAGCACGAAGCATTTTTTTTTTCTTTTTACAATAACAATCCAAGGCGTTTACGAAAGAAACCCACATTTTGAAAAATCTCACGTGAGATTGGGGGATGGGGGAGGGGGTTGAATAAAATCTCACGACATCTCACCAGGGGGGGTGGGAGGGACAAAAAATCCAAAAAAACACCTCACGTAATTTATGGACGCCCCCTAACATAATAAAAACGGCTTGTTCTAGTTCGGAAGTATTGGTTCATAGCTTCGGTATTGGGGGCGCCACGAGTACCAAACGTGACAGAAGTAGCGACCTCTAGCGGAAGCAACGGAAAGAAAACGATATACTCTCTCATAATGGACTTCGGACGTTAAGGAAACATAAGGTTAAATTTGAATATAAATTATCTCTACATTTTTCTACGGGTTAAATCCAGTGAGTCGGGTAAACGGTAAACGGGTTAGTCTTACTTGAATCGAGATTTAGTAAATTCACTGCAAGTGCGCCAAAATCATTACAACTATTACATATTAAATTTCCAACTTCTTTTTCAAGACTTTCAAGACTATGCAAGCTGGTAAATGAATACACAAAAAAAAATGTTCAGCTTGATATTTTCTGGGACTCACCTGACAAGCTTCAGTCTAGTTTATATATGTATTTGTCAGAAAATAGTACCTAAAAATATTAAAGTGAAACTTCTTTAAAATTTACCGTCACATTTTCGGTTACGCGTCACATTTTTCCGTTACGCGCCATCTTTTTTTATATTAATAGTTGATAGCTGAATGATCACACTGTCGCCGGCGAGAACTCTCTCTACTCGTTTGTAGCTGAGTGAAAATAGTTATTAAAGATAAGACTCGCTCAGCCAAACTCGCGTAGCGATACTCGCTCACGATACTCGCCCAGCGATACTCGCTCAGCAATTCTCGCTCAGCGATTCTCGCTCAGCGATACTAGCTCAGCGATACTCGCTCAGCTATACTCGCTCGGTTAAGCTGGCTTGGCTGTCAAAAGCCGTGCGCGTGCATTTTAACTCAGGACTGCCAATTCGTTTCCAGTTTCTACTCGCTTATCGTTCATCGTCGGAGGTGGAACATGTGCCTTAGATTACTGAGCCGTGTAATCATAACAGTTTCATAGGCAGTAATTTGTATTCATGTCTATGATAATAAAATCCTTATTTTATTTATTTTTTAAGCATTTAACTGCATGATGTTTAAATCTAAAGAAAAGTTTACTAGAAAAAATCCACGCGGACCAGGCAGCGGACGGGACTCGAAGCCGCATCCTTCGCTATCCGGGCGAATGCACTGACCATTATGCTACCACGGCCCTATTAGCCGCGTCAAAATTTTCCTAGCCTTAAGCTGCAAGGCAGCGCCATTTCTTCGCATTGTAGGTAACCCACAATGTCAAATGAATACTTTTTCAAGTATTAAACATTTGAAAGAAGAAATAGCAATTATAGTTATGATTTTATTTATTTTTTAAGCATTTAACTGCATGATATTTAAATCTAAAGAAAAGTTTACTAGAAAAAAATCCACGCGGACCAGGCAGCGGACCGCCCGCATCCTTCGCTATCCGGGCGAATGCACTGACCATTATGCTACCATGGCCCTATTACATATATATATTACACACACATATATATATATATATATATATATAAGTATTTGTTACACTTGAACTTTAAACAACTCAAAATGTTTGCGTTACTATTTTTGGTGTATACAAATGCTGGTAAATCAATAAATGATAAAAAAAAATCTTACCTCATACTTAGCTCTGTGCGCTTGCGCCAATCTAACCCATTTCTGGGGCACTTTCAAGTTGCTTATGAGTTGCATACGAGTTGACAACTCACTGTTGTCTGCGGCACTGGGCGCGTGACGGGATAACACGCCGCGGACTAGGTGACCGCGTCTGTATACAGTTACATATATTTTATAAATAAAACTAGTTTTTACGGGTTAATGCACGAATGCACACGTTTTTACGGGTTATCACACACTGCAAGACCATCAGATACTATTAGTTCTTTTTGTTTGCATAATTTAACATAAGAAGGAGATAGAAAGCCTCTCCTGAGTTTGTTTCGCCGGTTCTTCTCAGAAAGGTCTCCCAATTTTGGAACCGGTGGTAGTTTACGGTAGTTAGGGTCAAATAAATAAACTCAAAATTACAAAAAAGAATTTTAAATAAAATACTTTATTAAGTAAATTAAATAATAAATTCATACATAGACAATAAAACTTTAAAAATGGAACAATGAAATAACCGAACGCTCAATAAAAGTCTTTCGAAAGTAGCTCGAAAAATTAAATAAAAGTTTTATTCTGACAACGAAGCCTGTAAAGGCTACGAAACGTCAATAAATAAATAAAATTCTCTTGCATTAACCCGTAAAAACTAGTTTTATTTAATGAGTGATGTGCGTGAAAACCTAAGAAACAAATATATATTTTATAATTTATTTGTAAGAACCACAAACAAGTTTACATTATCACTAAACCTAAGATTACCTTATAATAAAACTAGCAGCCCGCTCTCGCTTCGCTTCGGTGTAGAGCTGAAGTGTAGACTACATACAGTTTTTGTTCTCAGGCTTGTATTATACACAATGACATTCATCTATGATTCTTCTTATAGCTGCATGCAAAGTCTCAGCCCGATCGGTTTAAAATTGACAAAGTTTCATACAAACTTTCATTCCCTATTTTATCCCCTTGGGGGTAGAATTGATCAAAATCCTTTCTTAGCGGATGCCTACGTCATAACATCTACCTGCATGCCAAATTTCAGCCCGATCCGTCTGGTGGTTTGGGCTGTGCGTTGATAGATCACTATATCAGTCAGTCACCTTTCAGTTTTATATATAAACCTAACAACAATGGTCTCATCTTAATTAGACAAGTATTTAAAACTGAGGATTCCATATATTAGCGTTTAAACTTAGCTTAAAAGAAAACAAAAAAGTCAATAAAATATGCTTTTCATCTAATTATGCCTCCTTTCTAATGAGATTAATCTAATATATAAAATTCTCGTGTCGCGATGTTTGTGGTTAAACTCCTCCGAAACGGCTTTTCCGATTCTCATGAAATTTTGTGTGCATATTGGGTAGGTCTGAGAATCGGATAACATCTATTTTTCATCCCCCTAAATGTTAAGGGTAATCCACCCCTATTTTTTATTTCTTTTTTTTATGATACAGTAGTAGTAAATACATATAACCCTGAATTTTCAACCCTTTACAATGAACCCCTATTTTTTTTATGACGGTACGAAGTTTGCTGGGACAGTTAGTTTTATATAAAAATCAGGTTTAACCACTTTAGTCTACGAATAATATAATTACGATTATCGGCATATATTTATTTAATAAACAATCTAAAATAATGTTAAGGATTCAATATATATTTATATGTGTGTGTTTATATTGTAGGACTTTAAATCTTACTATACAGGGTGGTCCAATTAGTGCCGTCAATATTTTTTTTAGATTCTTCGCAGCTGGGGGTATCCGAAAATACCCGATGTATATTCCGCGATTTTTCTTTGTTTTCGAGTTATATTTTTTTTGTGTATTTTTAATGATTTCTGCCAGCGAGGTTTCAAAAATTCATATCTTTTTTCGTAGTAGGTATTTTGCAGTCTTTTTTTGTGACATAACTGTCTTGAATGTTGTTGTAATAAAAAAAAATAACTGAGCTTCCTGAAATTACTTAAAATTTAGTCAATATATATAAATTATATTTACTCACTGATTCGCGTCAGGGTGGTAATACAAGGCCTGTATTGCCAAATGCCAGAGACCACAAGCTTCCAGTTGCGATGCAACTCCAGTAATGCTCTCCACTGTCGGGTTGCCAAACCATGTACCAAGCAGGAAACTATAATCATAATCATAATCAAAATCATTTATTCAGTTTAGGCTGTTACAAGCACATATGAATGTCTAGAAGCTACGCCATCGGTTCGTAAATCTACGGCGGGAGACCTTGTACTGAGAAGAACCGGCAAGAAACTCAGCAAGGGCTGTTTTTTTCTCCCTGTTTTATTATTTACAGAGTCGTCAAATTGAAAAATGACTTCAGAGGTGATTCATGAAGTCACTTTTCATTACATAATTATTAAATATACATTAATTGTTTACCTGCATTTTGATTGCTGTGTCATACAGTATAAATACAAATAGTGTTATTTATATTCAGTGTGACTAAACATTAACTTCAATATTAAGGAAGTTAGGGCAGACTCATCTCCGCTGGCAGCACCCGTTCACGAGCATGACGCATGAACCAGCCATCGCTTCGCTCAACCATATTTTAGGGAACGTAACGACCCGCCTCACACGACACCGCCGAAGAGACTATTATGAGAGCATGACTACCCATAACTACCCATACTAACTACAACATATTTACTTAAATTAAGGTCATTTACCAGTAAGACACAACAAACAATTACAAAACAAAGCAAAGGAGAAATCACGACCACGCCGTTTTGTCAATCAAATATTCTTAAACAGTCTGGTAATCTTACTTAAGTTATTAACTTTATATACAGCTTTCAGTTTAATTATAGTATTGTCAACACATAATTCATAATTTAAATCATATAGAAATACCCGTTGGAATGGTTGGAACAGTTCATACCCAAGCATTTTTGTCTGTAATATAATCAGACACTTTATAATATGCTTTCTTAACTAGTAATTTTTTAATGGTCGATTTAAATTTAGTCATGCTTAACTCTTGAATATTGCTTGGAACTTTATTGTAAAAGCGAACACTAAGACCTCTAAACGAATTATTGATTTTGTGGAGCCTAGTAGCAGGTAAAGTTAAGTTATTTTTATTTCTAGTATTATATGTATGTATTTCACTATTTTTAGTAAACAAATTAATATTTTTTTTTACAAATACTAAGTTGTCATATATGTATTGTGATGCAACTGTCAATATACCTATTTCTTTAAACTTATCTCTTAATGAATCCTTAACTTTAAGATTATAAATTGATCGAATAGCCCTCTTCTGCAGCACAAATATAGTTTGAATGTCGGCGGCATTTCCCCACAGTAAAATACCGTAAGACATTACACTATGAAAATAACTAAAGTAGACTAATCTGGCAGTTTCTATATCCGTTAACTGCCGTATTTTCATTACAGCATATGCTGCAGAACTAAGTCTCTTCGACAATCCATCAATATGTGGGCCCCACTGCAGCTTAGAATCTAGTGTGATTCCTAAGAACACTGTGGTATCTACAGAGCTCATATGTCGATCCTTTATATTTACATTAATTTTTACCTGTTTCACATTAGGTAATACAAATTTCAAACACTTAGTTTTCCCTTCATTTAGCATCAAATTATTAACATTGAACCAATGGACTACCTTCGAAATAGACCTGTTCACGTCATCAATTTGTGACTCCCTACGTTTAATTTTAAACAAAAGTGAAGTGTCATCCGCAAACAATACTATTTCGTGGTTATCCTTTACAAAATAGGGCAAGTCATTGATATAAATTAAAAATAAGAAAGGACCAAGGATTGAGCCCTGCGGAACTCCCATCTTAACCGACGAACCAGGAGATTTTACTCCATTGATGTCAACCCTCTGAACCCTATCACTCAAATAAGATACAATAAGATCCAGAGTGGTATCTCTAAATCCATAGTGGTGAAGTTTCCTGATCAATGTTTCATGAAAAACGCAATCAAAAGCCTTTGATAAGTCACAAAATACACCTAATGCATCTTGCGAGTTCTCCCAGGCATCAAAAATTTGCTGTACAAGCTCAACACCGGCATCGGTTGTTGAGCGACCCCTTGTGAAACCAAATTGTTTACTATGAAGAATGTTATTACTATAAAAATATGATTGCATTTGATCTAGCATAATTTTTTCAAAAATCTTACTAAAGGTGGGTAACACGGATATAGGTCTAAAGTTTGTGGGGTCAGATGTGCTACCCGATTTATGTAATGGAGTTATTTTACTGAGTTTCATTAGATCAGGAAAAACACCACAGTCAACACATTGATTAAAAATGCTAGCCAAAATAGGAGCTATTGTCTCAATTACTGATCCAGAAACATCCACGGAGTTACCCCACAGATCCGCAGTTTTCTTTTTATTTAATTGGTTGAAATATTTTATTACATCTTTACAGTTAACATACTTAAATTTAAATTGACTAGTATATTGTTTTGTGTGTTCTTTTAATATTGATTCAGCCGCAATGGGGGACGAGTTCAAAGATTTTGTAGTTGAAACTGGAATATCAGTGAAAAAGTTCTCAAATGCTGTAGCAACTTCAACATCTGATGTAACATTTCTATGTTCAATGTTTAAATTAAAACTAGTATTTCGAGTTTTAGATTTTCCAGTTTCATTGTTTATAATGTTCCAAGTCATTTTGATTTTGTCATTACTATTCTTAATCTTACTACTTAAATAATTTGATTTTGCTGTACGACATACTTTTTTAAATAACTTTGAATAATTACGTACGTACTCTTTGAAACTTTCACTAGTATTAATGCTGCGTTCATTGTAAAGTTCATAAAGTTTCCTTCTACTTTTATGTATGCCTGGGGTGGCCCACTCGCTGAAAGTTACTGCATCACTAACACATATGGTTTTGGGAACAAAGACATCATTAAATTCTTTACAAAAATTATTAAAAAAATCATTATACATATCATTTGGACTACTTTTATATTTTAAATAACTCAAACTCCTATCTAATTGAATTTTAAAACGCTCTATACGGTTAACAGATTTTGGCACAATAGTAATATATTTCTTGGTGATATTTTTATTTGGATGAGGAAAAGTAATCATCTGGCCACAATGATCACTATCCAGTTGATTAACAATTACTTTTGAATGTGGTATTATATCCGTATAAATATTGTCAATACAAGTGGCCGAAGTGGCAGTTATTCTAGTAGGCTCCATGAACAAGTTTTCAAGATTATATGATTGAAATAGATTTCTTAAATTAATACTCAAATTAGAGGTTTCTAATAGATTAATATTAAAGTCACCACAAACAATTAATCGTTTACCAGTGTTGACAATTTTTTCTAAAGCTTCATCCATAATAGTTTCAAAACAATCATACAATGCTGAAGGAGGTCTGTATACACTCAATACAACAAGCTGGTCCAGTTCCACACAGGCAATCTCTATTGTTCGCTCAACCGAGAGGCTCACAATATCTTTACGTTCCTTAAATTTAAGTGCCTTATTTAATAAAATTAAAGAGCCACTGCGAATCGCATCTTCTCGACTGAACGAACTACCAACCTGATGATTATTAAAATTAAAGATGAATTGATGACTTTTAAGCCAATGCTCTGTGATACAAAATATATCTATATTGTATCAAATATATATGAAAAAAAAGACAATAGCTGTCAGAAAAAAATAAGGCCAATCGCAAACATGTACCAAGTAACAAAAATTAGGCTAATTACTATTGCGATATAATAAAAAAAGTGCTATTGTTAGCTGTTATGTGACATAGAAGAGCAAATAGTAAACCAAACCAAATTGAACTAAATCAACTTTTAAAAAAATCATGCTCAATTGTCAAATTACTGTGAAGCTTGACAGTAGCCCAAAATCGATCTGAGTGGTGTGCAATTGGAGAGGCCTATGTCCAGCAGTGCACTAGGATAGGCTGTTGATGATGATGATTGACAGTTTAACGCGATAAAAAACGTAAGAAAATGTAAATTGTGGTGCTCATGCTACGGTTAGATTACTGTACTTACTGTCAACATCCATAGTGATTCGATAATTGAGCGCGATACAAACGAACTATATATCATACCCAGGTGCTATCATCTGGTGCTAATAGGGGCAGGACGAATTTATTCTAATAAATATTTTCTTTATATACTTGTCGAAGGGGCGAGTGGGATAAGCGATTGGCCACGTGGTTCGTCTTGATCCGCCATCTTGGTTATTCAATGATATTTCCCGAAAATAAAACTGTAGTCTAGTGACCAAGCTAACGTTCAATTTGAATGTTCTAATCGCTTTACAAAATCAGCAATGATTGCAAAGGTACAAATGGATTGCTATGTGAAGCGTGGAGAGTTCTGTACTAACGTCCGTTCACTATCGCGGCTGAAGTCTGAATGCCGAATGCCCCTTCCAAATGAAGCATAGCCCCTTAAATACTACCCTTAGCATAGACCACTCCCAAGTGATGACAGCTGACACTGTCATTACTTGACGTTTCACAAGGCAATGGTACTCTGACTGATGACATTTGTTGTCGGTTTAACGTTTCGAAGGAGCGAGTGAGACGCCATCCGCCGACATACTATAGTAACTTGTTTTAAGTCAGTACACATTTATTACTAGACTCACCATAAACTGTAATCCAGAGGATCCGGGGTATATGAAGCTGGTTGTAGTTTAGGTCTAGTATTGTTCGCTCGAGCCCTTATCAATTCGTAGCGGAGATCAAAAACGCGGTGTTGTTTACCGTTCTGGAACAATAAGAGTATTACAACTTTTTTTAAAGTGTCGCAATTAAATTCTGAATAGCTAATACGCTACTAAAACAACATAAAAAAAAAATGTGTGCGTGTACTAGTGTACACACGTAAGAAGTGAAACTTCTTTATGGCCTTATTTTTTTCGAAAAATGAACTACATGCAACTTTCCAGAAATATATATATAGGCGTGCGCTAAGATTTTTCAAAAACTCACCCACTAAAGGGGTATAACTACACCTTACCTTACCTTACCTTGTGTGAAACATGAATATTTGGTGTCGATACTTTTTTTTTAAAGTTGACAGAAGAAGCAATTGTTCGGATGAGGTAAATAGTGCTCTTTTAAAAAAAAGATGGCATTTGCCCGCGTAGTTAAACAAAAATCGCCGAACGCAGTGGATGCCATATTGCTACGCGATCTTGACGTCATTAGTACTGTAAATAATTGCGTTACCTTGGTTACGGAATTATTAAAGTACTGAGTTGACAGCTGACACTTTGGCATATACCAGCGGTGTGACGTTATAATATGGCGGCTACGTCTACTATTTCATAGTATTTTAAAACAAATGAAAAGAACTCAACACTTTCATTAAATTTTAAAATGCATTTTGTTATTTTATGAACTGAGACTCCTTTTTGCCTAAACTAGCTTTATAATGTTACATATAAAAATCTCGTGCATTTTAGGTTTTTCTTAACGAGTTGCATTTTTTATTGTTAACCAGTAGAGGTAGAATTGCACTAGTTAAATTTGGAGGAACCAGATTTTCTGTCACAGGTGTGTTTACACTCAAAAGAGGATCTCAACTACCAAGTCATGGATGTTTACATATATTTCTAAGTAAAAATATACTACCATATGTATCAGAACCAGGAACTCGATGGCGCAAGTAGTTAGCGCGTTCGGCTGCGATCGTTGAATTTAAGAAACTTTCGCAGTGGTCGGTCATTGGATGGGTGACCAAAAATCTTCTATCTCGAGTTCCTCCGTGCTTCGGAAGGCACGTTAAGCCGTTGGTCCCGGCTGCATCTGCAGTCGTTAGCACCCGCCAATCCGCATTGGGCCTATTCCATCCATAGGGAAGGCCTGTGCCCCAGCAGTGGGGACATTAATAGGCTGATGATGATGTATCAGAATATGTATTATATTTTAGTTAGAGTTTTATACCCACCTCATCCAACTGATACTGCTCCATATAAGGCGGTAACGGCGGCTGCATTCCCATCTCATCCACCTTCAGTATATCCACCATCTCTTCATCATCAGAGGACGCGCCGAAGAAACCCTCGTACGTGCTCACCACTCGTTCTATTGAGGGGATTTGTGGACACAAGTATCTGGTGGGAGAGCAAATGGGAATATTTCATTTTGGCACTGGACATAACAGCAGGGGCGTTAATTTTAATACCCCCCCCCCCCCCGCACTTGCGTTTTGTCCAAAATATTGGTTAGTAACGAATTCGTTTATATGGCTAATAGGCAATGGGCCTCTTAACCCTAGGGTGAATAAAACAGTGATGAATTTCGGTGATTTTGGTTCTGGTTGCTGCCATACGAGTGGAGGGAAAGTATTTCAAGATGACACTTCATTGCACGCAAATAATCTGTGTGCGTAGGCGAGCATTTCAATCTCATCTGAAAACCCGCTAGTCTTATTCATTAAATAGTTTTTAATTTATTTTGTAACTTTTCACTTTATCTATAGTAGAGGCTTTTAAAGTGTGTACAGTCGTGGTTATAAAGATATGAGGTGACAAGGTGGTCAAATACATGTTAAATGCAAAGTTTTTTCAATTATATCTTTGCATTTACAGTTATCTTAATATTGTACACAACCAACCAGTCTTATATTTCTTTAGATCAAAAGTCACCAAATACATATATACCATTGCAATGATCTTAAATATGTACGCGTAGTAACTATTGATTGGTATCTAAGCGCTATAAATATCTTCGCTTATATAGATAAATCAATTTTAAATAAAATTAAAGGTATATAGCACACATATCAACTCGAAAAGGCATCGTCATCGTATCAACTCGAGCCCTTCAGTATTATTCAGTATGAAACTCCATCCAAAAACTCGACCTATTCCTTGAAAGGGGTTATACTAGAGATATTGCCAACTAATTAAGTCCAGTAAACTAGGGGTCAAAACTGGATAATTATAGAGTTGTGAGAATTCTTCGATTTTTTAGAAATTGTCTGACTTGCTGCCAAAAAACAATAATTGTGAATAAACTCCTTCACTCTAAACATTGAATTGATACTTTTCTGAAAGCTGAAAAATTAGTGGTCATTTAAATAAAAAAAACCCGAAACTTTCACAATTTCAGTAACAAAAAAATATAATTAAATTGCACAATAGGAACAAGGAATTGAATGAAAATAAGAATTGCACAAATTTTAACTATAGAAATATATTTTGTTTACTAAAACATTGTACATGTAAACTTAAACTTAACACGAGAGACTCATCGTAACGTTACCGAGCGTTACACTTTTTCATAAGTGACTCCCAGCCGCAACCTAATTTAAGACGTTGTCACGTCAATAAATTTATAATAACTTGATACTCAGTGTATATTATGTTCTATTGTATATTTTGTTTTGTCGTTATAATATTTACCTGGCCGTAGCGTGCAGTGCTCTCAACCAATCCACTTCCGTCAATTTGCCCAAAGGTTTCGCCTCTCCGGCCACCAATCTTAAGGATTCCAGTCGATGAGACGATATTAAGGAATCAGCTCCGCATTCACGCCACTGGGACAACTGGCGGGACACTAGACTGCGGAATGTGGGGTCGCCTGTATGATAAAATAAATAGATAAATAATATATCTTATCATATTGGGGGCTGTTCAAGTATTACGGTAGCACTAAAGGGGGGCAGGAGGGGTCTTTGCTTTGCTTATTTATGATGGTAGAGATGCTGATTACGTCAGCATCATCGATTAAGCCTTTTTAAGTACTGCTGTTCATGAATCAATAAAAAACAGAATACATTAAAGGAAAATGCATATAGGTAATAATGTTTACGTACGAATGGGGGGGAGGGGTAAGAGCTTTGCTTACTTTTGCTGACGAGGGGGAGGAAGGGGTAAATAATTGTAATAAATCTGCTTATGTAATACTTGAACGGCCCCTTGTCACAAACGCTCTCGAAACGGAACCGCGAAAGTGCTAGAGATCGAATGTACTAGAGCACCGCGGGTCGCGATATAGGTCGAGTAATGCGGCTCATTCTAAAATGAGCCTTATGCAATGCGGCGTAAGGGAGGAAGTGCAACGACATCTGCACTTGTTTACAAGTTATGCGCGTTACCTGCGTAGGTATAAGTAGGTACTTTGTACTCGCGGGTGCTAGCTAATTCTCAATTTCACAAGTACTTTCTAGAATGCGTCGATCGGCGTATATAAGCGCGATTGGCGCCGCGCAGAGACAGTTGAGTTTCAACAGCGATTTCGGAGCGAATCCAAAGGCGATCAAAGTGCAATCAAAGTGTTCAAGTGCAATTGTTTAGAGACTTGTATAGTGAAATACAGTGTTTAGTGAGTGTTTTGTAATTAACATTGTGTGTTAATTGTGTAAACTGTGTAGTGAATAAAGAACGAAGCGTGAACTGGCATATAATTGCGTACCCCATCCCGACACGTAACAATATCATCATCATCATCAGCCTATTAATGTCCCCTGCTGGGACACAGGCCTACCCTATGGATGGAATAGGGAGATTGGGCCATGAACCACCACGCGGGCCCAGTGCGGATTGGCGGGTGCTAACGACTGTAGATGCAGCCGGGACCAACGGCTTAACGTGCCTTCCGAAGCACTGAGGAAGAGGAACTGATAGAAGATTTTTGGTCACCCATCCAATGACCGACTACTGCGAAAGTTGCTTAACTTCAACGATCGCAGCCGAACGCTCTAACTACCTGCGCCATCGAGCTCCTCATATATCTTACATCGACACTAATTAGACAGTATGATACATAGCTATATACAATCAAATATAGCCTAGCCCTAAAGTAAGTACTGTAATGGCGCAATTAAAGTTGGTCGTTAACCCGAATACGAGTACCAATGGAATTCGGGTAAAAGACTATGTGTAAATGAACGAAAACGGGTATTCGGGTAGATTTCCTTTTAAAGAAAATATAACTAGAAAAAATTCCACACGGACTTCGGAAGTAATTGCTTACCCGATGCTTGTGCCAGTAACGCTGCCATGTTGAGGTCGTTGTGTTGGCGTGCCAGTCGACAGGCAGCTGGCAATCTTCCGCCAAGCAGCAGAGTCCAGATTCTACTACTGTGGCCATCGTCTTCTACGAGAGTTAGAAACAAAATCACAGATAAATATAATGACCTAAACAACACTTGCATGAAATCGACAACTCGCTACAAAGAGAGAAAGTATTCGAATTATTAGACACACGGTTGCTTCGTCCCTTTGAAAGAGAGAAAATGTATTTATTGGCCATGCACGCAAATACATATCGCACGTCACAAACAAAAGGGTCAACAAAAACAGTGCTTTGAGATATCGCGTTTTGAAGTTTTAAAAAATCATAGAAGCGGAACTACTTGTTCAAATGTTTAAAATGATACCTTGATTTAAACGTACATTAACCTTCTTTGTGTTGAGTAAGTTTAGTTAGTGTATCAATAGTAGTTTTTATTTTAACCGGACGAAAATAACATATTAAATAAAATTGAACAGTCCAGAGGGTATTATTTTAAAGAAAACTTCAAACTTGTATTAATCCGAACGGGCAATAGGGTATTAACTTAATACTGTTTAGAATACTCACAATCATAAATTTTACCTAGAAATTGACGACATGTGTTTCTATAATTCAAAAACTATTCCGAATTAAAATACAATTATCTTACCAGTTTATAGTGTAAAAAATGTAGTTTTCGAAACGCAAATAAAAAAATTAATGGTTGTGCCGACTTAATACCCTATTGTTTGTGATGTGCGATATGTAAAAAAAAGAAAAAAAGCAATGAGTAAAAAACAATACAATTAAAACAAAACAAGAGAAATACAAAGGAAAAAGAAGAATGGCCAATCAGGACCCTGGCTAATGCTGTTATTGTGGGAACGAATATTCCCACCATAACAGCGGTATTCTGGCCTTTCACACTCAGACCGGGAGCTTTATTTTTGGATCACTCGCCTTGCGGCGAACGCTCTCTTTCTACTAATTTTCATTCGATATAATTAAATCCGTATTTTTGAATAGCTCGAGTGCAACGAATGGGTGAGACCACTCGTTGCATGGCGAATGGTGGAGGCGAATGATAGAATAATTGTCAAATTTGTGTCAGACGTCACGTTAGTGTCAAACTTATACTTATTAAGATTTCGTGTGTGATTGGATTTAGCCCATGAGTAAAATAAACTATTAGAAACTGCTTTGAAATGAGTGTTATGACGTTTGAATTTTTCAAATGCCGGCACTTTACTTTGCTATTCATTTTGCTATTAGACGACGATAATCTATCCTTGTCATGCTTTATATGAAACGACAAGCGCAGATTGACGTCAAGTTTCTTCTTCATTTATTACGGCATGACGGCTAATGCATGTCAAGTTTACAAACAGCAATCACGAACAGTAAAGTGAAGTGCCGGTAATATAAACAACAAAATACAATTGTATTATACAGCCATGTACTAAGAATTTTTCGTTCCGTTTTCATTGCGGTAATTACCGGTTTTGTTTAGTCTGCGTGAAATGAATAAAATTTTATACTTCGTATTAAACTGGTAACATCGGTGACGAACTATTCAAAAATACTGAAAATCAGTATCATGCGACTTGAAAGTCGAAGGTGACTTATGTCGCATTCGACGATACTATGTCAGACGAGTGATTCCGAAATAGAGCTCCAGGTTTAAAGTTTACAGTTGGACAGGGAACGCTTAGTCCTACTAACTTCCTCATTAACACTGCTATTAAATCTCATACTCAAAGAGGTCTCAGACTAAATTAAAAAAGCTTCTTAAATTTCTGTCAATACCTCCTTCAATTCAATTAATTTTTTGGTGATCTAGAAATAGGCTATTTGACAGTATGAAAAATAAAGTACCAATTGTTGGCATCTGCATTTAATAGAAATAATATCAGAAACGATTTACTATTCTGAGTGGAAAAATAATTGTTAACTTTTCTTCAAAATCACAATCAGACCTGATCACAACGACAAATAAGAAATTAAAAGTGAATATTAACTCGTGTCAGTTCGCTACAGCGCTTCGTGTTAAGAAAACATCCCGTTAAAATCTTTTTATCAATACTGTGCCAGATGGCACACACGGTGTTCAAAAATTATAAAAACCCTAATCTAAAGAAATCAATTACTAGAAAAAAATCCATGCGGACCAGGCAGCAGACGGGACTCGACCACGCACCCTTCGCTATCCGGGCGAATGCACTGACCATTATCCTACCGCAGCCCTGCTGGCCGTGTGAATTATTTCTAGCCTTTCTTAAGCTGCAAGGCAGCGCCATCTCATCGCATTGTAGGTAATCCACAGTCAGGTCCCGTCTGCTGCCTGGTCCGCGTGGTTTTTTTTTCTAGTAATATTTTCTTTCGATTTAAGCATGGAGCTGTTACATCTTAAAAAAATAAAATTTATAATTATAAAAACTATATTTTTTATTTTTTAAAGCATGTAACTGCTTGATGTTTAAATCTAAAGAAAATATAACTAGAAAAAAATCCACGCGGACCAGGCAGCAGACGGGACTCGAACCCGCACCCTTCGCAATCCGGGCGAATGCACTGACCAATTATGCTACCGCGGCCCTCACGGACCGCGTCGCAATTCCTCTAGCTATTCTTAAGCTGCAGGGCAGCGCCATCTCTGCCTTAATTATAATAATTAGTATTATAAAAACTGTTCACAAAGCCTAAATAAGGCTTTACTTGTGACTTGACTTTTGACTTTGTATTTGCTTTGGTAGCCGCAATAGCGTGTTCGGTGCGTTTCATCAGCTTTTTGTTCTGTAATCTGAAGTCTGAACCCTTTTACTTAGAGACACTAAGCTCAAATTAGACAAATTTGTCAATAACTTACCGTCCTCAGCTTCTCCCTTGGCAGGCGTGGCTAATTCTTTATCCGTAATATCTGAAACTACTTCACTCATCCAGTAAAGGAATTTTCTATGCCTTCCTACTATGGATGCGGCGTCCGTTCCTGGTAGTCCTGTGAATAGATAAATAATAAACAAATATTTCTAACACTCACACAGATTAGTCTAGGCTTCAGAGTTTACATAAGACTTTTGTTATGGGATACTAGGGTAATGGTTAGAATACATTTACTGATACATATCATCATCAACATCAGCCTATTAATGTCCGCACTGCTGGGGCACAGGCGTTCCATATGGATGGAATAGGGAGATTTGGCCATGACCCACCAATGCGGGCCCAATGCGGATTGAAGGGTGCTAACGACTGCAAAGGCAGCCAGGACCAACCGCGCGGGTGGTTAGCGCGTTCGGCTGCGATAGTTAAGCAACTTTTGCAGTGGTCGGTCATTGGATGGGTGACCAAAAATCTTCTCTCTCTCGCTCCTCCGTGCTTCAGAAGGCAAGTTAAGCTGTTGGTCCCGCCTGCATCTACAGTCGTTAGCACTCGCCAAACGGGCCCGCGTGGTGGGTCATGGCCCAATCTCCCTATCCCATCCATAGGGAAGACCTGTGCACCAGCAGAGACATTAATAAGCTAATGATGATGTTACTGACGGAGAAGAAATATTATGGCATTAAACTTACCACCGTTGTCTAAATCATCTCCCCAAAGCGCGTCGCACAGTTTCCACACTTGCAAGCAATATGCACTGCTTACGCCCCACTGGAGACAAGAAAAAATATTAAAATTCAAGTTAGATGCCGGCGTTTAATTAAGAGCCTAAGCATCCAATTATCTGGTTAATAGAGTAATTAACAAGTTTTTTAAAATTATTTTACGTTATTTACTAGTGTTTATGGAATGGAATGGATATTTATTGCAAAACTTATATTGAATATTTCTTTTTATTTATTATTATAATATAATTAGTTTTTATATATCATATTAATTTGGTAAATGGAGAAGTTTGTACGTTTATATAATATTTGAAACTCAATCATGCAAAAACGGATCTGGATAAAATTTAGCACACAATGCAGTTTACTATTTGAATGAGACAGGATAATTTATTCACGAAAAAAAATATGTTCCCGTGGAATTCTCCAAAAACTAAATACTTATACTTAACGAGAACGAAATATTAGTAAAATAGTAGGATCTTCTTTGGAACTACTATATTAAACACTTTTAAAAATAAAGTGCCATATGTTAGCATCTGTGTTTAGAATGAATATTGGCCCATGCCATAAAAACCCATATTTTTACTATTTTTACAAAAAAAAATATTCATATTTTACTAAAAACCTCACGAAAAAGATAATAGTTTTCTAATCTATTGTCACGTGACCCAAAACGCTTTGGATTGGCGGAGCCTAAAATGACGTCACACGCAAGTAAACTTCCGGAAAAGTGACATTATATTGTATCGTTTGACGTTTTAATAACAGTCGTGTGACGTCACACACTAGTAAGACGCCATATTGTCAGAGAAACGTTTTCGCGGCAACTTGAAACTGGAGTTTTGTGATTTGGATATTTTTACTGAAATACACAACAGAATGATGAATATCCACTTTTTACGGACTCCATAAACATTAGTCAATAACGTGAGATCGTTTTCTAACACTTGTCAAATACCCTATTGGCGATTCTGTTAATCGGCGTTCGGATAATCGGCGTTATACTGAATTCCCTTACCAGATCACGAGTAGATTGCAGTGCAGAAGCGTCTCTCAAATGTCCGTTGAGTAGTTTCCTCCTGTCCGCGGGTTTATCGCGGACTGTTAAGTACGGACAAGTGTCTTCAGATTCAACGGTTAGGTCGGAAAAGTCTAATAATGTTTCCAAGTGGCGGGACAAAGCTTCCTGGTGAAATAAAAGAAGAAGGCAAATCAGTTATCAGACTAAGGCCCGTATTATAGAAAGATTCTCAGAGATTGATCTATAATGCGATTCAACTAAGAATAGGAGCGACTGGGTGCCATATTGTGACGTCATAGCTGTCAATTCAAACCAAATAGGTAGAGTTAGCAATAAAAATTTGTTTAATAAAACTTATTTAGTAAGATTAAGTGAGAACAAACATCAGATTTTTTTAAATAAAATTTATTTATTTAGATTGAGAAAGAAACGCAAACCGAGGAAAAACATTTACAGAATCTAGCTCTTCAATTCCGCTCATCTCTGCATTACCGCCGGAGTACTTATGAATAATCATGCACTATTACTAGGTCACATACGAACATGCATTTTTATTAAAGTGACATTTGGTTGACGATTAAGGTTATCAACCATTCATGGCCAAAGCACAATAAGTGAAAAAAAAAAATATCTACCGATATTAATTATCAACATTTGTTATTGTTTGTTTCAAATGTTTGGTTTTTATTCTAGAATTAGCGGGGTGCTAAAAAGGGTTTCAAGTTTTTTTTTTGCAAACCGTACTTTTCAAGCGAAATTTGACAGATAGAGGTCATTGGCTTTCCTATTCTTATTTGAATCGCATTATAGTCTTGAGCATAGTTAGAAAGGGATGTTGCTATATATAGCACATAGCGACATCCCTCTCTAACTGTACTCAAGTAAAGATCAAGATTTAGTTGTCATTTTGTAATACGGGCCTCAGTATTTAAAGACTCGACAGAGTGGGGAAAAGAGATCTCATGTCTTTACGACAATCCTATAAGATACAAAGAGACGCAACATGATGTACCAGCGGTCCAATATATTTTGATTTGAATTGAATTAAGTATTTATAAATCCACAGAAAATTTAACTAGAAAAAATCCACACGGTCCACGCATCGTATCCGTATATCCGTTACCCTATCACACAAACCTTACAGTGCTTACTTTAGGGCTAGGCTAAATGGTGCGTAAGAAATATTTCTTTATTATATCTATACATATAAATGAAATTGGGGTGTCTGTTTGCAATATTGAAATAACCGCTTGACACCAAAATATCATTTTTTTTTTTATATTTGTCTATTTGTCTGACTGTTTGTTCCGGCTAATCTCTGAAATGGCTGTTCCGATTTTGACGGGACTTTTATTGGCAGGCAGCTGATGTAATAATTAGTAACTTAGGCTACTTTTATTTTAAAAAAAATGGGTGCGTGTAGGCGCGTGAGAAGTTATCCTTCTTTGGCATCGTTTAAAATTAGTTTTTATTTGCATGCAAATAATTAATTACAATAAATTAATAATAAATGACATTTCATTTCATTTCAATGTCCCGTTCAAATCTGCCCTGTTTGCTTTGTTCAAATCTGCCCCACGGTCACTTGGAAAATAAAATATTACAAATAACGCGCCCGCGGCTAACTTCATTATGTTAAAATTTTGTGTTACAGTGATGAAAATTTCACTTTCATAATTTTTTCATAACGCGGCTAAAGAAGTATAACTTCAAAAACAAAACTAAAAGTTTACGCGGACGAAGTCGCGGGCGGCCGCTAGTATATAAATAAATTTATCATATTACCTGTAGATAGTTCCCACTGTCCCCTTGTCCGATGGCCATTCTTGAGACGACATAATCGCTCCAATCATCTGGACCCCGACCGCGCACATATTTATTCAAATCACACAGTTGAGCGTCTGGAAAAAAAGAGAAAGAAAATTAATAAATAAAATAAATAAATAAATATTTCCATCACTCACACCAATTAGCCTAGCCCCAAAGTAAGCAATACAAGGCTTGTATTATGGGATACTAGGGTAACGGTTAGAATACATATATTGTACATAATATATAAGTATATTTATATGGGAAATACATATTAAACATCCATGACTGGAGTACAAACCCAGGACCTCTCGAGTCGGTGACACTATGAAACCCGGCGTACAAACCACGGAGGTCGTCAAGTATCAATAATCAGTTTATTACGTTTTTTTTTATACGTCCGACAAATGACTCCGCCCCACCTGATGTTAAGTGACGGTTAAGTCCAGACGTGAAGATAGCTGGTGCAGCAGTTCTATCTGGCACACCAACCATCCTCACCCTGCCGGCCTGCATGTTGCTTCTTCACGCATCTTTTAAAGGATTTTAAATGAATCCTTTGAGAATCCCACATTTCTCAGACAAATCATCCGGTCTTAATTCAGGTAATCAATTAACTATATATGTGGCGAATAATGTATCTAAATCCGATCATCCCTTTTATTATTTGTCTCGTAGTGGACACAATGGAATTCATTAATATGAACTCAAAACTGATTTTGGAAAAGTGATTTAATTTAGAAAAATGAAAATGGTACAGAGCAGTTGTGCACATCGACGATGAATCTATACAGAAAAAAAATATTGCGCGGTGGTTGCATAAAAAGTGTAACTTCCTTATGAATTGAAGGCCGACGTATCAGCGGCCGATGTAATTGCGTTTAGAAACGCGTAGGCGTTAACATAGCCCCCCCCCCCGTTGAAGACTCCAGTCGTTCAACTCCTCAAATCTTCTTCGGTAAGAAGAGGGCACAGGCGAACCAGAGGTCTTCGAAAATTGCCCGTGATCGTTTGCACATCAGCGACGCGACAGATTCCATCTGGTCCTGGATATAGCTTGTTTACTCGGCCAGTACGCCAACGCAGTGGTGGAAGGTTATCTTCGCTCAAGAGTACCAGATCGCCGATTTTTAGCTTGGTGGTGTTCGTTCTCCATTTTGTTCGTAATTGAAGCTCCGATATGTACTCCCTTTGCCATCTGCGCCAAAACTGCTGTCGAATTTTCTCAACTCGAGCGTAACGATGTAGTTGACTTTCTGATAGATCCTCCAAAACTGGCAATGGTACTGCATTCAGCGGTCTTCCTATCAGAAAGTGCCCTGGGGAAAGGTATTGGAAGTCGTCGGGTAATGAGGATAGAGGACACAAGGGTCTGCTATTCAAAATTGCCTCTACTTGTGCAAAAAGAGTCGTAATTTCCTCAAATGTTAAGTGCGAATTGCCCATGACACGCTTGATATGCTGTTTTGCCGATTTGATACCAGACTCCCACAGCCCCCCGAAATGAGCTGCGAGACTTGGATTGAAAACGAATTTAATGCCCTCTTGAGTTGCAAACTCGGTGATAACCTGACCATGTTCTTTAGCAAATGTTCCAAGTTCTTTAGCTGCTCCGACAAAGTTACGGCCATTGTCCGAAAATATTTCCGCTGGCCTTCCGCGACGAGATACGAATCTACGTAAAGTCATTATAAAAGCGTTAGAAGATAGATCGCTAACAGCTTCTAAATGAACACACTTGTATCGGAGACAAATAAAAATACATAAATAGGTTTTTGTGATTTTGGCTCCACGTCCCTTACGATTAATAGTGTAAAAAGGTCCAGCCATGTCAATGCCCACTGACTTAAAGGGAAAGTCAACGGTTATTCGCTGTGACGGAAGGTCACCCATTTTTGGAAATAAAGTTGCTCCCTGTACACGTCTACAACGTACGCAACGACGAACTGTGTTTCTAGCTACCAATCTACCTTTAATAGGCCAAACAGTTTGCCTAACTGTAGCTAAAAGAAGCTGAGGGCCTGCATGCATATTTCGAATATGTTCCATTTGAAAAATCAATTTACATAGATGATGAGAAGAGGTTAAAAGTATTGGGTGTTTTTGACTGTATGGGCAGTCAGATCTCTCAATGCGACCGCCTACACGAATCAGATTATCCTCATCTAAAAATGGTGATAATGATAAAATCTTGGATTTAGGACTTAATTCTCGTTTGTTAAGTAATGATTTGTATTCATTGGCTAGGCATTCTTGTTGAGCAATTTTGCATATAAATTTAAAAGAATAATTCAGCTCATCAAGAGTTAGTTCACCAGTTAATTTGGTTTTAGGATTTTTTATATTATATATAAAGCGCATTACATATGCCATAGTTCGTTTAAGTCTGTTTAGATTTGAGAAACGTTCGAAATCTATCAGGGATTCATCGATGATGGTCGTGGCTACAATCCTTTTAAATTCAGGTAAGTCATCTTCTTTATTGATTTTTAGTACAGGCCAATCAACTTCATTACGCATTAAAAAGGCAGGCCCATGCCACCAGAGAGAATACTGCAACAAAGTGTTTGCATTGACACTGCGGGAAATCAAGTCCGCTGGATTCTCCGCTGTGGGGACATAGCGCCATGAAGAAGATTGGGTTAGATCTTGAATCTCGCTCACTCTATTAGCAACAAATGTTTTTAGTTTAGATGGATCTCCCTGTAGCCACCCCAATACTACGCTGGAATCACACCAGTGAAAGATTCGATCAGGTGAGTACCGAATAGACCCTACAACAGTTTTACACAATTTAGCAGCAAGTAAAGCGGCGCACAGTTCTAAACGTGGTATGGTTGTAGGTTTTATTGGTGCCACCTTAGATTTAGAACATAGAAGATTGATTGTAACTTCACCGTTTTCATTTATTGATTTGATATAGATGCACGCACCATAACCAACCTGTGAGGCATCACTGAATGAATGAATTTCGATATGTTTCGATGAATCACATAGCACAAATCTAGGAATTTGAAATTTAGTCAGAGTTGGTAGGCTTTCGGAAAATTCCTCCCATGCGCGCATTATTTTGCTAGGCACAGGTTCGTCCCAGTCTACTTTGAGTTGCCACAGTTGTTGTAATAGCAACTTAGGCTGCATAATGTACGGACTTAAGAGACCTAGGGGATCAAAAATTTTGAAAGCGCGTGATAATATTGATCGCTTTGAAATTGTTTTGCCTTCAGAAAGAGCACTTGTAGGAAAATTAAATGTGTCTGTGTTAGGATTCCAACCCAGACCAAGAGTGCTGGATGATTCACTAATGGTTAAGTCTTCTTTTGAAGCTTTGTTTGGAGAATTTTCAAAAAGTGAAGGTAAGTTTGTCTTGTATTTACGTAATTTAAAGCAACATTTAGTTAGTTCTGAAGCTACTGAATTTTGAATTATTTTTAAATGTTCTTTATCATTGCAGCCCGTTATAAGATCATCAACATAGAAGTCCCTTTGTATTATAGTTTTGATAAGATTATCCTTACACTCCTCTCCGATCTGCCAAAGACAACGTGTGCTTAAATAACTGGCACTTGCGGTACCATAAGTTACAGTATTCAGCTTCAACGTTTTTATAGGCAAAGACTCATCTTCCCTCCACAAAATTAGCTGCAGATTACGATCTTCTGGTCTGACTTCCACCTGTCGATACATTTTCTCGATATCTCCAGTTAAAAGATATTTGTACTGACGTGAACGAACCAAGATAGAAAAAAGAGAATCTTGTACATTTGGGCCTATCATTTGTAAATCATTGACAGAAAAACCTGAGGACGAAGGTGCCGAACCATCAAACACAACTCGGGTTTGAGTAGATTCACTATTTTTGAAGACAGCATGATGACATAAGTAGTAAGAAGGACCTGACTGATAAGACGTTTCTGAAAGATGACCTAATGTTTCATACTCCTTCAAGAATTGTGAATATTCTGATTTCAGTGAAGGATTTTTTCTAAACCTTTTTTCTAGACTAAGAAGGCGCCTTTTCGCAAGATTATATGAGTCACCCAGAACGTTAGGTGAATCACGCAATGGTAAGCCTACACTAAACCTTCCGTTAGCTAGGCGCACTGTATTTGTTTTAAAATGATTTTCGCAAGCTATTTCGTCATGACTTAACATGGGTTCCGTAGGTAGCTCCTCTAGTTCCCAAAATTTTGTTAACATACTATCAACTTGAGATTCTTTAGTTGAAATCTTGCTATTGATTACAGTATTGCATTTTGTTACATTTATAGTGGTTGCTGTTACTGGACCACAAACTAACCAACCAAATACGGAGTTATGTAACTTGAGGGTAGAACTCAAAGACTGCTGTTCACATTGTATCACATCCCAAAAGAGATCCGCACCGATCAAAATGTCAATAGGACCTGGCTGGTCAAAGTTAGGATCGGCAAGTTGTATTTGTGGTGGTATGTTTAGGTCGCGTATACATAAAGGAACTGTAGGCAAATTACCAGTTAAAACATCTAATATTAGGCAATTAAGTTTGATTTCGTAAGAACTATTAATAGATTTCAATTGGACAACACACCTTTCGTTGATTTTGTTTGCTGAATTATGTCCAATACCTATAACGTTCATACTCATTGGAATTGTATTTAGTGATAGTGTTTTTTGTAATCTTTTTGTGATAAATGATGACTCACTACCTGAATCCAATAAGGCACGTGCTTTGGTTACCTCTTTGGTTATCGGATTGCAGATATCAATCAATGCAGTCGACAAGACCACTCGTGAAGAAACGCGTTTAGAAAAATTCACAATAGACTGTGAACTATGACTTTGCTCATTGTTGACTTTAGCCGTATCAACTGGATGCAACAAAGTGTTGTGTTGTTTTTTGCATAGCCTACAAGGACCCATTCGACATTCGCCGACTGGGTGTCCTTGTCTCAAACAATTTGAACATAATTTGTATTTTGACACATCATGTAATTTGTCCTTCATGGATTTTGATTTAAATTCAGGACAATCAAATATTCTATGATTTTTATTACAAATTATACAAACATAAGTAAAAGTATTGTTGTTATTATTTTGATAACTTGTTGTAAATGATTTTGTATGAGAAGGTTTTGTGTATGTATTTGGAGTATTGTGTGGCGATTTAAAATTATTATCTGGCCTACTATGACGTGTGGATTCGATTACATAAGCCCTGTCAATCAAAAATTTATTAAATTGTTCTAAAGTCGGAATCTCAGATAAGTTGTTACGTTGTTCCTCCCACCTCATTAATGTCTGGTTATCAAGCTTATCAGAAACCATAAAAATAATTATCGAGTCCCAATAGTCCGTTGGTTGACCAAGACTGGCAAGGGCACGTAGGTTCTTGGTAATGTGATCAACTAAAAATCGTAAGGAACTCTCGGATTCGCGATTAATTCGTTGAAGGTTGAACAAAGATTTTAAATGATGATTGATCAATAATCTTTTGTTATTATAGCGGTCATTAAGCAACTGCCACGCATCATTATAATTGGCATTAGAAAGTTCAATGTTTGAAATAACACGAGCTGCGTCTCCTTCTAGGTATGACAATAAATATTGGAACTTTAGTATAGCAGGAATGCGGTTATTATTATGTATTAAAGTAGTAAACGTATCTCGGAACTCAAGCCAACGGAAAATCGAACCATCAAATTTTGCTATTTGTATTTTAGGCAATGAAACAGGCAAGTTTTCATCGGGAACGCATTGAGCTTCGAGAAATAATGATTCACGTCGCCTTTTATCCTGTTCCATGATTTTCATTTCGTTTTGTTCTTCCAGAAAACCCTTTGCAATAGCCGAACATGAAATCAAATCTTGTTCAAAGCGTTCTCGAATATCCAACTCTGTTTCCAGATTTTCTGAATTTAACAATTCAATATGAGTTTGCAGCTCGTCGTATTTAGCGGACAAACCCTCAAACTTGCTGTACTTTAAAGAAAACTCAGCAATTTCGACAGCTGTCAGCCTATGTTTACTTGTAACTTGGTCTAAATAGTTTTTAAATTTTGTTATTTGACCTTTAAATGAGCTGCGCTTTGTTAACAAATCTTTTAAGGTTACCTTATCGTAGTTATGCTCAGTCATGATTAAAAGTTAATAAAAATAATAATTTAAGTACGTTACCTTAAAAGTAAATTTATTAAATATTAATATTAAGCACTAAATTTTGCAACAAAGACGATAAAGTGAGACCAATATTACAAGTCAACTATAAGTAGAAGGCAATAAATAAGTATGAAATATTTAGCTCACGTTCCTCCTTCGGTGACAAACAACTGGAATCTATGCAGCTTGTCGATCAGCTCATATCCCGTTACCCAATTGAGTTGGTCGGAGAATCTGGCGGCAACTCGGCAAAGCTGGAAATTTCGGCAAAAATAGGCTAAAATATCGCGAAACTTATGCACATCAGTCACCGGACGTTTACTGTGATTAATTATCTATGCTTAGAATTGGCAAAACATTATTGTAATTATAGAAAATTTAAATTATTTTACAAAAATTAACATTTACTTTGCGTAGGGTAATTTACTTTTCTGTACAAGTATTTGCAAATTTCGTATTTAAAATGATATTTAGGATACAGGAATAATGGATTAGGATGTATTTGGGTGCGATTAGGTATTTAGTGATTGGATATAGGGCACTTATCTGCTGAATTATGCTGCGAGATGATACTTTTGCTGTGTCATTGCTCGGCTAATCACAGTTTACGGCCTTGATTTTTCCACCTTAATTACTCGAAATCTTCTCGAATCTGCTGATATTGATGTCCTTGCAGAACCAGGTCAGCGCTGTAGAAGCTGGTTAATGCAATAAGACTCCGGAATAGTTCAGCTATCTTCTTGAAGAATGCGATAATGTTGCGAATTTTTATTCTCGTCCGTATCTTCGTATTTTGTGTCCTGTCACGGTCGCCAAAATATATGTCTCGTAGTGGACACAATGGAATTCATTAATATGAACTCAAAACTGATTTTGGAAAAGTGATTTAATTTAGAAAAATGAAAATGGTACAGAGCAGTTGTGCACATCGACGATGAATCTATACAGAAAAAAAATATTGCGCGGTGGTTGCATAAAAAGTGTAACTTCCTTATGAATTGAAGGCCGACGTATCAGCGGCCGATGTAATTGCGTTTAGAAACGCGTAGGCGTTAACATTATTTATACGCCTGATAGATTACATAAAGAAAACGGCTCATGTCGTTCAGATTGTATTAAAGCTTGCTTGCGTGTGTAGCAATCGAGCACATCTACCATATGTGGTAGATATTTTTTGTGCCGCTTCCCTGCTGTTGGTATCATCATCATCAGCCTATTAATGCCCCCACTGCTGGGGCATAGGCCTTCCCTATGGACGAAACAGGGAGATTGGGCCATGACTGGACCACGCGGGCCCAGTGCGGATTGGCGGGTGCTAACGACTGCAGATGCAACTGGGACCAACGGCCTTTCGAAGAACGGAGGAACTCGAGATAGAAGATTTCTGGTCACCAATCCGATGACCGACCACTGTAAAGTTGCTTAACTTCAACGATCGCAGCCGAACGCGCTAACCACCTGCGCCATCGAGTTCCTCCATTCCATCGAATATGGTGTATAGTGTTATAATAATAATTTCCAACACACACCAATTATCCTAGCCCCAAAGTAAGCAATGTAAGGCTTGTGTTATGGGATACTAGGCTAACGGATAGAATACATATACTGATATATATATTAGTATATTTATATAGAAATAAATATCAAACATCCATGACTGGAGTACAAATGCTCGTATTCATCACACAAACAGCTGCCCCCATCGGGATTCGAACCCGGGACCTCTCCAGTCGGCGACACCATGAAACCCGACGTACAAACCACCCGGCCACGGAGTTCCCCAATTGGTCCTTCATATTTCATACTGTTAAATAGCCTATTCTAATAATCAACTTACTATTCGGCAGATGAACTAATGTATCCCGGCTAGTCAGGAAAGCCATTACACCTCCGGGCCCGAAACCGACGCGAAAATGTCGAGCGCGGCATATAGACATATCGGCCAAATACGACGCGTCCAAACGACCTGCGAATAATAATAATAATAATAAATATTTCCAAAACACACACCAATTAGCCTAGCCCCAAGGTAAGCACTATAAGGCTTGTGTTATGGTATACTAGGGTAACGGATACAATAAAATATTTTTATTTAGAAATACATATTAAACATCCATGACTGGAGTACAAATGCACGTATTGATCACACAAACATCTGCCCCCACCGGGATTCGAACCCGGGACCTCTCGAGTCGGCGACACCATGAATCCCGGCATACAAACCACTCGGCCATGGAGGTCGTCTATAAAAATATTCAACATCATCATCAGCCTATTAAACATGCAATTAATTAGATTACACTATTTGTTTCTTAGGGTTTCACGCACATCACTCATTAAATAAAACTAGTTTTTCACGGGTTAATGCACGAAACTTTATTTATTTATTGACGTTTCGCAGCCTTTACCGGCCGCGTCGTCGGAATCAAATTTTTTATTTAATTTTGTCGAGCTACCTTTTAAAGACTTTTATTGAGCGTTCGGTTATTTCGTTGTTCGATTTTTAAAGTTTTATTGTCTATGTATGAATTTATTACTTAATTTAGTTAATAAAGTACTTTATTTAAAAATCTTTTTTGTAATTTTGAATTTATTTATTTGACCCTAACTACCGTAAACTACCAGCGGTTCCAAAATTGGGAGACCTTTCTGAGAAGAACCGGCGAAACAAACTCAAGAGAGGCTTTCTATCTCCTTCTTATGTTAAATTATGCAAACAAAAAGATCTAATAGTATCTGTTGGTCTTGCATCTACATTAATTAGATTACACTATAGTCTGTTTCAGAGGCAGGCGGAAAAACGTACAATGACCTTATAGGGGCAAACAACCTTTTTTTCTTTTATTGATAAATTGTATAATTAAAAATAATATAATATTTATATTATTTTTAATTTTTAGCATTAATCTGCTAATTTTAGATGAGGTGCTCGTTAGCGTAGTGGTTAGCACAGCCGCCCGGATTGCGCAAGGCGCGTGTTTGATTCCCACCTGTTTTTATTTTTTCTAGTATATATTTTCTTGAGAAAAAATATGAAATAAAAATTATATTTTCTGTTTTATAAAAGAAGTGTAGTTATGTTATTTTAATTCTTTTTAACGCATTAAAATAAGTTTTCTTTTCTTTTTCGTAGTTTCTTTTACATATTTAAAAACATTGATAATCATAATTTTTTCGTTTTCCGAAATATGCGATATCTTACGCTTCTTTCGTGGTGGCAGAAAACTTTTAAACGGTTTTGAAGTCGACGGGGCCGGCTCCATATCGCTTGAAAAACGCTATTCGTTGTAATACAAAACCAATATAACAAAAAAACATAAACTTAACACAAAACCTAACAAACTAAATTAACAATAACAAAATTAATAACAAAAGATCGAAATTAAAGGAACGATAAACAAAACCAACCACACGCGAGCGCATTCCAAAGCGGAATGCGTGTTGCTCCGCTCCCTCCACAACCCGCGTCCACGCAAATCCCAAACAGGTTTTTAAACTCTGAACGACCGCGTCGTCAACTCACCCCGTACCACGAAACACGGTACGATGCTTGAGCGACACAGAAATATATGACGAGCGATACGTATCGTTTTCTGTCGACAGTAACATAATACTTCGGGCCAATGCCCTTTTTTCCGCCTGCTTTAGAAACAGACTATAGCTGACCCAGCGAACTTCGTAGAAATAGGGGCAGGTGATAGAAGAGAATATTTAGAGTTGTATGTATAATTTTTAATACCACATTATAAAAAATAAATATTGTCCAAAAAACACCGCTAGACTATTTTTATGGTGATGGATGAAGCAAAGAGTAGCTAATATCCTTGTGTATGAGGGTATTGAAAAAAAATCATACTGCAATGTACTAGTTTTTGTAGTATTGTTGATTAACTAAAAAAACCGTAAATTTTTTGACTTAAATTTGCATAAAAAAGAAAAATATGACATTTTATAGTTAAATGTTTTCATAATGTTCGATTTTAATTAAAAGGTGATAGTATTATCTTTCAAACAACATTTATTTCATATCTATAGGAACTTTATGTCCAGAGAAATCAATATTTTTTTGGGGGGTTATCTGAAATAAAAAAATAAATTTCAAATGGCGGCCATTCCAAAAAGACCCCCAATATGGGTATTTTTGTCAATAAAATTAAGTATATTTGATGCCCTTAAATTATCGCTAAGTCATTCCCAAACACACTGTATATATATTATACTTGATACTATACCGATCTCCCTATTCCGACCATAGGACAGGCCTATGCCCCAGCATGGGCACGTTAAGTGAATGAATTATTCATAGTTAGCCTAGGGCGGTCAGAATTCTAAATCAGGCCCTGACTTCAACGATAGCAACTGAGCGCGCTAACCATTTCAAAAAAAACAAAAATGATCTCACGTTATTGACTAATGTTTCATCATTCTGTTGTGTATTTCAGTAAAAATAATCAAATAAAAAACTCCATTTTCAAGTTGTCACGAAATCACTTTTCTGTACAATATGGCGTCTTACTAGTGTGTGACGTCACACGACTTATTAAAACGTCAAACGATACAATGTAATGTCACTTTAACCGGAAGTTTACTTGCGTGTGACGTCATTTTAGGCTTCGCCAATCCCAAGCGTTTTGGGTCACGTGACAATAGATAAGAAAACTATTATCTTTTTCGTGGGTTTTTAGTAAAATTATGAATATATTTTTTTGTAAAAATAGTAAAAACCCCTGCCAATATTCATTCTAAACACAGATGCTAAAAATTGGCACTTTATTTTTAATACTGTCAAATACCCTATTACACTTGGTCGTTAGCCCGAATACGAGTACCAATGGAGTTAGTCGTTTAGGCTAAGTGTAAATGAACGGAGTCGAGTACGGTAGATTTCATTTTCTTTACGCGACACCGTCTTCCAGCCCGTCATCATCATCATCATCATCATCAGCCTATTAATGTCCCAACTGCTGGGGCACAGGCCTGCCCTATGGATGGAATAGGGAGATTGGGCCATGACCCACCACGCGGGCCCAGTGCGGATTGGTGGGTGCTAACGACTGCAGATGCAGCCGGGACCAACGGCTTAACGTGCCTTCCGAAGCACGGAGGAGCTCGAGATAGTAAATTTTGGTCACCCATCCAATGACCGACCACTGCGAAAGTTGCTTAACTTCAACGATCGCAGCCGAACGCGCTAACCACTTGCGCCATCGAGCTCCACTTCCAGCCCGTAATCCAGTGTAAATATTGCTTCGGGTGCCCGAATGAGGGCTATCGCGTACGAATCCGCCGCTAGAGGCGCTAGTGCAGCGTGAGGTCTCCGAAATGTCAAATGTTATTGCTTGTTGGTTAACTACGCGGGTTTATTTCTAATTAAAATAATGTTGTGAATAATTGGTAACAATAGGCTAGTTGATCCTTTTTGGAAAAAGGTTTTAAATGGTTAATAAATGTTCTATTAGACCGAAAAAAAATGTATTGTATTTTTTTGAGACCTAAAAAGCTACAAATCTTTAATTTTAAAATAGATTTTTCATGGACATACAAAAACGCTGTCGGCCATTTTAGTCTATAGATTATCTATGCTATGAATGACGTTAACTGCAGTAAACAAAAACTCGTAAGCACGTAGAAAATAATATATTTGAATTTGTAATAAAAAACATGATTTCTAATAAATACCACGAAAAATAAAGTAATTATCATTATTGTATTGTACGAGAATATAAAAACACATCCTTTAAGACTCCAGGAAAGTTGTGGATTAAAATGCCGAAAGAAATTAACCTACGCAACTTTATTACGCTTATTCATATGTTGTATCAGTTTTATGTTTATTGCTATATTGTAATACTAAATACACTGTACTTACATAGATGCCTAGAAATCGGGGTTTAGTGCAAAAAATTCACCAACCATCAATGCGTCAATTCTTGGCAGATTTGTGCTTAATGTTTTCACAAAGCAGGCATTCATAATTAGTTTATTCAAAAAAAAAAACAGTAAACGGAAACTTTTCTAAAGTTAAATGTGTTTTAAGATAAATTTAGTCAGACGAAAGAATCCACCCACAGTAACACGCGAATGACATTTAGTTGTTTACCATAAGAGACGTCACAATCATGGCGGATGTGGCGCACAGCGTTTTTAGTGTTTAAAAAATATAGACTAAAAAAAATTTTTTTAAATTAAATTTCTACAGCAATCTTCTGCTTTTATGAAGTGAAATCGATATATTTAGGTTCCTTAGAACAAATACTTTAAGAAATAAAAATTTATTTAATACAATTCGACATGAGTCAACTAGCCTATTCGGCTTAATTATGGCAAATATGAGTTATGTAGCAATGAATGTCAGTTATTAAAAATTTGAGCTTAGAAAAATGATTGTTCCCATTTTTTCCGAAAAAAAACGGAACTGCGCGTCACTGTGGCATGGCCTATTATGTTTAGGATATGGTTCTTTTGTGTCAAAATACGATCTAAATGTAACCTTTGATTTCATGTGCGTAATAATAAACTTTAAAAGTTACAATTTAGGACCTCACTCAACAGTGGCGCCATCTGGTGAGGCAGAAAACGGTAGCCCTCATTCCAGTAATGTCTTTCGTGCACCCTAATACGGGCTAACGACCAAATGTAATTGCGCCATTACTTTGGAATTGTTTACTTTAACCAAGATTTTTATTGTGCTTCTTTTTGACAGGTTGACAACGAAACCACTAAGAAAACCTCTGATCACGAATCCGGACAGCGCTGAGAACTCGGTACGAGAGCTCGGGGTTCGATCCCCAAACAGGATGGCAGACAAAGAGAACATAGATTCGCTTTCAGGTAAACATTATTATGTGTTAACGGACTGATTGTTATTATGTACGGTTTTAGTTTCCTTTGCTTGCAATAGGACAGGAGATACATAAAAAAATCACTAACGACCACATTTACACAGATAGGAGATAGGGGCCGTTCAAGTATTACGTAAGCAGATTTATTACAATTATTTACCCCCTCCTCCCCCTCGTCAGCAAAAGTAAGCAAAGCTCTCCCCCCCATCCTTACGTAAACATTGGTACCTACATGCATTTTTCCTTTAATGTATTCTGTTTTTTTTATTGATTCATGAGCTTTCATGAGCTTCATGACCAAGCAGTATTTAAAAAGGCTTAATCGATGATGCAGACGTAATCACCATCTCTACCCCCCACCCCCCCCCAAGTCATCAAAAATAAGTAAAGCAAAGACCCCCCTGCCCCCCTATAGTGCTTACGTAATACTTGAACAGCCCCATACATAAAAAAAACATTAACGACCAAATGTAATTTCTTGTTTTAAACTTTCATGGTCACTAACATTATAGTAATATAAGTTATTTACGGGATTGTTACCATGTACCTTGTTTTTAGCGAGTTTCCGATATTTCGGCACTGTTGCAAGCGCCATGATCACGGAGTAACTCGCTAAAAACAAGGTACATGGTAACAATCCCGTAAATAACTTATATTACTATAAATGTAATTTCGGCATTAGATCCTAAGATTTCTGGCAAATATATTGTTTGAACATTTCCAAACTATCGAAATATAATTACCTGCTATGGTTTCTTTGAACGGTGGCACTTTTCTATGGTATTTTAGAACTATGGTGTGAGGTTGTACTATCAGTGGTCGCATCGGCTGTTCGCACTCTGAAAACAAAAATATATTTATAATACAAATATTAACTTTCAAACAGGCGTGACGAACTCCGTGGCAGAGTGGTTTGTACGTCGGGTTTCATGGTGTCGCTGACTCAAGAGGTCCCGGGTTCGAATCCCGGTGGGGGCAGATGTTTGTGTGATGAATACGAGCATTTGCACTCCAGTCATGGATGTTTAATATGTATTTCTATATAAATATACTTATTTATGTACAGTATATGTTTTCGTTCCGTTACCCTATTATTCCAAAACGCAAGCCTTAAGTTACATTGCTTACTTTGGGGCTAGGCTAATTGGTGTGAGAAAAAAAACTGAACTTTTATCAATCCTAACTTTATAATATAAGTTTATTATAAAGTTGAGAGTTTGTTTGTCTAAGGAACTACTGGTTAGATTTACAGAAAATTTCACTAGAAAATATGGGAAACAGGCAAGACTCAAAACATCACCTTTCGCTATCCGGGCGAATGCACTGACCATTATGCTACCGCGGCCTCGACGGCCGTGTCGAATTTTGTCTAGCATTCTATTTCTACAACGCGAAGAGATGTTGCTGCCTCGCAGCCTAAAAAATGCTAGACAAAATTCGACTGGGAACTCCTCATCATCATCACTGCTGGGGCACATGCCTTCCCTATGGATGGAAAAGGGAGTTTGGGCCACGACCCACCACGCGGGCCCTGTGCGGATTGGCGGGTGCTGACGACTGCAGATGCAGTCGGGACCAACTAACGTGCCTTCCGAAACACGGAGGAGCTCGTGATAGTAAATTTTTGGTCACCCATCCAATGACAAACCACTGCGAAAGTTGCTTAGCTTCAACGATCGCAGCCGAACGCGCTAACCACTTGCGCCATCGAGCTCCTCACCATCAGTTATAACTCACCTTCAGTTATTGCCGGGATTGATTCGTCCATATTCTCCGGTTCTATAGTCGCGATAGATGGCGCTCGAGTGACACTACTTAAAAGCGGAGCCGATATCGGAACTAATTGATCGCCCGTCGATACGGATGCGTCGTCTTCCATTTCTGTTAGGATATAATGAGGATGAAATTAGAAACAAAAACTGCAAAAAAATGGTGTATAAAAAAAAGAGTTCAATTATTCATTTCACGTATGGAGTTTATTACCACTTAAAATCAGGTGGGGTAGAGTCATATGCCTACCAGGCTAAAAAAAGAAAAAAAGTTACACTATTATTTTATACACAGAGGCAGAAAAATAGGTAATTAATAATATATTTAATATTTATCATTTTTTACATGGGTTTCTTAAAGTGAGGGCTGTAGCGTATAGAAAGAAAGAAGACTGAAATGAAGCTGAACACGCATGGACTGGACTAATACTGGCTGTATGAAATTTCGTCGTTTAGGCTTTTAAGAAAAAAAGATGATTAAATATTTATTATTGCCGCCAAAATTATCGACTTTTTCATACGCATTTTATCACCATGTAAATAATAAATCTATAATGAAATAGTTAAATTACATTGAAATCACCCTTTATTAATTTACGCCTGAACGAATCGTCGTATTACTCCAATACAAATTTAACATACAATTAAATAGTTATTATTGGTAGTGGAAAATGTTTAGAACTCTGATTTCTAAAGACACTATATAATGAGTCAAGCTTGCTTCGCTTCGGAGATTATAGAATTAGTTGTGAGTGTATGAATTATACTTATTAATCTACCGTGAAAAAATATCTAATAGATGGTGAAAACCGCATCAAAAGCAAGTACGAAAGGGGGTCAAAATGTGTGTATGTTCCTAATGTATGCCTAATATATATAAAAACCTGTGTCTGCGTATAGAGAGGCTTTCATCAGTTGTACGTGGTGACTCTGTCGATTCTCCAATCGCGCTAGTTCTGTCGTTGGACTCTTAACGCCGTAAGCTGTGGACAAAACGATGGTTGTTAACAATAGTTATTTATGATATTAGTGCAGCAAGTTGGTTATTACAAAGGAGTAGACATAGTCAGGACATTGAGGAGCTCGATGGCGCAAGTGATTAGCGCGTTCGGCTGCGATCGTTGAACTTGAGCAACTTTCGCAGTGGTCGGTCATTGGGTGGGTGACCAAAAATTACTACCTCGAGCTCCTCCGTGCTTCGGAAGGCACGTTAAGCCGTTGGTCCCGGCTGCATCTGCAGTCGTTAGCACCCACCAATCCACACTGGGCCCGCGTGGTGGGTCATGGCCCAATTTCCCTATTCCATCCATAGGGAAGGCCTGTGCCCCAGCAGTAGGGACGTTAATAGGCTGATGATGATGATGATGAGACATAGTCAGAGTTTGTAAATACTAATTCCGCACGAATATCATACAACGTTATAATTTTTATTTTTTAAGCACGTAACTGTTCGATGTTTAAATCTAAAGAAAATATAACTAGAAAAAATTCCACGCGGACCAGACAGCAGGCGGGACTCGAACCCGCACCGTTCGCTATCCGGGCGAATGCACTGACCAATTATGCTACCGCGGCCCTAACAGCCGTGTCGATTTCTTTCTAGCCTTTCTTATGCTGCAAGGTAGCACCATCTCTTCGCATTTTAAATTCCAAATTCAAATTCCACGCGGATCAGGCAGCAGACGGGACTAGAACCCGCGTTTTCTTTTAAATGTATAATACTTGTAAAGGTATTCATTTGACATTGTGGGTTATCTACAATGCGAATAGATGGCGCTGCCTTGCAGCCCAAGAAATGCTAGGGGTAATTCGACACGGCGAACGGCGGTAGCATAATGGTCAGTGCATTCGCACGGTTTCGAGTCCTGTCTGCTGCCTGGTCCACGTGGATTTTTCTTTAGATGCATGTACTTGTCAATACACGTTAGCAAAACGCGCGTTAAACGCATAGAGGTATAAGAATAGTGTAGGGTAGATATAGACTCCACTACAAGTGGAAGTGTCTCTCTAGAAAGAGGAAGAAGATGAGAGACCGCTAGCTTTCTCTCTCTAATCGCGCATGCGCATTGCCAACCGTAAGCATCTTACTATTTCGATGCGATGCCATTGGATGCCATGCGTCACTAGAGAGAGAGATAGCTAGCGGTCTCTCATCTTCTTTCTCTTTCTACTAGACGGACACTTTTAGAGCCGCCTTCCCCTCTATTCTTATACCTCTATGGTTAAATGCCTATCATCCGAACCTACTCTCATATTTTAAGTTCTTATTACCTCTGTTGTCCTGGTACAAGCTCTGTGCCTCCGCATTGTCCTCCGTAGTATCCATATCGAAAGCTGCAAACAAAAAGGAAGGCTTGAGGAACTTTTACGGATGCCGTTAGTTCATAAAAGCATCCTTATAACTAAGGAAATAAAGTTTAAAATGTTAATGGTGTTATATGTCGGCCTCGATAATGGCATTATTATCTTCACCTTAAGGTATATTTGACAACAGTGTAGCCATGTCAAAGAATGCAAGGGAGAAATTGATGTTCAATTGAGTTAACTTTAGATAATCATGCCGGCATAATAAGAAATGCTTTAATGTCGGCATTTCACTTGGCTATTCGTGTTTGCTATTTGTAAATATGCCATCTGTCTGTCCTTTTCGTTATTTGTACAGCATGATAAGGACAGACTGATGTCATGTTTATAAATAGCAAACACATATATAACCCGTAAAAACTAGTTTTATTATATGAGTGATGTGCATGAAAACCTAAGAAACAAACATATATAGCCGTTCATGTTTTTCCTTATGCAACATATTTATATATATTGATCAATAAAGTTTAAAAATAAATAAATAGAAGCCTAGTTTAGTGCCGGCATAAAAGAGTAATTACAATATTTATGTCGTAGACAGGATGCACGAAGTATTATTAAATGAAGGATAGCGCATTTACTCAGTTACAGAAAGAGATGAAGACATTGTGTGACTGTAATCACGGCTATAGATACATTACGAGTATAATTTATTTATATTTCTTTTCTGTTTATATAACTTTTAGATTTTAAGATTTATCTAAATAGGGGTGATGACGGGGTACAGTAATGGAAATTCTATTTAGTCCGTCAGTTAGATGATCAAAAAATAATGGAATCGTATTTTTTCTTTGGGCAATCAACCAAAAAATGACAAAGTTATAGCGCGTCAAAGTTTGGGAGTAGGGGCTCGTGACGTCACTCTTAGGGTCAACTCACACCGAAAGAGCGGCGAAGGGCAGCGAAGCGCAGCGACCCGCTCGGTAGAGAAGGCGCGCTTATGGAATTCGTCGGAATTCCCGCGGGAGTCGTTCGAGTTTCTCATGCGATAATAAGTATTATAGTAATGAAAATAAAGTTAAAATTCATATGACACTGAATCTGCGCTCTGCTTCGCTGCGCTTCGACGTACTTTTGGTGTGAGTTGGGCCTTAATTGTAAATTATACCAAAATACGTCATGCGACTTTTCAAATCAATATATCTCTGCATAAAGAAAATATAACTAGAAAAAATTCCACGCGGACCAGGCAGCAGACGGGACTCGAACCCGCACCCTTCGCAATCCGGACGAAAAAAAATATATCTCTGCAATAAAAAAAAATATATCTCTGCATATTATGTGAAAAAAGAAAAAATACGTGTCCAATACTTTTTGATAATCTACCTGATAAACGAAGAAAAAACAAATGAGTCATCATCCCTATTGACCTAGATTCAATATCGATTATGACGCGTTTACATTTTATGGTAACTTGATATGTTAATAAATGTTTTATCATTCCGAGACTACAATAATTGGATTGGAAAGGTTCGAAAGAGATAGACATCTCAACAATATACTGGAGATATGGATAAATAATCCGCTCATAAAAGAAGAATGTGACAAAAGACTTCATTCGGTAGGCTAACTCGCGATTGTTTAAAGAAAAAGGCAGTTTTCTTTACAATAGAACTAGGTCTGACAACACGTTTGTAATACAATTCAGCAGGACCAAGTTTGCTGCAAATAGTTTCATTTCTAGAGCATGTCACAGCTATAATAAATACTTCAGGGGATTGGATATATTTTGCCTTTTTTACAACCAATTTAGAAATGAATGCTATAAGGTCGTTTTACCCTAACACTTAGTAATTATTTTCTTTTATTCACACAATTCTAAATATTGTACGTAATCTTAAGTAAATTATATAAGTTTATGAATGTTTCAGTCTGTGGAAACTTAACTGGTTTATGAAATAGTAATAAGTGTTACTTAATTGATTTGTGTAAAACTGTATGTTTCCCAAATGAAAATAAATAAATAAATAAGTTACATTGGAGATTACCCCCTTGTATGCGATTAGGGCTAGTGGTATTAGAGGTGAGTGGTACTAGTGATCTTTTCCCCTAAAGCCTCGATGACACGGGGTGAGTTTTCAAGCTGCTAGCCAACTCGCTGGCTTGTAGCTTGTAAAATCGCCCCGTCCGCCCTTTCTTTTGAGCCTCGATGACAGGCTTAAAAGAAAGGGATGTACTTCAACTGGCAAGCTCGTTTTATGCTTTGTCTATTTTCAAGCGAAAATGAAACTTATATCGAAAGGCAGAAAGGTCATTTTTAACATTTAAGAGAGTGGATTTAAAAATGAGGGTGGGTCATATCATTAATGGTATTAAATCTCCTTTCGGCCGTTTTCCAAACCAGTTTCAACAGAAGAATTTTAATACTTACTTTAAATTTTAAAAAATCATTTCGATTGACTTCCCCTCCCCTTAAAGAGTGACGTTGTTTATGGATAGAACCTTGCATAAATAATTAGCATCTGATTGATAAACGAAAGCTTGGTGCAGTTACGCAATATTCTGTAAAATCTCTGAATTGTCATATTGAATTCGATGAACATTGAAAAAGCATTGGTTAAAATAATACCAGCCTACACCATGTTAGAGTCTGTGCGGAAAGAGAATGGGCGTGGCGAAAAACGGAACTAACATTAAGATTTTTATTTGGCAATCAAACCCAGCAATCCGTAAAACGTCATAGTTTTATATTGATACGGATTTGTTTGTTGTTGCGGTTTTTTGTATTTAATCATGTCTAAAAGGGGTAAAACCTTACAAATACGCTAGAAAAGCACTACAGCGCCCTCCAATCTAAATCCCATTCTCTTTCCGCACAGACTCTACATTATACAGGGCCATAGAGCAACACTGAAGGGAGAAGCCACTATGGCTTCTCCCTTAATACTATTCAAATCATGTTTTTCGGGGAGGTATACAGAGTAGGTACACGCATATAAAACAAAACTGTTATGACGACACATCGCCCAGTCCTGCAACACATGTACCGTTTGTATTCACAACTCGACAGAGGGGAAAGCTGTACATGCCTATTCCCCTCCTGTAGGCCTATACGCTAACTGCTTTTGACAGATGGAAGTGATAATCGCTTTGCTATTCAGTAATCCAGTACTGCTTTATTTGAAAACTAGTGGCCCGCCCTCGCTTCGCTTCGGTATTTTATCCCCTTGGGGGTAGAATTGATCAAAATCCTTTCTTAGCGGATGCCTACGTCATAACATCTACCTGCATGCCAAATTTCAGTTCGATCCGTCCAGTGGTTTGGGCTGTGCGTTGATAGATCACTATGTCAGTCAGTCACCTTTGAGTTTTATATATATAGATTTCGCACGTTTCATAGTCCGTTTCTTTTTCATTTCGAAAATTCGTTCATCCGAAAATAGTTTGACAACCAAATTTTCCAAACCTACTCTAATTCACATCACTTTCTTACGAAAAGTTCACTGTAACACAATAGTAACACCATGAAGTTGGCCGCGGGGGCGTTATGAATGTTAGTGTCTAATAATGGTGGATTATTAACCACTTAGTGGTTAATAAATCCACCATTATTAGACATCTGCTCGAAAGGTACTTTAAACGATCCACGGAGCTCCATAAGATGATCGCGTTGTCAAAAACAATGTTGGCACGCTCGTCGCCTCTGATCACTGTTTTCATATTTATAATATTTATCCACATGTTTCTAGTTTCTATATAGACACAACGTGTTTTAGTTACTTACAAGTGCTAATTACATATGGACTAATAACTTAAATTCAGTAGTGATTTTAATTGAATATTTTGAATATTTATTTAATTTTTCAAATTAAAACTGAACTTAATTGACTGTGTTAACTATCCTTTTCCAGTCCTTTTTTTATTTTATTGTAATTATTTGCATGCAATTAAAAAATATTTTTAATGATGCTAAAGAAGTATAACTTCTCACGCGCGTACATAAGTTACACGCATCCATTTTTTTTGTGATCGCGAACTTTATGTGCGTGTTCGAAAATGAAATAGACTAGAGTCACTGACGAAATTTCGTTTAAAGTTGGTTCGTTACCGAAATCTCACTTGGGAGAAAGAGAGTAAAGCTCCAATTAGCGCGTTCGGTCTGCCAAGTTAAGCAAAGTTCGCAATGGTCGGTCATTATATGGGTGACCAAAACTTTACTATCTTTCAGTCCTCTGTGCTTCGAATGGCGCATTAAGCTATTACCCCGGTTGCATCTGCAGTCTTTAATACCCACTAACCCGCACTGGACTGGCGTGGTGTATGGCCTTATTCTCTAAACTCAATCAATAATTGTTGGATGTTTGGATGTTTAATATGTTTTTCTATATAAATATACATATATATGTACAGTACATATATTGTATTAATTACCCTAGTATCCCATAACACAAGCCTTACTTTTATTTTTTTTTTCTTTGTCCAGATCTTAGTCCGGATGCAGTTAATCCTCTGACGTAATCAGAGACTTTGTTTATGTTTTCAAATTATTTACTTTATAGTATTTGTTATGTTTAAACAGTGCTTACTTTGGGGCTAGGCTAATTGGTGTGAGTGTTGGAAATATTTATTTATTTATTAATCGGAATGTGTCCCAGCAGTGGGGATATCAATAGGCTGATGATGACTTTTTGACAATGGTTTTTGGTTCAGATGATGTTGATATAAGTAGAAGAATAAGAAAGCTTGCTTAATAGATCATAATAGTTGGTTGACTGGTAGAGAATGCTTTTAGCGTTAAGTCGGCCTTTTGTCCATTTTTGTAATTGTGGCAATAAAGTTTAAATAAATAAATAGTCACGTATAAGACTGACCGGCAGACGCCACACAAATAGTTTTGTTCTACAAAATCATTAAGATACCGAAATTGTTCATATAATATAAAAAAAACTGTCATCTTTGGGCATAGTTAACTGTCGAATCATGCTTGTGTCCTAAGTAAAATTTATTCGTAATATGTATATATTTAAAAAACTTTCAGGTAAGCAATCTTTATTTATTTGACAAATACAATTATTTGTATAAGACATAAGCTAATTAAGGAAATTGATATATAATTTTTAATAGTTCCTAAGGCTAAAAGCGAAAATATAGTATTATAATATTTTTTACTTTTTCTAATACTAATGATTAATAGAATGTTATGTATGGTAGTTTATGTGTGTTTAGTTATTTAGCTAAAATTAATGAAATGCTGGAGAATGAAGTAATATGATAATAATGCTTATGACTTACAGATGTTGTGAGTAAAATAATAATTGATTCGTACACTCTAAGAGAGGTAAATTGTGGACAGAATATTATAGTTTTTTTTAACTCATGGTGATAAGACAAAACTGGATGATCTGTTAAAAGTATATGACAGGAAACACGAAATTCATCTTCTGTTTTTATTTCTAATAGGTATTTATAACTCGAGAATTCTTATTTTTATTTATACTCAAATAAAATAGAAAAATAAATTATTGATTGACTAAGTAATTATTATATTATAAAAACTAAAGCTTTTATGTGATAATAATAATATACAAGTTTAACATATAAAATAATGTTTAAAATAAACATAGGTTTTTTTATACAGCAATATTTTTTCATTTATTTATTTTTTCATATACACTATTATTTTTTACACAAATATTCTACAAATTATACCGTAATTGAAAAAACTATAAGAACACGTTTACAGTAAAATTCTAAAACCTAACACTATATTATTTACATTTAATATTTCATATAAAATTCATAAACAAATATCACAATTTTACAATATACATTACATAATGTGTTAAATACATTACATATACTTATTATGATAGTAAATGAACTTTTTATATAACAATATTATATAGAACTAATATAATTATTTTGTTATATTTTACAAGACCTCTAAATTTTTTTCAATACAATGAAACCTACTCTACATAACCCTCTTTCTGTCACAGTTAGTTAAAATACCATTTTAATGTTAAATGATGTTACTGTCTATTAAAAAAGCTAAGCAGTACAGCCATATAGTCGCAATCCCAAAGCACGGTACCTTTAGAAGATCCGTTGAGCAGGTTCAACGAAGTCTGATGCATAGCGAAGAGGCTGTCTTCTGCCAATGTCGAGGGGAGCCCTAGGCCTCCCAAGCCGGGTGTGGGGGCTGATGGTGGAGGCTTTGGGGCTGGTGGAAGAAAAATATATATGAATAAAATTAAATATTTTTTACTCTTCATTATATTAATACGTGAAAGTTTCGTAACCCTTTTCAATGCTCATGGATGCGAGTCTTAGTGTCGCCGCACACGGGCCTCCGGCCACAACCACAAAACGCCTCCACCGGCATATTTCTTGTAGTTTTCATACATTTTATATGGACTCGCCACACACGGTACGCCGGTGGCCGCGACACGCTACAAATCGTCGTTGCTCGCTTCTTGTGGCCCGCACCGGCCACTTAATGCGGCGATACAAAACGCCGCCACACGTCACTCGCGCGATTCCCCACCCCTCTCTCCCTTACCTTAGTCGGCCGCTGTTGCGCGCTTCAGCCACTTTAGTAGCCGCTTCTAGCTTCTCGTGGCGGCGTTTGTGGCTGTGGCATGTGGGCCGTGTGCGGCGACACTTAGATTAGAACAAAAAGAGAAAATACGGTACGCTCATACTAGCATCAAATAAAATATGCTCCGACTCAACTATATAAGCAACTCTCACACACGCACACTTCTGTAAATAAACATTCAATCGAGCGAGCGAGACAGAACTGTACGCTTCAACGCAGCGCGAGCGAAACGGCGAGTCAGTGTCGCTTAGCTAGGCGACTGCGTTTTCTATAATCTCTTTACAAACAGATGAGCTGTATTTTTGTCCTTTTCTTGATAACAAATAGCGAAAAAGTAAATGACATTCATGACAAATCGTGATTATTGAGAAAATATAATGTTTCCATAGTTTTACGAATGAGAGGTGTTGCCGTGTTTGTTATTTGATCTTGAACTATTTGTGTTCTTTATAAAAGCATCGAAGGCATTGTTTTATATTTATAAAACAGAATATACGCAATATTGTTATATTGAGTGCACATGCAGCGTGTTTGAATGTCCAATTCTGACTAAAGCGAATCGTGGTCGTGCACCACAATTTAAGCGGATCACTTTTGAGCCGCGAGTGCCGTATCTTCCCTTTTTGTTTTAATCTAAGATGCAAGTATAATTATGCATAATAAAAGTTAATATTATAGAATTTATCTCTTTGAACAGAATAATTAATAATATCGAATTTCAGTCATTATACAGCTAGTAGTCAAAATAAGTAGATTTTCATCTTGGTAAAAACCTTTTATAATGAGATCATTATTATATGTATTCTATCCATTACCCTAGTATCCCATAAGGCAAGTTTTACAGCGTGGTGTTAGTGTAATGCCGGTACTACACTACACTTGGCTATTCGGATTTGTAATTTTGACAGCAGGTTGTCCTTATCATAGGGAGTAAAAAGCAAAGGCTGTTGTCAAGTTTACAAATAGCAATTACGAATAGCCATGTAAAGTGCCGGCATAATAAATATTTATTATGTTTAAAGTAAATTATATGAGATAAACGCGATCATTGAATCATAAAATTATTTGTAACTTCTCTCTCGTGTGTTGTGACTTTCGTTGAATAAGAACTGCTTAAAATTAAAAACTTATTAAATAAAACAAGTTTCAACGGTATAGATGCACTGATTTATTTACATCATTATTGACGTTTCGCATCCTTTTCAGGCTGCGTCGTCAGAATCATTAATTTGTTCTGACGACGCAGCCTGAAAAGGATCCAATCTGACATCTAAACTAAGTGGAATTTTATCTTCCATAATTTTCTTATAATGATTTCTGACGACGCAGCCTGGGATGCGAAACGTCAATAAATAAATAAATCTGTGCATCTTTACCGTTGAAACTTGATTTATTAATTGAGTGGTGTGCGTGAAAACCTAACAAATTACTAACTCTAAAGAAAATTTTACTAGAAAAAAATCAACGCGGACCAGGCAGCAGACGGGACTCGAACCCGCACCCTTCGCTCTCCGGGCGAATGCACTTTACATTACGCTACTGCGGCCCTGATGGCCGTGTTGAAATTTCTCTAGCCTTAGGCTGCAAGGCAGCGCAATAGGGTATTTGACAGTGTTAAAAATAAGTGCCAATTGTTAGCATCTGTGTTTAGAATGAATATTGGCATTTACTATTTTTACAAAAAAAAATATAATTTTACTAAAAACCAACGAAAAAGATAAGTTTTCTTATTATTGTCACGTGAACCAAAACGCTTGGGATTGGCGGAGCCTAAAATGACGTCATACGCAAGTAAACTTCCGGTTAAAATGCAGGAATAAAATATATCGTTTGACGTTTTAATAACAGTCGTGTGACGTCACACACTAGTAAGACGCCATATTGTCCAGAGAAACGTTTTCGCGGCAATTGGAAAATGGAGTTTTTGTTTTGGTTATTTTACACAACAGAATGATGAATATCCACTTTTTACGGACTCCATAAACATGAGTCAATAACGTGAGATCGTTTTCTAAAACTAGTCAAATACCCTATTCATGTTGTCGTTAAATGCTTAAAAAAACATAAATAAATACTTATTAGTTTTACTTAGTACATTAGATTGATTAAATTTAAAGTGATAACATACGAGCGACGGGCGCGGCTTTCTGCAACGCCTGGTTGACGAGCTGTCTCTTCATCACATCCGGTGTCGGTGCATCGTCTTCTTCATCGGAATCCGTCAGACCGTATTTACTGAAGTGTTCTACCTGCGTGTGACATAAAATAAAATGTATTACAATCATAATGAGTGTTGCTGTCATTGAGGTATAAAAAAAAAGTGGGGAAGGCGGCCTTAAAAGTGTCCGTCTGGCAGAAAGAGAAAGATGGGAGACCGTTAGTTATCTCTCTTTCTTGTGACGCACGGCATCCAATGGCATCACATCGAAAGTTCGAGTCTCGTCTGCTGCCTGGGGGCCATTCGCCTAACGGAAATGCTTTGAAAAACGCTATCGCTTACGATTTCATTTTGTTATTTCTAGCCGCCTGCGGTTTTCAGATGTCTCGCGCTCTTTTTTTTCTTTTGCATTGGTAATAACAATATTAAAAAAAATGAGCGTGAGGTATTTGAAAACCTTCGTGGACAGAAATAACAAAATAAAATCAAAAGCGTTAGCGTTTTCCAAAGCATTTCCGTTAGGCGAATGGCCCCCTAGTCTGCGTAGATTTTTTCCTAGTAAAATTTTCCTTAAATTAAAACATGTATGTAGCAGTGAAATGCAGGAATAAAATATATCTGAGACTGTTTGAACCAACTTCATGTATGACAAATTTTGTATAACGTTTTCTATCTTAACCTTACGTTCAACGACAAAATTTATTATGTTGCAATTTTAAAGATATAAGTACGTACCCTGAACACCCAGCTGCCAGTCTGCGGTCGATACTCGATGAATTTAGTGTCGTGTTTGTCGCACACGCGTCGCAAACGAGCCTCGTACTCCATCTTTAGTAACCTGCCAGCAAAATAACATAATTTATATTTTATTAATAAATAATAATAATGATTTATTACCAAATTTCACAACAATTTTACAGAGTTGTAGCCCCCACACTAGGCTTAGCCTGTCCTGCGGGGGAAGGATTTTGATATACATTAAATAAATGTGACTAAATAGGAAAGCAGAATTGATTTACAAAATACATTTATATAAATACATACATTGTGTGTGTGCGTGTGAGTGTGTGTGCACGCGTGTGTGTATGTGTTGTGTGTGTGTGCCTGTGTATTGATATATAATTCACCTGAAAAAATAATTTATTAACGTGATAAGAAACTGCCCTTAACGTGTATAAATATTTCGCACTACCCTGTAACTTAAGAATATTTTTTTTATTAGTTATTACGTGTTTATTATTCTCATACAACTTTCGTGAAATAATCAAATATTTAAAAGTATAAAAATTTACTTTATGTCTGTTTCAAAAGCAAAATGTTCCGTTTTACAAATTAAATGAACAATAAATGTTCACAAAAAATATTTGTGAAAGTATATCGAAATAAACAATATTATTTCTAAACTCCTTTAAATTATGACATATTTAGCCCTAATTATTATTATAACAAATCACGGAAGGCCTAAAATAATAGATTTTATTATTCTGATCAGGCTTGAGACAATGCTGTATGATAATTAATTCTATAATTTTTGCAAATGGACAAAATAAACCTTCACAGATTTCCTGTCAGGCCGACGATAAATTTTTGCTTTAATAAAACTTTTTGGGAAGAGTTAATCAGAGAAATGGGAAGAAAGATTCTAAGAAAATGCGTAATTGATGACTCTGTAAATAATTGGCAACATCTTTTATCAACTGTAGTAAGGTAATGACATAGTAGGAGTTCTCATAATTTTCAAGATTGTGACTTTATCAAAAGTTCCTGAGCCTTTTTTCATAGAAATTATAAATATTCAGCTATTTACCATTATATATTACTAAGTACAGTATTTATACATTGCCAAGGCAGTCGCGTCTTACAAAACTTTACCATGTCCTTTAATAACAGTTTATCCTTTTCATTGTTATTTCTATAAGCAATGAAAAGGATAGGCGGCCAGGGGGTCATTTGCCTAACGGAAATGCTTTGGAAACGCTAACGCTTACGATTTCATTTTGTTATTTCTGACCGCCGAGGGTTTTCAAATACCTCACGCTCATTTTATTTAATATTGTTATTACCAATGCAAATGAACATTAACTATAAATATATATATGACATGACGACCTCCGTGGCCGAGTGTATTGTACGCCGGGTTTCATGGTGCCGCCGACTCGAGGTCGCCGGGTCGAATCCCTATAGGGGCAGATGTTTGTGTGATGAATAAGAGCATTTGTACTCCACTCATGAATGTTTAATATGTATTTCTATATAAATATACTTATATATGTACAGTATATGTATTATATCCGTTACCCTAGTCATCCCCTAACACAAGCCTACAGTGCTTAGTTTGGCTAATTGGTGTGTGTTGGAAATATTAAAAAAAGTGTTGTTTTAAAATCACACGATTCAAATATGCAGCGTATCACCCACCTGTCTGGATCCGTGATGGGTCGCCGCTGCGTCTTGTCCCGAGGCCATACTCGGTCCAAGGTCACTATGGCCCGTCGGTTCAACTCTGACCCTACGGGTGGTTTGTCCACGTCGTCGGGGTAGATGATGACCTCCTTGTTTAGGAAGTGAACTGTTAACAAACGAAGGTTAAATATGTAGTTAATCACAGTAATATTATAAAGGCGAAAGTTTGTGAGCGTGTATGTTTATTACTTCTTCACGTCTAAACGGCTGGAGCGATTAGCTGACACCCTGGATTAACATATAGGCTATGTTTTACTGCAGGAAAATATCCATAATAAACCGCGGATAACACCGCGGGGCACAACTAGGATAACATAATTATATCATAGACATTCATCTAGAGAGGCGAAAGTAAGAAAAGTTGATCTAATAGACGACCTCCGTGACCGAGAGGTTTGTAAGCCGGGTTTCATGGTGTAGCCGACTCGAGAGGTCCCGGGTTCGAATCCCGGTGGGGGCAGATGTTTGTGTGATGAACACGAGCATTTGTACTCCAGTCATGGATGTTTAATATGTATTTCTATATAAATATACTTATATATGTACTGTATATGTATTCTATCCGTTACCCTAGCATCCCATAAGACAAGCCTTACAATGCTTACTTTGGGGCTAGGGTAATTGGTGTGAGTGTTGGAAATATTTATTATTTATTTATTATTATAGGCTATTTGAAAGCATGAAAAGCATGAAAACTTAAATCACAACTGTTGGCGTCTATATTCAACTTCTATTATGGGACCAACGCTGAAATAGCGAAAAAAATATCTTCTGTTTCATACAAAAGTGCATCAGCTAATCAACCGAAATGTATGAAACAGCTGTTTTTTTTTTGCGATTTCAGAGTTGGTCCCATAATAAAAGTTGTTCCTGTTGATAGGTAGGATCACCCCTAATTGGTTGTTGGTGTTTTAAAATTGACCCTGTATACATAAAAAAAAAATACAAACTGTGCTTAAAAATGATTCCTCGCAAACTACGATCAAGTGGGCGGAGCGAAAAAACTGCCACCAACAAGCCAACCACGGGATTGGTTGGGATTTCAAATGAATGAATGAAATGGGGATGAAAAATAGATGTTGTCCAATTCTCAGACCTACTGAATATGCATATAAAATTTCACATTTCAATTGGTCGAGCCGTTTCGGGGTAGTTCAATAGGATATTTGACAGTCTTAAAAATAAAGTGCCAATTGTTAGCATCTGTGTTTAGAATGATTATTGGCAGGGGTTTTTACTATTTTTTCAAAAAAAATTCATGATTTTACTAAAAACTAAGGAAAAAGATAATAGTTTTCATATTAATTGTCGCGTGACCCAAAACGCTTGGGATTGGCGGAGCCTAAAATGACGTCACACGCACTTAAACTCCCGGTTAAAGTGACATTACATTGTATCGTTTGATGTTTTAATAACAGTCGTGTGACGTCACACACTAGTAAAACGCCATATTGTCCAGAGAAACGTTTTCACGGCAACTTGAAAATGCAGTTTTTGATTTGGTTATTTCTACTGGTATACACAACAGAATGATGCATATCCACTTTTTACGGACTCCATAAACATTAGTCAATAACGCGAGATCTTTTTCTAAAACTGGTCAAATACCCTATTACGCACACCGTTACACGAGAATTTTATATATTAGAAGAAGATTAGAGTGATAGCAAAATGTTTGTATCTGGTTCATTTATAGTCTCGGAAAATTCGACACGTGTCTCACTTCCGTAGTAAACTCAATTGGCTCCCTATTCGCCGGCGCAGGGATTTACACTCCCACGGTTCTCTATTCGTTACTTTTCCGGCCATCTTCTCCGCCTAATCTTAAGCAGTGTTTCTCTTTTCTATCCTCTTCTCAGCTCTCGCTGCTATCCTTTTCTAACCTTCTTCGGGAAATTCCCCGTCACTCTACTGACTTCTTCTCTTATTCCTTTTCTGTGCACGCTGCTCGGCTGTGGAATTCTTTCCCTGAAGGAATCAGAAAGGCTCGTGCACTTAATTCCTTTAGCGATCAAGTTAAAAGCTATAATCCTTTCCGTTTCTTAAATTCACTAAGCATCCCATTTCTTTGCTTCTCCTCTTAAATATTTATGTAATGATATCTCCTGTATTTACTTTTTCACCCTCCTATATTTATCTATATTATTATTCCTCTTCCACATTGGTTGCCTGGAAGAGATTGCTGTTGAGCAATAAGGCCGCCTATTGTACTCTTTCTTCTGTTTTATTTGTTTACGTCTTGTGTCCTTTGTTGTGTGCAATAAAGAATATTTATTATTACTATTATTGTTTTTTTTATATAGCGAGGTAGGCAAATGACTCTACCCCACCTGATGTTAAGTGGTGATCAAGTCCAAACGCGAAGATAGCTGGTACAGCAGTTATAAACTGCCACACCAACCATCCTCACCTTGCCGGCCTGCAAAAATGCTTCTTCACGCCTCTCCTAAAGCACCCCAGGTTATATAGTTTTTTTTTAATTATTAATCCCCGTTTTGTTACAGGTCTTTATATTCTTTTTTGTTTTCCATTCTTTGTTATCTTTTTTGTGTTGTTTTTTTTTCTCTTATCCATAATTCTATTAGATATTCTTGCTTATTATGAATATTAACATTTTCGTTTCTGTGAGTTCTTAAATTCTTATATCTATTTTACAATCATTTTTCTTGTTTATTTATTTCCTATGATTTTTTACATATTTGCTTCTTTTAATATTTCTTTTTTTTACATTCTCATTATACTTATTTTACAATTGAGTTGCTGTGTCAGCTTCATTTACTAAACTTTATTTCTTTCTATTACATTCTTTACTATTTCCCGACTAAACTCTAAAATAGTTTCGTTTCTTTCACGTTTTCAAAGATTTCCCTTAATGTGCCCTTACTGATTTGTGTATCAATGCGTGTTTGTAGTGTGTGTCTTTGTGTTCCGTACTGGGGGCACTCTATGAGGACATGGAAGATGTCCTCCTCTGCAACTGGGTCGCAGAAGCATCTAGGGTTGGCCTTCTTCTTAAATCTATGGAGATAGGCGGAAAAACGTATGTAGCACGGTTATATACATGGAATGCTCTGCCCGCTCACGTGTTCCCTCTCTCTTACAACCTGGGATCCTTTAAAAGATGAAGAAGCAACATGCAGGCCGGCAGGGTGAAGATGGCTGGTGTGGCTGGTAAAACTGCAGTATCAGCTATCTTCACGTCTGGACTTCACCTTCACTTAACATCAGGTGGGGTGGAGTCATTTGTCGGACCTATCTATAAAAAAAAAGAAAATAAAAAAAAATACTGATTAAAACTTACCCAAAGCATCGAGATCGAGTCCAGCCACGTCGATTTCCGTGTCAAAGAACACGTTACCGTAGTTGTGGCGGCCGATAGTAAGGTGAGGGACGACGCACGATCCGTCCGGACGCATATAACCTGAGGAAGAGCCATCATCATCATCATCAGCCTATTAATGTCCCCACTGCTGGTGCACAGGCCTTCCCTATGGATGGAATAGGGAGATCGGGCCATAACCCACCACGCGAGCCCAGTGCGGATTGGTGAGTGCTAACGACTGCAGATGCAGCCGGGACTAGGGTTACCATTTAGGAATGTCCAAAGTCCTGACAATAATCCTGACATTTCGGGAAAAAGTCCGGACTTTTTAGTAATAAAATGGTACAATTACTCACTTAGTTATATTTGTATGGTATTTAAATCAACATGTACATTTACTATTCATATTCAATGTTATCAAAAAATCCGGACAATTTAGAGATCCGGACAAAGTCCGGACTATAGTCTTAAAGGTCCGGATATGTCCGGACTAATTTGGACGGATGGTAACCCTAGCCGGGACCAACGGCTTAACGTGCCTTCCGAAGCACGGAGGAGCTCAAGATAGTAATATTTTTGGTCACCCATCCAATGACCGACCACTGCGAAAGTTGCTTAACTTCAACGATCGCAGCCGAACGCGCCAACCACTTGCGCCATCGAGCTTCTCCTCATCGAGGGAAAGCCTATTAATTTATTTAATTTTTACTAAACCAATCAACGTAATGGCGCAATTACATTTGGTCGTTAGCCCGTCTTTGGGTGCACAAAAGACATTACTCGAATTCGGGCATCCGAAGCATTATTTACACTGGATTACGGGCTGGAAGACGTTGTCGGGTAAACAAAACGAAAACTACCCGAATACGCGTGTACTCGACTCCGTTCATTTAAATTTGTTCAGTAACCCGAATTCCATTTGCACTCGTATTCGGGCTAACGACTAAGTGTAATCGCGCCATAATTCGGGTATTTCACAAAGTCCGACAAAACTTTAACAGGTAAAAAAAGCATTGCTTTATCAGGTAAATAAAACAATTTATCCAGAAAAGAAACTGTCTTGTAATTTCTGTTCATGCCGGCATTTTGCTTAGTTATACGTGTTGGCTATTTGTAAACTGGACAACAGTCTGTCCTTATCTTACTTTATAAGTAACGAGAAGGACAGACTGTACCCTTAGCACGAACCAATATCGAATTCGTAACTTTTGCGAGTACGAAATGTTATTGTCAAATGTGTACTGATTATTAATTCTCGTTACGTACGTTATGGCGCTTCTGTTCAAGCTTCCATACAAAATTTGACAATGACATTTCGGAGGCGCATACTATTCGAATTCGATAATGGTTCGTGCTAAGGGTACTGATGTGAAATTTACAAATAGCAAACATGACTAGCCGAGTGAAGTGCCAAAATCACACTAATATTATAAAGGCTAGTTTGTGAGTGTGTATGTTTGTAACTTCTTCACGTCTAAACCACTAGAGAGATTTTTTTATAAAATTTGGTATGGGGTTAGCCGAGACCCTGGATTAACTCATAGGCTACGTTTTACTGCGGGAAAATATTCCTAATAAACCGCGGGTAACACCGCGGGGCACAGCTAGTTACACATAAACGACATTGGTTAAGGATACTCACCTATCATCTCCTGAAGGCTGGGTAATGTGAAGTAGCCGGGTCTGGTCAGTTTCACCCCGGCCGGGTGAGGCGGCATGTCTCTACGGGAAACGTTCTCCTCTTCAGAAACTAAACGAACACATACAAAAAGTTGAATACAAATAAGTGCATACATACAAGACGAATCCTCCTTTTCTGTTTGCTTGTCAAAAAGTGGGGCGGCCTAAAAGACAAGAGAAATACTTGAAACTTTAAAACTAAACATGTTAGTTTTAAATATATGGGCGTGTTAACGCATGATTGAGAAGGTCTGCCTGCACCGGAACGTCGCTCCATTTCTACCAGTAGAAGCAGCTTTGACCCACGTGATCAATAAACCCACCTCTACACTTGTGACTCTCTACGCAATACAAACTTTTTCGTTTTATTTATTTATTCGTTTCGCAATGTACGCATTATTCAAGAAACAACTGAGCTTTATTGAAGAGTACGCATAACGCCAATACAGGGCGATAGGGCATATATAGTGTTTTTACCTCGCTCAAAAGGCTATTTGACAGCATGAAAATAAAGTACCAATAGGGAAGATGCAATATTTTTATTTTTGTTTTCATTTTAAAGAATTCCATGTAGAATAAACCACAGATATATTAAAAAATTAAAACATTGTGATTTATCGGAAAAAATGCGGTTTTAAATTGACAATTTAAATTTTCGCGCGAAAACGAACCTATTGTTGCGATGACGTCACTCCTGTCTGTCACTGGTCGTAATTGTTCGTTGCTGGCTTTAAATTTTCTCGACTCTTTTCGACTTTCGAAATATTTTTTTGAAAAATTTAAAAATGGACTATCCATCAACATCATGTGATCATAACAATACCACTAATATTCCGAAAAAAAGCCGTGTTGACTCATGTTTTGTGCCAATCTACTTCAACAAAGTTCCCAAATAAATTGTTTTTGACTGGAACTTCTGACCCAAAACTGAAAAAAAGTGGTTTCAAGCTGCGAAGAGAATGACAATTATTCTCCAAAGACCATTATTCGATGCTGAGAAGATCACTTTGACGTAAGTCGGCGAATATACTTGTTATATGCTTAATTAATCTGCTTGTACGTAAACCTACCTAATACTTACAAAACCTGTCTATAACATATTTTTAATTTTGCAGTTGGAGAATGACGTCGAAAATTAGATAAAGTTTAAAATGTGTGGCACAATCTTCACATTGGCAGGACTGAACCAAGCTTTGCGTTTCATTTAAAATAACTGTAACACGATAACCATCTTTACGTACTTTATGCTCCGGAGAACTCGACCTTTTACTGTACATAATTTTCCATCTCTTTTAATTTGGACATAGCCGATTGCATTATCGCCGTAAGATTTGTAGAAGCCGCTAAATAAAATACGAAGTTTAACATTTACGATTTTTACATACCGTAGTAATTTAGTCCCTTTCATTTCTACACTTAAAAACTCTGTACTTTGGACAGAAAAAGTTATAACCATGTCAACGCTAACTCTTGGTAAATTCTGGAGTCTGCTTTGATAAACGCAACTTTCATTTTTATTAAATGTAAAAAAACGCAATAAATATTCCCATAAAATAATATTTACTTTAACAACCATAACCTCAAAGAAGTTGTCATAACAGGAGTGACGCCACTAAACGCTGATTGGTGTTTTAAAATACGTTCTGTTTCAAGTATTTTTAATTCGTAATAATTGTTAAAAAACAACATTATGTAAAATAAAAACGTTGCAGTGGCATTTCTTTTATATTTTTTTAACATTTTAATGATAAAAATTTCATAAATATTATATATGCATCTTCCCTATTGGTGGCATCTGATTTAAGATGAATATTAGCAGCGATTCTACTTTTCGGTAAGAAGAAATTATTAATAAATTTTCTAAAAAATCGTTGAGTATTTTTGATTTTGTTTTTTTTTTCACTGAAATACGCAATAGAATTATGAATATCCATCTTTTAATGGACTCCATAAACATTAGTAAATATCGTGAGATCGTTTTCTTCTTCTTCTTCTTCCAGTGATCGCGATAAAAAAATGTGATATAATGTAAATTTTGGTGCTCATGCTACGGGGACAGAACTTCTTTTAGCTATGGAAAATATTTGAAGATGTAACTGTTGGTCGGCTACCCATCCAATGGCCGATCATTGTTAAGGCAGCTTTATTTCAATAAAGTGCAGGCCACCGTTCTTTATCACACTTTTAATATATTAAAAAAACATAACTACGCGCTATATTTACATTCTATGTTATGTTTTGACTAATATAATCCAAATATTAATAGCAAACTACAGGCTACTAACATAATTTAAACTTTAATAGCTACTTTCAATGGCCACACACAGACGTCAATTTATTTTAATACTTTATTATATTCATATGGACTATTTTCGAAGTATCGCAACCGATTTTAAAAGATATATGACGTCTTTGAGTGCCACCGGTTACATAGTTTTACTTATAAGTCTACGGCTACATTCAAGGTAAAAGTATTGTAAGAAACAAAAATCACTCTGTTTTGAGTTTTTACAGCGTCACCGGATTTGGGGACGGCGAGATCCTAAGGGAACCTAAAGCCGAGAATTGGCGAGTGCCTCTAGAGCCTGGGTTCCGAACCTGGGGGTAATTACTCCTCCGGGGGTAAATCAGCCATACTTCTGGGGTAACAAAGAACCTAATTATTTGGTCAAATCCAAATAATAAGAAAATACTATATAATAACTAAATAGAGCATGCGCTCCTTCTTGCTAGCGAGCCCGCGGGGTGCTGAGTGTGGGAAGCGGGGCGAGATTTTCTCCTGATGATGACATTGTTAGAGACGAAGATGTAGCGGCCAAATTGGAATTTCTTGAACTGATGATAACATCTTAAAGTCGAGGTAAAATCTGTTTTCCTAATTACAGGGGTAGCAGTATTCGAAAGGTTAGGAAACACTGCCCTAGAGGTATTCCAGGCGGATGGCATCTTCCCACGGGGGGTCTCCTCTCCGTCTGGAGCATCTAGAACACTCGAACCTGAGGGGGTCGGCTCAACTTGAGGACGTCTCTGAGACTCGGACCTCGGCTCTAGTTATCCGTTGTCGGGGGGTGAGGTATGTTTGTTACTCAAGCACGCAAAAAGTACTGAACGAATTTGGATGAAATTTGGTACGCATAAAGTTATTCTTGTGTTGTATGTATTAAGACATAGGCCACTTATTATCCCGAAAAAATGTTAGGTTCCTGAGGGATTCTCAAAAAGCTGAAGATAGCAAGGCGAAGTAGCGACCGCTAGGAATACATAGCATTTCTAAAAGTTCATTGAATAAAAATTATATTTCTGTTCTATGGTCACGTGAGTGAAAACGCCTGGGATTAGCGAACACTAAAATGACATCACACGCTAGTAAACTTCTGGCCAAAGTGACATTACATTGTATCGTTTGACGTTATAATGACAGTCGTGTGACGTCACAGACTAGTGAGACGCCATCGTGTCCAGAGAAACGTTATCGCGATCACTTGAAAATTAAATTCTTGATTTGTTTTTTTTTACTAAAATACTACCTAAAGAAAAGTTTTACTAGGAAAAATCCACGCGGCCCAGGCAGCGGACGGGACTCGAACCCGCACCCTTCGCAATCCGGGCGAATGCACTGACCAATAATGCTACCACGGCCCTGATGGCCGCGTCGGATGGCAGGCAAAACATAACTAAAATACTATCTTTTATGGACTCCATAAACATTAGTAAATAACGTGAGATCGTTTTCTACAATTTGTCAAATACCCTATTATAATAAAGTCACAGATTTCTCTAAGAAAGTACCATATACTCCAGCTATCTGGTGGGCCAATTTCTCGCATCCGAGGCAAATCTCACCGCCTCGGTGACCGCAGAATCTGAGACCGCCAACTATTAGACAGGACATAGAAGGAATTCAGGAAGAAAGGATATAAAGGAAAGCAGGAAATATAAACAAAAAATTGAGATAAATGTTTCGACTTTGTAAAAAGGTATTGCTATGGCTATCGCTATCGCTTACGATTTCATTTTGTTATTTCTGACCGTCGAAGGCTTTAAACTGACTCGTGCCATTTTTATTCTTTTGCACTCGTAATACCAATATGTAAGAAAATGAGCGCGAGGGATTTGAAAACTTTCGGCGGTCTGAAATAACAAAAGGAAATTATAATCGATAGCGATAGCCATAGCAATACCGTTAGTCGAATGCTCACCAACAATGCAATCTTAATGAAATAGTAGCTTTCTTTTCAATTTCAAGTACATGTATATAGTCAAGTGAAAAGAATCAATTCGTTTAAAAGTACATTTAGCCGCCCTATTCTATTTAGAGAGCTCCCTTTTAAAAAAACCCTGATTTTTTTTATGTATTATTCTCCTATTGGGAAAAGCAAAAGAAACTAAAACCATACATAACAACAACCAGTCATTAACACACAATAATGTTTACCTGATAGCGAATCTATGTTCTCTTTGTCTGCCATCCTGTCTGGGGATCGAACCCCGAGCTCTCGTACCGAGTTCTCAGCGCTGTCCGGATTCGTGATCAGAGGTTTTCTTAGCGGTTTCGTTGTCAACCTGTCAAAAAGATGCAAAATAAAAATCTGGATTAAATTAAACAATTTCAAAGTAATGCCGCAATAGGGATAATGACTAATTATTTTTTCTTCGTTTATCAGGTAGATTATCAAAAAGTATTGGACACGTATTTTTTCTTTTTTCACAAAATATTAACATTGCAGAGATATATTGATTTGAAAACTCGTATGACGTCACGTTTGAGTACACTTTTAAGCGAATATTCACTAAAAAGTGACGTCACGAGCCCCTACTCCCAAACTTTGACGCGCTATAACTTGTCATTTTATTGGTTGATTGCCCGAAGAAAGAATACGTGTCCATTATTTTTTGATCATCTAACTGACGGACTAAATAGAATTTCGTTTACTGTACCCCGTCATCACCCCTATTATACTTGGTCGCCCAAAAAGACGAAAAGTGCACGAAAGACATTACTCAATTTCGGGCACCCGAAGCAATATTTACACTGGAAGATGGTGTCCGGTAAAAACAAGGAAATCTACCCGAATACGAGCGTACTCGACTCCGTTCATTTACACTTAGTCGTTTACCCGAATTCCATTGGCACTCGTATTCAAGCTAACAATCAAGTCTAATCGAGCTATGAATCTGTAGTCAGCGCATTTAAAAAAAATGGCAATGCAATGGAGGATCATTACTAGGTAAGCAAATCAACTTTTATTTGTAAAAATTAAGAGGGGGCGCTGCCAGAATATCAGCGCTGCTGCGGCCTTTTGCCAAGAGTCGTAGCAGCTTAGGCCGAGGCAGTGACCTACATTCCTTTCCTTTTTATTTTGTATTATATCTTTATCACTTTATTATTGATTTTCTCTTTATTTATTCAATGTATGTTGTTCTGGTAATGTTTTAGGCCAATAAACGTTTTTCTTGCTTTCTTTCTTCTTCTAACTCAAAATCCATAGTATAATGATCTAATAAGCTTTTTTATTAATATACTTTTTAAATCATTAAAATCAGTTCATACGTAGTTCATACGTGGCGATTTTATAAATAACCCCGCCCTCGCTTCGCTTCGGGATAGAATTGATCAAAATCCTTTCTTAGCGGATGCCTACGTCGGAACATCTACCTGCATGCCAAATTTCAGCCCGATCCGTCCAGTGATTTGGGCTGTGCGGTTGATAGATCACTATGTCAGTCAGACACCTTTGAGTTTTATATATATAGATTTTATGGTAGCCAATATTCATCGGCGGCCGAAAAATGTGTCACGTCAGAGAGCTGCTTGATAGTGATTCACGCCGGTCGGACTGCAGTAGCGTCTCTAGGCACGCTCGCGCCCGAGCGTTAGAGCTCTGTGACGTCACAGTCACCACGCGGTCAGCCGAAAATTCGTTTAGGAATTTGGTCATAACTTCGTCAATATTTGTCGTAGAACAAAAATTTAACCACTGTTTTTTATGGTATCCTTAGCACCATAAATCTGCATTCTCAACTTAAATCGTTACGGATCCTCATTTTGGAAGAGTATTAAATACTTATGTGATGGTAGTTTAATATTAAGACGATAATAATTGGATTTACTGGAATACGAGTACCAGTTTGTATAGAAAATGTAACTGACTTGTTGGTTGTTTAAAGCTTAAATTGATAACTTAATTAAATCGACTACGATGATAAGATAAAGTTTCACACTTACCAACTGGCTCGCCTCTCCGATGTTTGGGACTGTATTTCTTTATCTGGTAAAAAGAATGGCATAATTATTGTTATATAATTTACTTAATAGTTACGGGCGTACTCAGAGACGCCACTCTTTCTATTGTATGAGATCCTTCTTTTAACATAATTAAACCTATTACATATACACCTGAAAAACATAACCCCCTTTCTTATGCAGCCGCGTAAAAAAAATATCAATATAAGCCGCGCCAATAAAGAAGCGAATCTAAAATGGCGACGGCAATCACGGGCTCTCACTCTAAAAATACACAAAATATCAGTTCTGACTTTGTTCTAGCACTGTCTCGACATTACCTAATACACAACTTTTTCTTTCTTTTTATTTGTTGACCCTAGCATCTGTCAGTGCAGGTACATAGACGCCATTTTTGATTCGTTTCTTTATTGGCACGGCTTATACAATAATAATATATGTATTTAGTTTTAGGTTCATTTTTCTAGAATGTTTTATATAGATTTTAATATTAATATCCTTAATTAATACATTCATGTTTATTGCAAATAAATTTAAATAGAGTAAAATAGGGGATGAAAATTTGTGCTATGCGATTTAAATAAGAATAATGACCTCTAACTGTCAAATGTTGCTTGAAAAGTACGGTTTGCAAAAAATCTTACTTTTTTTCCACTGAGCTAATCTTAGAATAAATACCAAACATTTGTAAACAAAAGAAGGAAATAAATCATATGAGACGTATAGAAAATGAGTACTGGAAAAGGGAAATATAAGAACTTTAGTTTTTTTATAAATACAGGTAATAAAAAGAGCGTTTTTATTTTAAATAAAGCTGTCGTTTTAAAACCTTCAATAATCGTCATTTTATTTTATAGCCGAAAGCAGCAATGATGATGATGACCTCTCCGACGGCAGTGCGTGGAATTAAAGAGCTAGATGCTGATTAATGTTTTTTCTCACTCAGTCTTAATAAATCAATATTATTTAAAATATGATTATTTTTGTAACTTAATCTTGGTAGATAAGTTTTATTAAAGAAAAACTTTTTTGTTCACTCTACCTAACTGGTTTGAATTGACAGCTATTACGTCACAATATGGCGCCCGCGCCCAGTAGGTCCTATTCTTAGTTGAATCGCACCGTATAGGAAATCAATTCCACACAAACAAAGACGCAAGTACCCACTACTATTTGTGCGAATAATATCGAGAATTTACAAATAACTCTTTCTTAAGCTTTTGAATTAACTATCTTGATTAAAAAAATTTATTATTAATGTCAACAAAAGGTACAACAATAATTACTTGATTTATGTCAAGTAATAAATAATAATAAACACTTACCTAATCTCGGATACAAGCGTGGTGTGGGCTCGTTGTCCAATGGCTTTTCTTTGTCGTTCCATGGCAACTTTGACGAGCTGAGCCTATTAACAAATATATCATAAATACGGCATTCATTTCTATTTATTTATTCAGGATAAACAACCACACAATAAGTAATTTTGAAGTGAAAAGACGCTTGACTTGGAGGGTGGGGGTTTACCGATGAATGCGTTACGAGCTATGCGTTACGATTAGTGTCACCGGTGACTCATGGGTAAACAATGAAGAATTTAGGCATGTTTGACTTGGGGGGTAAACTGGCGAACGCGTTACGAGTTACGAAAAGTGACACGGGTCACACATATATATATATATACATACAGATGGAGCTAAAGAAGTTTTACGTCAGTCGTGTGGTCATAAGCACACTCGTGTTTTGCTGTAACATAGCAAGAAGGTTTCGGAAAAGTTTTTTAAAATACTTAATTTTCTTTTCTGTATGACATTGACTAAACTCGCATTACAAATATCACGTGTTCTATTGTTTAAAGGTATGCTAGGTAATATATATATATGTATATATAGGGAGAAAAAAACAGCCCTTGCTGAGTTTCTTGCCGGTTATTCTCAGTACAAGGTCTCCCGCCGTAGATTTGCGAACCGATGGCCTAGCTTCTTGATCTTCGCAAGTGCTTGTAACAGCCTAGACTGAATAAACGATATTGAATTTTGAAAAATTAGATATTTTAAGTTTTAACAAGAAAAACATGTACAGTTGAAGACGGTATATTTTGAAGTATGTAACATGGCAAGAAGGGTTTAGAGAAGTTTTTTAAAAGGCTTAATTTTCTTTTATTTATGTCAATGGCTACACTCGCATTACAAATATCAGACAGAGAAATGAAATAATTTTAAACTTTGTTAAAGTGACGCATTCTCTTATTCTATTGCTACTTGACGACCTCCGTGGCCGGGAGGTTTGTACGCTGGGATTCATGGTGTCGCCGACTCGAGAGGTTCCGGGTTCGAATCCCAGTGGGGGCAGATGTTTGTGTGATGAATACGAGCATTTGTACTCCAGTCATGGATGTTTGTTATGTTTTTCTATATAAATGGATTTATATATGTACAGTGCAGTGCTTACTTTGGGGCTAAGCTAATTGGTGTGAGATTTAGAAATATTTATTTTTTATTTTATTTTTACTAGCAAGCACCCGCGTCTTCATCCGCGTTAACTTTAGTTTACTAGGAATCCCGCGGGAACCTAAAATTTTCGGGATAAAAAGTATCCTATGTCTGAATCCGGGGTATAAACTATATGTGTGCCCAATTTCATCTAAATCCGTTCAGCCGTTTTTGCGTGATTGAGTAACATACTGGATTAGGGAAACGGATAGAATACATACACTGATACATATATACGTATATTTATATAGAAATTTACATTTAGAACAGGCTATTTGATAGTACGGTTAGTTGCCAACGGTTGGCATCTGTATTTACTATTCTGAGGAAACATATATTTAAAAACTTTTCTAAAAAACATTAAAAAGCAATTATTTTTTGTTCAATGGTCATGTGGCCGATAACGCCCGGGATTTGCGAAGACTTAAATGACGCCACACTCTAGTAAACTTCCGGTCAAAGGACAATACTTTGTATCGATTAACATTTTAATGACAGTCGTGTGACGTCACATACCAGTGAGATGCCATGATGATTAGAGAAACGTTTTCGCGGCATCTTAAAAATAGAATTTTTTATTTAGTTTGTTTACTGACAGTTGATACAGACAGACAGTATGATAATGAAATACACAACAGAAAGATGAATATCTACTTTTTATGGACTCCATGAACATAAGTATAAACGTGAGATCGTTTTCTAAAACTAGTCAAATACCCTATTTCGTGAATGATAAGATAATGAGAAAAATATCAAATTAATATGAACAACACACATATTATACTTAAATATAATATATAGTACCATATACTCACCAACTATTATTTTTATCAGCACTGATGTCGTTATCTGTAAAGAAATCTTCGTTTAAAAATCTACTCTGTGTAACTAATTAACTTAACTTTTTGCGGTAAAATGTTTTACCACACGCTCCATTGAATGACCCGTAATTATGAACTTCCGAACAATGTATAATGCGATTCAAATAAGAATAGGAAAGCCAATGACCTCCAACTGTCAAATGTCGCTTGAAAAGTACGGTTTGCAAAAAAATCTTGGAACCCTTTTTTAGCACTCTGCTAATTCTAGAATAAAAACCATACATTTGTAAACAAACAATGACAAATATTGATAATTAATATCGGTTGTTTTTTTTTTTCATTTATTTGAATTGACAGCTATGACGTCAAAATATGACGCCCAGTCGGTCCTATTCTTAGTTGAATCGCATTATATACAACGATCTCCGTAAATGCATTTTTTGAGCAAATGTGTTGCAAATGTCTAAACGATATTGAAAACTGTAAAAAACCTTACTAATCAAAAGTACTAATTGCAAACAAACTCACTATTCTCCGCGAAGCTCCCAGAACGTTTTCCTGCACCGCTAGAATCTGGTACATCTGCCGGGGGCTCGGATTCTGTGCCTTGATTTGGGATACTGTCGTTACGTTGATCTTCCACAATCCTGGATAGTAAATAGAAAAACAAATATTTTTGAAGTGAAAACTTCTATAGCGGCGTTGTACACTTTTTCTGTATGGGTAAAAAATGTCAAATTCGCGTCAGGTTGGGTTGATCGCATTCCATCGCAATATATTGGACGAAACATAGTAATATTTTATTTTATCGTATTATAACAATTTTCTATCTAGGACGTCCACGTGGCAGCTTTATAGCGAAGAAAATGCATTTTTTGAGAGATAAACTTTTTTAATGTAATATAAATTGTCATGATTGTGTACAATAGCGCAATAAATAAATATTGTATTCTACCACATACATGATAGTACTTTTATACTGATAATTAAAGCAATTCGTGCAAAATTATTCCCTGACCATTCCAAAATATCAAAATTGCACATCGTTAAAATTCAAGTTTTCACTTCTGCCGGCACTCCCGGAGTGCAACCCGTCGCATAAACTGCTTCGTTACAGTAGGTCTCGGGCCGCGCAGGGGGTCAATTGCCAAACGGGATTGCTATGGTTATCGCTATCGCTTACGATTTCATTTTGTTATTTCGGACCGCCAAAGGTTTTCAAATACCTTACGCTCATTTTCTTTAATATTGTTATTACCAATGCAAGAAAACGAGCGCGAGGCATTTCAAAACCTTTAGCGGTCAGAAATAAAAAAAACATCAACCGTAAGCGATAGCGCCTAGTTTTCAGCCACACCCACTTCTCTTTAGATGAAAAGCGAGACTTGTTAATGTATATAATTAATATCTTGTATGTAGAGGAACTCCATATCCCAAATGGTTAGCGCGTTCGGCTGCGATCGTTAAAGTTAAGCAACTTTCGCAGTGGTCGGTCATTGGATGGGTGACCGAAAATTTATTATCTCGAGCTCCTCCGTGCTTCGGAAAGCACTTTAAGCCGTTGCTCCCGGCTGCATCTGCTGTCGTTAGCACCCGCCAATCTGCACTGGGTCCTCGTGGTGGGTCATGGCCCAATCTCCCTATTCCATCCATAGGGAAGGCCTGTGCCCCAGCAGTGTAGTGTTTGTTTTTAAACAGGGCGTGACACGGACACACGTAGGACAGCTGTTTTGTCTATGATAGCGAACCGCTTACGTCAGCGTAGCTGTCAAACTTCATTGATTGGGTTGGTAGCCTTGAGGGAATAGTCGATTTTCCTATTCGACTAAAATATTCGCCTTGAGACTTATAAAAAAAAAAAAAAAAAAAAGTAATCAGGCAGTGAATCTCTGTGGGGGCGCGTGGATGAATGGATGGAGTTTGACAGTTGTTGAATTTTGAATAGTTTTTCCCATATCGATTTGAGTCCTCCTTATCGGGCGCTGTTTTTTAATCGATTTTGAATTTTACTCGAAATTGAATTTCCTCACTGATTTGGGTAGGTATTCCCTTTTCCTCAGCTTACGGCGAGCGTAGGTATATACACACATCAAAAGTGTCTAGGGATCAAGCATTTTTATGCGGATTTCTTGAGATTGAGATGTGGCTTTGTAATAAATTTATGATTTTATAAATTTATATGGATCCTTTTTGGTGCATTTCATAATTTGAATCAGGAACTGTGAATCAAATTCGAGTAAAAGATGAAAATCAGCTGTCAATATTTTCCCTATAAAAACATACAACGCATTGAAGACATTATTAGTGCTACTGTTTCCCTACTACTGATTAAAACCAACGTTATTATGGAGCGGCGACGTCATTTAAGCAGGGAAGAAATGCTCAGAGCCGTGGGAATGATAGAAGCTGGTTCCCGGCAACGTACTGTGGCTTTAGCTCTGAATACAAGTCAGAGTGTTATCAGTCGACTTTGGACACGATACCGAAGCACTGGTACCGTGGCTGAGCGCCATGGAGGACGGTATCGCTGCACCACACGGAGACAAGACCGATACATTCAAATCTTAACTCGAAGAGCTCCAACAATAACCGCCATGATGTTAGCCGTGAGGCTTCATCACTCTTCAGGGAACTTAATTAGCGACCAAACAGTCAGAAACCGCTTGCATGAAGTGAACCTTCATTCCCGAAGACCGCTACGGGTACCACCTATAGCAATGCACAATCGTAGGATTCGATATCAATGGGCTCTTGAACACAGAAATTGGGCAGAAGAACAATGGCGTTTCGTGTGCTTTTCTGATGAGTCTCGTTTTGGTATGAGACCGGATACAAGACGTATACGACACTGGAGAACCCCTGGACGCCAACAGCGATTAAAATCCTGCCAGGAAGTCCATCCTTATAGTGGTGGAACCATCATGGTATGGGCGGGTATTTGGATCGGCGGAAGAACTGAGTTGATTTGGATCAGAGGCAACCTCAACGCTCAAATTTATGCTGAGACGATTGTATCAGACGTCATCGTTCCTCTACAAGTGCAAATCGGTCCCTTATTTCAGTTAATGCATGATAATGCACGACCGCACACCGCAAGAGTTGTAAGACAGACTCTCGCCGCAGCTAACATCAATGTCCTGCCCTGGCCTGCTCAGTCGCCAGACTTGAACCCGATTGAGCATGCATGGGATATGCTACAGAGAAGAGCTCTGCCGAATATGGAGGGTATCCAGTCGCAAGAAGACCTTTTTTTGTTGTTGCAACGAACATGGGCGGCCATTCCACAGCGTGATTTGGATGAACTCATTTTGAGTATGCCAAACCGATGTTCTTGTGTTGTTAGTGTTCGCGGTAGAAATACGGATTATTAATTGTTTAAGTTACCCAATAAAATTTTAGAGAAAACTGTTATTTCAGTCTTTTTTTCTAACTTTTGTGTTAGTGGTTCAAATGTCAAAAATCCCTTTATTAGGAAAATGGCAAATTTCTTTATTAATGCAAAGGTGACTTGGTTTATCGTTACTGTGACAAACGAAAACACTTTATTTGATGAATCCTTAAAGAAAATTTTAATTAATATCAATCAGGAGAAAAGTTATTGCAAAAATATATGTTGATCCCTAGACACTTTTGATGTGTGTAGTTTTGAGTTTATTCTTCGGTTCGTCTCGAATGCGGCGGCTGTCTGTTTGACTGTGGCCTTTGCCTTCGGTTGGAGTGAGAAACAAATCATAGACACATGTTTGGGAGTGGACGACCCGTCTATCATCTATGAGCAATTGTCAAAACAACATTTAAAATTTCACAATCTGTTTGTGGTACAGTTAACTTTTCATCGTTTCTTCTGCCCAAAGTATATTATAAGGCATATTATAGTCGTCGGAGTCGTGAAATAGATCCGAAAAGTTTATATCCTGAAGGATATTGGCGGAAATAGCGCGGAGTCGCTAACCGAACTGAGTTTCGCAGGTGGACGAACACGAACCTTCGCAAGGCGTTGCAATAAGGCAGTAACTTGTGATAGGAAACAAAATACTTACGGATAGTTTCATATTTCGAACGGCTTGTACGTTCCCCTCAAGAAATACTGGAGGAATAACAAGGAGACTCTTTCTCTGTACACGGACCAGAAGGGACGCGGGAGTTTATTTGCCAGCCGCTCTCCGGTTTTATGTAACCCGGCCGTAACATCGGACAGATCATACACTGATAAACCTATCCTAATCAAGGTATTTCACTACTAACCCCGGGTGAGCGTGGAGAAGAACCACAAGGCGAGGTTGGACCCCGACCTACCCATTTCCATATATATACATATATCTATATAACTGGTTATCTCACTGAGAACTGGAATTAACTAAGTTTGTCACCAATATCGATCAAACGAGCCGTAGAACCTCTGAAATCCACTAAATAGCTTATTCAGTCTAGTCTATGTGGTATGTGTGGATAAAATATATTAGATATAGTTGAGAACTCATGTAAGTACATGGTAAAGTGTTATGAATGTCTGATATTCATATAATTATAACATCTCATGACAACTTGTTGGTTTATATACACTTTAACTTTGAACTACTGTATTCAGCTTAGATATTTATAATTAGTGAAACATAGTTATTATATAAATAATAAACATAGTTGGGCTTGTTGATTTATATAAGCAATAACTTAAAACTACGGAATTCCTCTGCTTTGGTATCTAAAGTGGATAAAATATACTTATAACATTATCTTAATTCTTTTGGTTTTCTTTCATTGTTCCCCCGGTGCTCTGAGTGAGCTTAAAAGAGGGCCGTGGAGGAGAATTTAAACATCACAGCAGTGGGGACATTAATAGGCTGATGACGATGATGATCCCCGATAAATGTTGAGCTGCTGTGGGCTTTTCAAAAAGTGACTAAATATAAAAAAAAACTGTAAAAAAATTAATTCACCTGTCCGTCTGTTGTGTTTGCTCGTTGTCTTGCTGCGAATCTCCCCTGGGGTTCGGTCTTAACACCAAACGTTTGCGGCTCGGCTTCAAACTCAATTTGTCTTCTAAACTCGTGTCCGATTCCTCGAGACCGTCGAATAGTGATTTCTGTTCAATAGATAGATCACCATCATTAGCGACACGGAAGAGTTTGATGGCACATAAATGGTTTTATTTTGCGATCGTGGAATTTCGGCAATGGTTGACCATATGATAGGTGACCAAAAACTTAGTAACTCGAGCCATAGTATGCTTCGAAACCTTAGATTAAAACAAAAAGGGAAGATACGGTACTCGCGGCTCAAAAGTGCTCCGCTTAAATTGTGGTGTATGACCACAATTCGCTTTAGTCACAATTGGACATTGAAACACGTTGCATGTGCACTCAATATTGAGTATATTCTGTGTTATAAAGATAAAACAATGCCTTCGATGCTTTTATAAAGAACACAAATAGATCAAAATCAAATAACAACAACTGTAAAAACTTTACTTTCTCAAAAATCACGGTTTGTCGTGAATGTTATTACTAATGTTGGTACGTAATCGCCATTTTGTTACCAAGAAAAGGACAACAATACAGCTCAGCTGTACGGACTCAGAAGCGGATTCGCCGTTTTGCGCTCGCGCTGCGTTGAAGCGTACAGTACCCTTAGCACGAACCAATATCGAATTCGAATCGAAATCGAGTCCGAAATGTCTTTGTCAAATGTGTATTGATTTTTCAGTTCTGTTTACGTACTTTGTGCCGCTCCCGTGCAAGTTTCCATACAAAATTTGACATTGACATTTCGGTTTTCAAACTATTCGAATTCGATAATGGTTCGTGCTAGGGGTACAGTTCTGTCTTGCTAGCTCGATTGAATGTTTATTTACAGACGTGTACTTGTGTGAGAGTTGTTTATGTAGTTGAGTCGGATCATATTTACCGTATCTTCCCTTTTTGTTTTAATCTAAGTTCGGAAAGCACATTTAGCAGTTCGACCCGGCTGTATCTACAGTAGTTAAGACCCACCAATCCGCACTGGATTCTAGCGAGCCATGGGCCATTCTCTTACGCAATCCATAGGGAAGAACTGTGTACTGTGTATGGAAAACCTCCGTGGCCAAGTGGTTTGTACGCCGTGCGTCAAGGTGTCGCCTATTCGGGAGGTCCCGGGTTTGAATCCCGGTGGGGGCAGATGTTTGTGTGATGAATACGAGCATTTGTACTCCAGTCATGGATGTTTAATATGTATATCTATATAAATATACTTATATATGTATCAGTTTATGTATTCTATCCGTTACTCTAGTATCCCATAACACAAGCCTACACTGCTTAGTTTGGGGCTAGGCCAAATAATGTACATAAAAAAATGTAATAGGGTATTTGACAAGTTATAGAAAACGATCTCACGTTATTGACTAATGTTTATGGAGTCCGTAAAAAGTGGATATTCATCATTGTAAAAATAACCAAATCAAAAACACCATTTTTATGTTACAATATGACGTCTTACTAGTGTGTGACGTCACACGACTGTTATTAAAACGTCAAAGATACAATGTAACGTCACTTTACCGGAAGTTTACTTACGTGTGACGTCATTTTAGGCTCCCCCAATCTCAAGCGTTTTGGGTCACGTGACAATAGATAAGAAAAATATTATCTTTTTCGTGGGTTTTTAGTAAAATTATGAATATTTTTTTTTGTAAAAATAGTAAAAACCCCTGCCAATATTCATTCTATGCACAGATGCTAACAATAGGCACTTTATTTTTAATACTGTCAAATACCCTATTGTGTGAAAGACTTTGGATAATTGGAGTGTGTAATGAGGGCTACCGTTTTCTGTGTCACCAGATGGCGCCACTGTTGAGTGAGGTCCTAAATTGTAACTTTTAAAGTTTATTAATACGCACATGAAATCAAAGGTTACATTTAGATCGTATTTTAACACAAAAGAACCATATCCTAAACATAATAGGCCATGCCACAGTGACGCCCAGTTCCGTTTTATTCGGAAAAAATGGGAACATAATCATTTTTCTAAGCTCAAATTTTTAATAACTGACATTCATTGCCACATAACTCATATTTGCCATAATTAAGCCGAATTGTTACCAATTATTCACAACATTATTTTAATAAGAAATAAACCCGCGTAGTCAACCAACAAGCAATAACATTTGACATTTCGGAGACCTCACGCTACACTAGCGCCTCTAGCGGCGGATTCATACGCGATAGCCCTCATTGTGTATAGCATATTTTCCACTGGAATTGGAGCGCCCGTCTGTGGAAGTAACCTCCACCTTACAGTAGATCACAGCACACAGTTTCATTTTCTCTGCACCTTCTTCCTCGTTGACTGGTAGAGAATGCCATACTGGCATTAAGTCCGCCATTTGCATTGTAAAGGCAATAAAGATTAAATCAATAAATAACTAAGGTTCCAAGGCTCCATGTGGTAGGGGATTCGGTCAGAGTAGACATTTTTTTTTAATAATTCATGACCATGGATACAAGTCTTTCGGTCGTATACATAAATACAAATCTTAATCTTCTTGTTTACATTAGAATGTCGGTGTGACGCATTCTAATGTTTCTTGGAGTGTTTGGCACGAAATTTATCGAGTTGGTTTTTTCGATTAACTTCCGTGAGGTAGTCAACACTACAATAAAGTTCTCACGTCCACTTGACCGGAATAGCGTATATTTTAAAGATTCCACCAATTCTTTAGTTGCGCAGACGGTTGTATCACAAAATCACACCAATTTTATTTCACAATATCCACTATGAACGAATTTAAGAATAATTGAAATAAGACGCCAACCGTTCTCGTTGAAATCCCGCTAAAAACTCTCAGAGTAGACAACGGTGTTGCCAACAGGCGGGCAATAAGCTTGTTTTCTACCATTTAACATAAACCTTACCTTATCGTTTGGTAAAGGCCGCGGCTGCAATCTTAGCGGTGGTCTTGTGGGCGGCAATCGACCGCTATCCAAAATCGCTTTCACCGCAGCTGGATTTGTAGGTTTTAATACTTCATCCGCTGTAGTGCCCGCTAAAGAAATAAAATAATAATAGAATAGAACATATTTTATTAACCCCCATTTACACATTTACAGATAAAAATTCAAAAATCACAGGGCTAACCAGGACCCTACCTCAGCATTAGCTGATGCGACATTGTGTCGCAACAGCGCTGTTATTGTAGGGACACAAAAAAATACATGTAAAAATAATTACTAAGTATTATGTATTTGTAAAGATTTTTTTTTTTTTTTTTGACACTCACACCAATTAGCCTAGCCCCAAAGTAAGCACTATAAGGCTTGTGTTATGGGACGCTAGGGTAACGGATAGAATACATATACTGTACATATATAAGTATATTAATATAAATACATATTAAACATCCATGACTGGAGTACAAATGCTCGTATTCATCACACAAACATCTGCCCCCACCGGGATTCGAACCCGGGACCTCTCGAGTCGGCGACAGCCATGAAACCCGGCGTACAAACCACTCGGCCACGGAGGTCGTCAGAAAGATGTATGGGTCCAACATCCTTTGCTTTCAAGTAACAATAAATAAAAAAATGAAAATAAGAATACAATTGCATACACTACTTTACCTTCATTCATAGGAACAGTTGAAATTAAACAAAGTAGCTAGGTAACAAAGAAGTATTTTGCTCAACGATATATAAAAACTAGCTGTCCCAGCAAACTTCGTACCGCCATAAAAAATAGGGATTGGTGGTAGAAGGGTGAAAAGGAGATTGCTCAGCTTCCATACATGTTTGGCCTGAAGACCAATTATCATGAAAATTTGTTTCCTAGATTGAAAATTATATATAAATTATTGTAGAAACGAATATTATTAACGGACACCCCTGAGAACTTCTATAAACCATATAGGTACAGTGAATGATTTTGAGGTTACGTTTGCAAAAAGAATTTTTAAACTCTCGTTAACCAAAGGAAGCTAAGAGATTTTGGGTTATAAAGCCGTCTAGCTTTGTTATGTTTATATTATGACCATAATTTAGACTTTTAGTGTATCACACCTTTTAATGTGTTTATGGAGGTGTTTGGCGAAAAATGTATGGCAATAGACTTTATGATGTCGCCTACCATCTATATTAATTGTCTTAGCACATTTGCATGTAGTGAAAATGATAATATACGAGGGGAGGTCAATAAGTTCGCGGAATGGAGGGGTTGGTGGGGGTAGGTTTATTCATCCAGGTAGGCATTAGTTGAGCACCTCATTAAGAGTATATATACCAAGTTTGAACCTAATCGGGTCATTAACTTTTGAATTATCGAACTGCAAACAACTGAATAGGGAAGAAGTCAGCCAGTATGAAGAAAATTTAACACCGCGCCGTTATTAAGTTCCTTACCAAGCAAGGAAAATCCGCTCAGATTATTTTTCAAGAGCTGTTGGCGGTTTACGCGGACTCTGCCCCTGGTAAAACCATGGTTTACAAGTGGCATGGTCTTTTCAAACAAGGAAGAGAGTCCATTGAAGACGAGCCCCGCTCCGGACGGCCAATTGAGGCCACCACACCGGAAATCGTCGAAAAAGTAGAAAAACTTGTATTGGAAGATGCCCGGTTGAAGAAGAAGCAGCTTGCAGCAATGATTGGAGTATGCGAAACAAGTATTTTGAATATTCTACATCATCATCTTGGGATGACTCAGTGCAAGATAGGTTCCGAGAATGCTTACGCCACTTCAAAAACCCGAGCGTATCGAGTGTTCTCGCCAGTTTTTGGAGCTCTGTGGAGAGAGAAAGGAAGAAGTTATGGCCGAATCGTTACTGGTGATGAAACCTGGGTTCACCACTATGAACCCGAGTCAAAGCAAGAGTCGATGCAGTGGCATAAAAAAGGCACACCTCCTCCAAAGAAGTTCAAAGTGACACAATCGGCTGGCAAGATCATGGCGACTGTCTTTTGGGATACAGAAGGTATTTTACTGATCGATTATAAAGAACGTGGTGTGCCTATAACGGGACAGTACTACGCTTCTTTACTAGAAAGATTGAAAGAAGCCATCAAGGAAAAAAGAAGAGAAAAGCTGTCAAAAGGTGTGCTCCTTTTGCACGACAATGCACCCGTTCACACGTGCCATGTTGCGACGGCTGCCATTCACCGATGCGGCTTCGAACAATTGAACCACCCACCCTACAATCCAGACTTGGCACCCAGTGACTATTATTTATTTCCAAAAATGAAGAAAGAGCTGCGTGGAAAAAAAATTGACGACGATGAAGTCCGCAATTTCGGCCTATTTTGACACCAAAGACAAAACATTTTTTTTCGATGGTATAAACAAGTTACTTGAGAGATCTGAAAAATGTATTAGGGTTAAGGGAGAATACATTGAAAAGGAAAAATAATTTGGTGTTTAATTTCAACCTCCTTCCCTCTTATTCCGCGAACTTTTTGACCTCCCCTCGTACTTGTGGATATTAATACCACAGTGTCGTAAGTGTAAATGTTTTATTTTATCGATCCTTACAAAATAGATTTATTTTGATGTTATTTAAACAACTTCGATCATTCTTTGGCTGAATGTTGCTACACCAATAGCCATTAAAAATGATTCGTATGTTTTGCAAACCGGTAAAATTAAAAGTCCTTTTTAAAATGAATATATTATACAAAGGTGTCTGTTAAAATCTAATGACTGTAAAAGAAAGTATAATTTACGCCAAGAATTACCGTATTAATCAATATTTTTTACATTTGGGCCAATTTGAGCAATCTGCTTATGGGTTGGATGTATTTTTGTATGATGTATCATAAAAAAATTAAAACAAAAAATTTTGTCAAAAAAAATTTAAGCGTACCACCCTTAACATTTAGGGGGATGAAAAATAAATGTTGTCCGATTCCCAGACCTACTAAATACGCATATAAAATTTCACCGGTCGAGCCGTTTCGGAGTAGTTAAATTACGCACACTGTGCCGAGAGAATTTTATATATTAAATAATAACACTCACGATCTCCAGGCACCAAGTCCTTGAACAGCGGTGAGTCTCCGTAAGGCCTTGCAGCCAATGTCAACATTTGTTCATGTACGTTGCCCGCCGCTGAGGCACCGCTTAAACCTGAGCTGTAGGGTATTTGAAAAGTATTAGAAAACGATCTCACATCATTAAAAAATAAATAAATATTTCCAACACTCACACCAATCAGCCTAGCCCCAAAGTAAGCACTATAAGGCTTGTACTAGGGTAACGGATAGAATACATATATTGTACATTATATAAGTATATTTATATAGAAATACATATTAAATATCGGGATTCGTACCCGGGACCTCTTGAGTCGACGTCACCATGAAACCCGGCGTATAAACCACTCGGCCACGGAGGTCGTCAAACAAAAACTAATGTTTTTAAAGTCCATAAAAAGTCAATATTTTTAATTGTGTTGTGTGTAATTTAGTAAAAAACAGGATTACACACAATGGAATTAAAACTATCAACTTTTTATATCAAAAATGCAAATTTCAAGTTGCCGCGAAAAAGTTTCCCTGGACATTATGGGTGTATTCCGAAATATACATCAGTATACTGGCCAGTGGTAATGACGTCATTAATCCGAGCGACGCCATATTGTACTGGTATGCTACCATATTTTTACCGGGAAAACGAATATGACGTATGACCGAGCGTGCGTGAGAAGCATTCAAATTTTATTTATTTTTTATTTAAAGAACAATAACGGCATCCGAACAAAAAGAATTCCTTTTAATTGATGCGGTGAATAAATCTTCTTTATTCGCACTATTTTAAATATTTCGTCGATTTATGACGTCATTGCACTGGCCAGTATATTTCGGAACAATTCACCAGGCCTCGTCGACCTCCGTGGCCGAGTGGTTTGTACGCCGGGTTTCATGGTGTCGTCGACTCGAGAGGTCCCGGGTTCGAATCCCGGTGGGGGCAGATGTTTGTGTGATGAATACGAGCATTTGTACTCCAGTCATGGATGTTTAATATGTATTTCTATATAAATATACTTATATATGTACAGTATATGTATTCTATCCGTTACCCTAGTATCCCATAACACTAGCCTTACAGTGCTTACTTTGGGGCTAGGCTAATTGGTGTGAGTGTTGGAAATATTTATTATTTATTTATTTAGTATAGTGGTATATATTACGAAATACACCCTATGGCGTCTCACTGGTGTGTGACGTCACACGACTGTCATTAAAACGTCAAACGATACAGTGTAATGTCACTTTGGCCTTAAAAGAAAGAAGAATATCTGTATTGACTTAAGTCACAGTGAAGTTTGCTAACTTTCTGAGACAAAATATTAACTAATCATGAAGTAAACAGAGTGTTGAGTTAATAGAACTTAGCAGGCCAAACACCCATTCTATAGTAAGATCCTTAACTGGACACTGCAAACTCAGCAGGCACCAATTTCGACGTACGTAGTATTCATTTGGTACGACATGTAATACGCCCAGAGGAAATCAAATCTTTAAAAGCTAGAAACGTTTTTCTTGGAAGCTGAAAGAGATACTTTAACTTGGTGGCGAGTCACAATAGATCTTCTAGGTTGCAGTAACTATAGTTCCATTAGGACTGCATGGCCTCAAAAATCACACTAATATTATAAAGGCGAAAGTTTGTAAGTGTGTGTGTGTATGTTACTTCTTCACGTCTAACGGCTAGAGCGATTTTAATGAAATTTGGTATGGAGTTAGCTAAAACCTGGATTAACACATAGGCTACTTTTTACTGCGGGAAATTATATCTAATAAACCGCGGGTAACACCGCGGGGCACAGCTAGTTTAAAATAATAATCACACTAATATTATTAAGGCGAAAGTTTGTGAGTGTGTATGTTTGTTACTTCTTCATGTCTAAACGGCTGGAGCGATTTTAATAAAATTTGGTATGGAGTTAGCTGACATCCTAGATTAACACACAGACTACGTTTTACTGAAAAATATCCCTAATAAAACGCGGGGCACAGCTAGTAATACATAATGTAAAAGAAATGGTGAAACATACTTGTTTAATGACGTATTGTTTGCATTCAGCCCGAGGCCGAGGGATGGAGCACCAAGTGATGTGTTGCCTCCGAACATTCCGGTGCCTCCTAGTCCACTATCTGCAAGGTATTACGTTTAATGAAATACATTATTAGCTAGATCCTACTCTAATGTTGATACGGTAGAGGACCGTCACCCTCTTATTAATAAACGAAGAATAAGCTTGGATTAGTTACATTTGTCACGGGGTCACGACCCCCTCCTGGGCTGGGCCCATCTGTACCCACGTCAGAAAGAAAGAAAATACATTTATTTTGACACAAACAACGAGACAGTAGATACAAGATTTTGAGCAACAAAAAAAAATGCAAGAAAAAGAAAAATTATCGTAAACAATAGGATAACAACACAAAACAGTGACACACACAAATTTTCATAACAGTCGTTACCACCGGTGATTACTCTGTTGCTATCTCGCGGCTGCGCCAAAACAGGTTGTCAATTCAGCATGTTGTCAGGTTTGTGGGACCTGACGCTGATTTTCAATTGACACCTATAGTTCTTTTGACAACTGACTATCGGAAAAATGAAATATAAAAATAAAAAAAAACAGAAACGTCACAATCTGTACTTCACAATCTGTACCCACTGTGACTTGAACACGACTATATGACCCCTCCCGCCTGGTGCCAAAGCTGGATCCGCCCTTGGTTTTGTGTCTGTTCATTGAATGACAAACGACATATGAGTGAAATGAACAAAACACGGCGTAACTAGTCTGAGCTTATACCTTGTTTACTAATAAGGGGGTAAGGGGTTCCTACTTTTCTACCGTATTTGTAAGGTTTTAACCCTTTTAGACATAATTAAATACAAAAAACCGCAAGAAATCACAACAACAAACAAATCCGTATCAATACAAAACTTTGACGTTTTACAGATTGCTAGGTTTGATTGCCAAATAAAAATCTTAATGTTAGTTTCGTTTTTCGCCACGCCCATTCTCTTACCGCACTGTAACGTGTTAAAAACGTCACATGGATCTCCTTCGCTCGAAGAGCGAGATAGAAGACTTTTTTTTGGTTGTCTCTCTGGTCGTTTTTATCTGGCGCCCATTTTCTGTAATCTGTGCACTTTTGAATAATTATGTTGCTTACTTTATCGAGCAGTAGGCTGAATGGACGTTGTTCTCTTTGCCTACCGCCAAGACAAACTTAAGAAAAGAACTGTCACTTCACTTCAAGACCAAAATTTTTACGAGAATCATGTAAGAATCGTAATCGTAATTTTTCACATGATAATTCATTAGATTGTCAATTATTTTTTAATGATGAAACATTTTACATCATCCATACAAAATGGCGTTGACCATGCTTTAAGCTTAATTTAATTGAAAAAACGGCAAGAACCTTAGAGATTCCCTTAGATTTACATTTTTCCTTTGTTGTGAGCCATGTGCTAATCTGAGGAATGTTCGTTTTCAGCGAAAAGCGTTTTTTTTTTTATATATGGAATTTTATTTGGATATCGTATCCAAAACACGATGTTTCCCGTGATGTGGAGGTGAACCCATGGGATGTAACAACGGCCATCCTTTACATATTTGCAACACCAGACATATTTAACTACAAAGATGCAGCAAAGTCGGTAATATTCAAATTTATGGTTGTACCAGCACCCATATTAAAGGTAAATTTTCATTTAATTCTTGGTAGAGTCATAGTGTACAATAGTTTCTAAATTTAGCAGTAACCCTTTTGGACGTAAGTAATTTTGCAGTAAATTTCAATATATAGACAACCCAAAATGAGAATGGATTTGCATTAATTCCCCTTTGCGATTAATAGTTCGATGCTTTCCCGGCTAATATGGTATAATAATGTGGTAGGCCTGGCGCCCGAGTATTCTATTTAATTAATTTCGGCCTGTCCATTTCTCTCCAATTTTTTTAAATTTTTTAATATTACAGCACTTAAAGACTTTACCTTGTTTATTAAAAAGTGGGTAAGGGTTTCCTACTGAAGAGGTGTCAACGCAAACTTATTATTAAGGCTCCTTTTATTCGTCTGTCTGTCTGTCAGTGAGCTAACCTTCAAAGTTTGTACTACTATACGACACGTCGCAAAATTTACTTTAGATTTAAAATCCAGCAGATAAATGCTTAAAAAAATATTGCATGGTTTGTTTACATTTTGTCTCAGTGGAGCATGAATAGAGTATAGGTAAAGAGCGAGGTATCCCAACACAGTCCACAGTACTGTAACTTGATTCTTTGGAAAATAATTAATTATATATCTTATAGCTTTTAACAGGATTGTTGCCATGTACCTTGTTTTTTATGTCTTCGATATTTCGGCACTGTTGCAAGCGCCATGATCACGGAGTAACTGAAGTAATTGCGGGTAGATGTTATTGGTAAACATATCGGTCTACCCTCTGACGTCTGTCGAGATAATTTGTGGATTATGGAACCCGAATCAATTAAATTACACGTATCAATGATACGCAAAAATCAGCCATCGCGGAACATTTAATTGATTCGGGCCGTAATAACTGGATTGAGCTCCATAATCCACAAATTATCTCGACAGAACGCCACTACATACTGAGATTGGTCAGGGAAGCGATTGAAATAACCAAACACAAGAATTTCAATCGTGGGGATGGATTTATATTGTCAAGTGTCTGGAATCCAGTGATTCATATGTGTAAAGACCGCAAAAATCAAAAAAGTGTCGTTCCGCGATCTGATACTGTGAGTATTGTATGTCGGGAACAGCTGCGAGTGAATAGTGAGAATGTGGTGTTAGGGTTTACGAGCGCAGTAAAAGACGACGTCAGAGGGTAGACCGATATATCTACCAATAATATCTACTCGCAATTACTTCAGTTACTCCGTGATCATGGCGCTTGCAACAGTGCCGAAATAAAGTTTGAAACAATATATAATTAATTAAATATTTGTTAAATAAACTTTTATTATCTTTAATAGGTTTTGTTATATAAATAATTATTTGACTTTATCTGATTTTTAAATCTAAAGAAAATATAACTAGAAAAGATTCCACCCGGACCAGGCAGCAGACGGGACTCGAACCCGCACCCTTCGCTATCCGGGCGAATGCACTGACCAATTATGCTACCGCGGCCCTGACGGCCGCGTCGAATTTCCTCTAGCCATTCTTAAACTGGACGGCAGCGCCATCTCTTCGCATGGTAAACCACAATGTCAAATGAAAAAAAAATCAAGATACCTATGTTTCCTTTAGATCTGAACATCAAGCAGTTACATGCTTAAAAATAAAAATTATAACTTTAATTGATTTTCTTTATAAATACGCAGCTGCTCATAACTGTAGTAGTTGTTAGTGGAAACTTTGTTGATGTACGTTATTTTCTATATTTAATTAATCTAAATGTAATAAAATATTGTGTATCCCAAATAAAAATATAAATCTAAAAACCATTTTTATTTCATTTTCATTGATTGCCATACTATAAAATCTACTTACCAGTTCTAAACACACTGTTCTGTTGCGGCTGCTGGAATAATCCTCCACCACTCATATTGTTGAAACCGCCCATCATTTTGTTCTGGTTATTGCCCAACCCAGTGCCTAGACCTGTGCCTAGTTACGAAAGAAATAAGGTTATTGAATTGGTGAAGACATTTACATACATAAAACCTCAAATTATATTCAAATCCAGCTGATACTTCCTACTATATCATCATATAATCTTCCTACGGTATCATCTACTATTATATGTCCAAGTATAATGCGATTCAAATAAGAATAGGAAAGCCAATGACCTCTATCTGTCAAATGTCGCTTGAAAAGTACTTTTTGCAAAAAATTTTAGAACCCTTTTTTAGCACTCCGCTAATTCTAGAATAAAAACCAAACATTTGTAAACAAACAATGACAAATATTGATAATTAATATCGGTAGATATTTTTTTTCACTTATTGAGCTTTGGCCATGAATGGTTGATAACCTAAATCGTCAACCAAATGTCACTTTAAGTTGCGTTCAGAAACTCGATTTCAAACTTTCGTTTACATAAAGGATGCATGTTCGTATGTGACCTAGTAATAGTGCATGATTATTCATAACTACTCCGGCGGTAATGCAGAAATGAGCTAGATTCTGATTAATGTTTTTTCTCACAGTCTTAATAAATAAATATTATTATAATTCGGTGTTTTTTTTTTTCAATCTTAGTAAATAAATGTTTTTAAAAATATTTGATACTTTTTCTCACTTAATCTTAGTAAATAAGTTTTATTTGATAAAAAGTTTTTTTTTGCTCACTCTACCTATTTGATTTGAATTGACAGCTATGACATCACAATATGGCGCCCAGTCGGTCCTATTCTTAGTTGAATCGCATTATATGAGACATGAAGCAAATACTTTCCTATAAGAAAAAGGCGCCACGTGTGGGTAAAAAACAAAACAATATCGTTTATTCAGTCTATGCTGTTACAAGCACTTGTGAAGGTCAAGAAACTACGCCATCGGTTTGCAAAACTATGGCGGGAGACCTTGTACTGAGAAGAACCGGTAAGAAACTCAGCAAGGGCTGTTTTTTCTTCCTGTATTGTTATATACAGAGCCGTCAAGTTGAAAAATGACTTCAGAGATACTTCTTAAGTCACCTTCTATTACATCATTTAGAATACAGATATATAGTTACAATAAATTTTATAGTAAACTTTATATTTAGTATATAGGAAATGGCATTAGAAAGGTACCATATTACTGTTATAAAAAATGACTAATACCCATCAAATAACAAATTACAAGAAACACTATGTTCATGCATTACGATCATTTAGATAATCATCAACTTTATAATAGCCCTTATTGATAAGAGTATTCTTGTATTGATTTCAATTTGGTCAGTGGAAGCAGTGCTGCCAATCCGAATTTCAGAAAATTGGTAGATTGTGTGCCAAATGTTGGTAGAATGTAAAATGCAAAATTGGTAGATCTACGCCCTCGATTTAGAAGATTTTTTAAGATTAAAAATGCATGAACTGTTCTTAAAATGTTTATTTTTGAAAAAACCTATACATATAAATAAAATAGGAGTGCCTGTTTGTAATACTGAAATAACCGTTTTACTACATACATATGAATATATACGGTACATACACCAAAATATCATTTTTTACAATTTTTGTCTGAGTGTTCCAGCTAATCTCTGAAATGGCTGCACCGATTTTGATGGGACTTTTATTGGCAGGTAGCTGATGTAATAAGGAGTAACTTAAGCTACTTCTATTTTATAAAAAATCTTATATTTTGGAGAAAAAAAACTAAAAGTTAACGCGGACAAAATCGCGGGCGGCCGCTAGTTATACATATTTTTATTGAAAAATTTCAAATGTTCTGCGCTAGGCTGCCCGTTGTTTGCTATAAATCTTTTAGTACGCAACAATCCCTCTAGAGTCTCCTTGCAAATGCTATTTCTCTGGAAGGTTTTCATATTGTTAATTTCGGAAAACAATCTCTCAACGCTGGCGCAACTGTGTGGAAGTGTGAGTAATTTTCTCACGAATTCGCATAGCAGGGGAAACATTGGAGACTGGTCTCCTTTTTTAATGGATGAAACATGCTTCCAGAATTTAATAGGATCCACATTTTTTTCTGGGACAAGAAATGTCACGTATCTTATTAAGAATCTCCACTCTCGGTCCAATTCAGTCATGTTTTCTGGGCATAGTCCTAAAATTAAAATGTAATTTAGTTGAAAAAAATATTATAGAGCGGACAATATTAATAATTAATTATGTTTAACTTGCCTGGAAACTGAACTCCTAAATGAGCAATAGTTGTGACTGCATGTTTTTCAATGATATGTTTAGGATTCATAAATTTAAGACATCTTAATCTTTGCCTTTCATTAAAACAAAAATGGTGCTTTATTTGTTTTACACTCTCCATATAAAAGAGAATGCATTTTTCTTTAAACTCTACTATTTCCATTTCACTTATTCTAGACACAAAGTCATTGTTTCAATAGCAGGGAAATAACATTGCCACCAAGGTATATTTCTTCAATTGGTAAATGGTTCTGTTTATTTTCATATTCTAAATTAAAAATTTTGTTCTCTAAATCCAAGTTGAGATCCTTGCTACTGTTTTTTTCACCTTCAGTCAGCTGCAGTAATTCTGGTTTAATAAAACATTCCAAGATAGTTTTGTATGTTGTAAAAAATCGTTCATACAACAAATAAAGTTTAGGACTTTCTGATTGCATTACTTTACTAATGTCATGGAAATAGGGCAACACATAATCCAAAAAATTTAAGTATAGCTCTGTTGAAGGATCCATGGACTTCGCATGGAGCTGAGCTGCAAGTAGCCAGTTATTCAAAACAGCATTTTCGAAGTATAACTTTAAAGCTGGAAGCTGTTCTAAAAGGGGTTTGACCACAGGGAGTAGAGAAATCCATCTTGTTTGAGTTGAGTGTAAAAGTTTGCGGGGTTTTATATCCAGGAAGGACTGGAATTCTTTATAGTCACCCAGACGTTTTGGAAGATATTGGATATAATTGTATACATCTCTTGTAAAATACTCTACACCCCTCGGAAGAGTTTCGCAGGCATAAGAAGCACACAAATGAAATGAGTGGCAAATGCACTTCACCACAAATAAATGTGGGATCTCATTTGCAAATAGGATGGACAATAAATGGTGTGAACCAAACATAGTATTTGCACTATCAACTGCAAACCCAATCATGTTCTCTTTGTAAGGTATATTTTCAGTATGAAAATATTCTTTGCATTTATCATGTACTTCTGAGGCAGTGCCCTTTACAATTGGTATTAAACATAAAAAAATATCTTCCACATTGAAATCTACTGCTGTTCTGGCAATGAGCGCCAAGTGTTTTATTGTTGAATTTTGATTTCTTCCACCAACAATCAAAGAAAATTTTTCAGTTTGTAAAGTCTTAACTAATATTCTGTGAGATAATTTTCCTGTTACATTTGTAACAATGGCATGTGCCTTAGTTTTCTCAAATGTAATTTCTTTGGCTATATCAGAATCCGAGCAAACATTTTGTATAAGCTCCTTTAGCTCACCTGTAAAATAATATTATTTGAATACCTATAGTGTCTTACTTAAAATTGATTTGTTGTGAATGAAATTCAACAAAACATAGCCTACATTTGTTAAATAATGAATTTGGAGACGAAGCCGCAAGCATACTAACCAGCAATGTTAAAAGGTAGATTATATTTTGCCAAAAAACAAGCCATGCTTATTTCTCCATATTTGATTTTATCCTCATATGACTTTTTTGACTGAGTTTGCCCAAACTGGGTGAATGATAGTTGACTTGCTGTACCTGAAAACAAGTTATTAACTTTCAAAAAGATTGGTGTTTATATATATTTAAAAATTGATGAAACGAAACTGAGTAAAATTAGGATTTAAAATATATACATGCACAATCATAGGCAAGCAATGATAAATTAATTGATTGTTAGTAATTTCGTTTGTAAAATTTTAATTGTAAAATTTTAATTGATTATTCAATATTAATTAAACTATACTGAGCATAAAACCACGGAATAGAAGTTCACCTTTTCGCACATGCTACATGCTTTAAACTATTTGCATGTTTATTTAGAATAAATCTTCCACCAGCAAACTTAAAATCACACCTACATGCTTTGCAATAAAAATATCCTTCACCCTTGGTACTTTCCTGAAGCCAACCTGCAAATTCCTTGTCTTTCTCCCATAGTTTTGAATATTTTTGGTCATAGTGCCTTTTTCTAACTTTTCGTGGCGGAGTTCCTAACCTAGAACTCTGTGCATCGCTTTCGCTGCTATCAGAATCCATTAGAAATAAATGCACGCAACACAGAACAAACAGCAATCAGCAACGTATAATAAGTTTATTACATATATAATATGTAATAAAGTTATGAGAATTTAACAACAAAACAACACAAATCAGGAGCAGAGATTCACCATGATTCCGCAGCAAACCAACGGGGAATGTGACACAGAACAGTATAATAATGTCTATGGGCGCGAACGGCGAACTGTCGCTGACGTCTTTTTTGTCGTTTATGGCCTGGACTCTACCTAGTCAGGGCATAAATTCTGTCACATGTTTAATATAAAATAATTAAAACAAGTTTATTCATTATGTAGCCATTTATATACCAAAATGAACTTAACAAAACATAGATTCTTATGACAATAAAGTTTATTCAAAATGACCTCCGTAATTTTGAATACAGTCCTTCAATCTGCGCGGCCAGTCGTCTATCGCAGCACGAACGAGGTCCATGTCAATATCGGCGGCTGCCTTAATCAAGGATGTCTTGAGTGACTCCAAATTGGGATGAGGCTTTGAGCACGCCTTTTCCTCCAAGTGTTGCCATATCTTGTAATCTAACGGACTCAAATCTGGACTGGAGAAGGGCCAGTCTTCGTGCTGGATGAAATCGATTTCACGCGCCGCCAGCCAGTCTTGTGTGCTCTTCGCTCTATGAGCTGGCGCCGAATCTTGTTGGAATACCCAGTGCCTGTTATTGAACATGGTATGAGAAACTGGTTCCACAAGGTTCGTCAGGACTGTATTTTGATACACAACTGCATTTGTTTTTGCACCTTTCTCACAAAAATGTACCTCTGTTAAGCCCCAATAAGAAACTCCCAACCATACCATGAGCGAGGATGGAAAATGACCTCGTTGGACACGCGGAATACGGTTACTCGCTTCTTCACTACTGTGTGCGTACACCTTATCATTTTGTTCGTTGTAGCTCTCTTCTACGGTAAAAATTTTTTCATCCGAAAAAAGAATTTTCCGATATTTTTTTCCCGCGTACCGCTTCAACAAAGCGCGGCAACTCTTTAGTCTCAGGTCCATTAGACGAGCATTCAAACAATGTCCTGTATTTCTTCGATATGCCCGTAGCCCTAAGTCTTCATTTAACACCCTTTTCACCGTGGATCTGCTTAACCCCATCTGAAGGGCCAACAGTTTCTGCTTACGTTTGGGATTTCTTTGAATTCGCGCCTTCACAGCTTTTATCACTGCTGGAGTCCTAACAGACCGAGGGCGACCACTTCTTGACCTGTCATCTACACTAGAGTCTTCATTGTATCGTTTGATACATTTTTATTTTCATGAACAATTCGATATTCGAATTCAATAACCTTTTTTGTGTCCAGCATTCTAAAAGAAAAGTTTTTACTGTGTGACAATACTTATGACCTGACTGTGTATGTATGCTTGACGCTAGTTGCATGGTTCACGCAACACAATGCAACATCGCTTGTGGATATAAAAATAATTCAAAGTGGTTATATATCAAACGAATTAAAAAATAGGTAGTTTTGATGTCTAGGGTGGTAGATAGGAAGTGAAAATTGGTAGATCTACCAAAAAGTTGGTAGATATGGCATCACTGAGTGGAAGCTCAATCAGACATACTGAATCGGTGAAGACATTTACATACATGAAGTTTCAAAGCATATCCAAATCCAGTTCATATCCTTCCGACTTATCCTCTACTAATAAATGTCAAAGTATGAGATATGAAGCAAATTCTTTCTACACTCGAGAGCAATGAATCCGAGTCACTTAAAGAATCCTAAAAATCTCACTAACTAATAATGCTAGCTTAATGATATAAATTATGTTTAATAGACAATCAAATACTCGAAAAAAATCCACGCGGACCAGGCAGCGGACGGGACTCGAACCCGCATCCTTCGCTATCCGGGCGAATGCACTGACCATTATGCTACCACGGCCCTATTAGCCGCGTCGAAATTTTTCTTAGCCTTAAGCTGCAAGTGAGCGCCATCTCTTCGCTTCTTTAGGTTTAAACATCTAGCAGTTAAATACTTAAAAATAAATAAAATCATAATCAAATACTCCTTAAAATCGAATAATTTTAAAAGTTATTTCTTTGTTCATTGCTCTCGAGTGTAATAAGAAAATGGCGCCACGTGTGAGTGGTGACAAGTAGTACTAAATCTTTCGTCACTTTTTCTTTTTAGTATTAAAGTGAGGCAAAGCTATAAATTAAAAATGCTTCCATGGAGGTTGTAATAAAATACAAAAGAACCGTAAAGGATATGCACGGCGCTATATATAGGAGCGGCCGGTAAAATGCTTTACCGCACGCTCGCGTTGTATGGCCCGTAATTTCGAACTTTCGAACAACGTATACAAAACCTCCGTAAATGCATGTTTTGAGCAAATGTGTTGAAAAGACTATTGTAAACATTTAATTCTTCAATTACTATTGAAATAAGATAAATATACATTGAAATGACTACATAACTTAACCTACTTACCTACATTATAGATAATTTTAAATTAAAAAATAAATGTACCATTTTACATTACCTAGAGAAGGCTGTGAGAAACCGAAAGCTGGTGCTTGAGCGACAGGTTTCCCGAAAGTAGAATTGGCACCGAAAAGCCCGCCCGATGTCGACGTCGCCGTGCCGAAACCGCCCGACAGATTACCGAACGCTGGTGACAAGTATGATAATATTCATGATTCATCATCATCATCAGCCTATTAATGCCCCCACCGCTGGGACACAGGCCTTCCCTATGGATGGAATAGGGAGATTGGGCCATGACCCACCACGCGGGCCCATGCGGATTGGTGGGTGCTGACGACTGCAGATGCAGCCGAAATCAACGGCTTAACGTGCCTCCCGAAGCACGGAGGAGCTCTAGATAATAAATTTTTGGTCACCCATCCAATGACCGACCACTGCGAAAGTTGCTTAACTACAACGATCACAGCCGAACGCGCTAACCACTTGCGCCATCGCGCTGCTCATATTCATGGCTGTGAGAAACCGAAAGCCGGTGCTTGGGCGACGGGTTTCCCGAAGGTAGAATTGGCACCGAAAAGCCCGCCCGATGTCGACGTCGGTCGCCGTGCCGAAACCGCCCGACAGATTACCGAACGCTAGTGACAATTATAATAATATTCATGATTCATCATCATCATTAGCCTATTAATGCCCCCACCGCTAGGGCACAGGCCTTCTCTATGGATGGAACAGGGAGATTGGGCCATGACGGACCACGCGGGCCCAGTGCGGATTGGTGGGTGTTAACGACTGCAGATGCAGCCGGGACCAACAGCTTAACGTGCCTTACGAAGCACGTAGGAGTTCTAGATAGTAAATTTTTGGTGACCCATCCTCTGACCGACCACTGCGAAAGTTGCTTAACTACAACGATATATATGACCACACGGCTGAAGTGAAACTTCTTTAGCTAAATCTGTATATATATATATATATGTGTGTGTGTGAATGACCGGTGACACTTTTCGTAACGCGTAACTGGTAACGCATTCGCCAGTTTACCCCCCAGAGTCAAGCGCGCCTAAATTGTTCATTGTTTACCGATGAGTCACCGGTGACACTTTTCGTAACGCATAACGCATTCGCAAATTTGCCCCCCCAAGTCAAGCGTGCCTAAAGAAGTTTCACTACAAAAATTTACATTTACCGTAATGTGTGATTGTTCGCGTGTTTCTGTTATAACAAAACGAAATGCATACTTTGATTTGTTAATTTTTCAAATTGGGCTTTTGACAAGTTTTAGAAAACGATTTCACGTTATTGACTAATGTTTATGGAGTCCTTAAAAAGTGGATATTCATCATTCTGTAACCAAATCAAAAACTTCATTTTAAAGTTGCCGCGAAAACGTTTCTCTTCTCTGGACAATATGGCGTCTTACTAGTATGTGACGTCACACAACCGTTATTAAAACGTCAAACGATACAATGTAATGACACTTTCACCGGAAGTTTACTTGCGTGTGACGTCATCTTAGGCTCCGCCAATCCCAAGCGTTTTGGATCACGTGACAATAGACAAGAAAACTATCATCTTTTTCGTGGGTTTTTAGTAAAATTATGATTATTATTTTTTTCTTTTGTAAAAATAGTAAAAACCCCTGCATATTGGCAGGGGGTTTTATTCTAAACACAGGTGCTAACAATTGGCACTTTATTTTTAATACTGTCAAATACCCTATTACTATTGTTGGTTACGTTACCAGGTTGCGCAGTCCCAAAGGCAGGGGCGGCCTGTTGAGGCTTGTTCTGGAACAAACCGCCACCAGTGAAGCTGCCGAAACTTGTTGAGGCCGGTGCGGTGCCGAAACCAGTTGTGGCGGGCTTGGCACCGAATAGGCCGCCACTCTGTTAGAAAGAAATAAATAAATACATAAATATAAATATTTCCAACACTCAGCCTAGCCCCAAAGTAAGCACTGTAAGGCTTGTGTTATGGGATACTAGGGTAACAGATACAATACTTAAACTGATACATATATAAGTATATTTATATAGAAATACATATTAAACATCCATGACTGGAGTACAAATGCTCGTATTCATCACACAAACATCTGCCCCCACCAGGAGTCGAACCCGGGACCTTTCGAGTCGGCGACACCATGAAACCCGGCGTACAAATCACTCGGCCACGGAGGTCGTCGAGAAAGGAAAAATACAGAAAAAAACGACTTTTTTTTTTGGTATTTTATTGAAATAACCTTCTTCAGAGGAGCTCGATGGCGCGGGTGGTTAGCGCGTTCGGCTGCGATAGCTGAAGTTAAGCAACTTTCAAAGTGGTCGGTCGTTGGATGGGTGACCAAAAATCTTCTATCTCGAGTTCCTCCGTGCTTCGGAAGGCACGTTAAGCCGTTGGTCCCGGCTGCATCTGCAGTCGTTAGCACCCACTAATCCGCACTAGGCCCGCGTGGTGGATCATGGCCCAATCGCCCTATTTCATTCAGAGGCCCAAGCATGAGTGAAATGAAATAAAATTATATTTTATTCAAAATGATTTATTGAAAGCTGTTTTAAACTTTCAATATTTTTTCCTTCCACCCATTGAGGACAAGCTTTTAGCTGATAACAAGAATGGGCGCAAGAAACTCATCAGCATTTATAAATCGGAGGTCCACTCACATTTTAATTGCTGTGGCATACTATCTAATATATAAAAATTCTCGTGTCGCGGTGTTTGTGGTTAAACTCCTCCGAAACGGCTTACCCGATTCTCATGAAATTTTGTGTGCATATTGGGTAGGTCTGAGAATCGGACAACATCTATTTTTCATCCCCCTAAATGTTAAGGGTATCATCCCCTAAATTTTTTTTTTCAATTTTAGATATTTTTTTTTATTTTTTTATGATACATCATACAAAAATAAATCTCAAAATTTTCACCCTTCTACCACCAACCCCTATTTTTTTATGGCGGTACGAAGTTCGCTGGGACAGCTAGTCTTGTATATAAAATTCTCGTGTCACAATATGAAATTTCAGAATATGAAAATGTATGGCACCGCTTCCGAGGCCCGCGACAGACACGCGCGGTCGTGCGTGTCTCGACATGCTCAGCGTTCAGTAACATCTTGGATTTCATGGCGCAAACATGTCTAGGAACGCAGGAGAAAACTTCCGAACCTATCTTTCATCACAATACAAATGTTTTTGAATCAATATTTGGTAGTATCCCTCTTCATTTCTGCTTTTAAAGATAGGGTCGAATGCTTCTCTTTTTTCATAATATAACAACAGCAGCTCGTCGTCCTCCTCTTCTTCTTCATGAATGTCAATTAGCACTTCGACCATGATTTTGACTTCGGTAAACACACGTCTAGAGGGATCTCAAACTCAAACTCATTTATTCAGTCTAGGCTGTTACAAGCTCTTGTGGTATACGATGAGGCTGGCATATTCATCAGGCTGGAATAAAAGCCTCTAAAAAAAAAAGAAAAAAAAAAAAGAAAAAAGCTCTTGTGAAAGTCAAAAGCTGCGCCATCGGTTCGTAAATCTACTCGTACGGCGGGAGAACTTGTACTGAGAAGAACCGGCAAGAAACTCAGCAAGGGCTATTTTTTTCTCCCTGTTTTGTTTCATACAGTGTCGTCAATTGAAATATGACATCAAAAATTGAAAACATGTGTTGATGTCAACTTCCATCACATTAATATTATTAATTAACAAAAGTTAATAGTAAAGCTAGGTACTATTTTTAAATTTAGAAGTGGCGATTAAACAATTTTCAACCAAATCAACAAAGTAAAACGACTTAATCTATTATAATAAGCCCAAGGTGACTTATCATTTATGAAATCTTTAACAGTATAGTAACCTTTCTTAATGAGACATGTTTTTATACACACTTTAATACCTCGACCCACAAATGAACCAAGATCCTTTTGGAGTCTCTGACGAACAACATCGACTAACTTTGAGACACGGCGTCTGTCGCCGGCCTCGGATGCGGTGCCATACATTTTCATACTCTGACGATTGTCGCAAGCGACCGACGACAGTCGTTGGTCGCGCGCGGCCGCGATCAATCGCGATGCACGGAATAGTACCTTAAGCGGATCACTTTTGAGCCGCAAGTGCCGTATCTTCCCTTTTTGTTTTAATACAATACAATACACAATTCTTTATTGAAAACACCACAGTACAGTACATAAATGGGGTAAATACATTATGTTTAAACAGTGATTCAATAAGCGGTCTTATCGCTAAAAGCGATTTCTTTCAGACAACCTTTGGATGGAGAGGATTGAATGAAACTGGAGTCGGTGGTGTTATAAAAGAAACAAAGGATATAAAAATGTATATAACTATATATATACATACCATACATACACATAATATCTCTATAAGATATATACATATAAATATATGACATATACATACATAAACTGCACATATATAAGATTAATCCAGTCAGAAAAAAAAAATTGCAGCTACATCGACAAATAATGGTTGAAAACAAGATTTTTGAAAGTATGAATAGATTATGCTCGTGTGTTCTTATGGATACTGGAAGAGAATTCCACAGGCGAACAGCTTGGACGGCAAAAGAAAATCTAAGGTCTTACCTGATTCTGTGCCGGTGCGCCGAAGCCGAATGTGGAAGTGTTTGCACCGAAGGACGGCGCCTGTGTTGTGGTTGTGCCGAAAAGACCTGTGCCTGTAAACAATATCATCATCAGCCTATTAATGTAAAGGCTTAAAACGAAGCTTCTAAAAAAGTTGGAAGCATTGGGTATTAGAGGAACGCAGTTAAAACTGTTTGCAGATTATTTAGCTAATCGATCTCAATGCGTTAAAATAGGAAATATTAAAAGTGATTACCAGAAAATGACCTGCTATGGTATTCCCCAGGGAAGTATAATCGGCCCTACCCTTTTTCTCGTTTACATCAATGATTTATGTAACCTTAATTTAAAATGTGGTAAAATTATATCTTACGCCGATGATACGGCCTTGATTTTTAGCGCCAATAGTAGGTCAGAATTATATGAGGTAGCTCAACTTGGTCTTAATGGTGTAAATAACTGGCTTCGCTGCAATTTACAAACGCTGAATACTGACAAAACCAATTATATTCACTTTTCTATGCGCCAGCCTTGTCATGGGTTTACAAATCCTAACTTATACGCACACCAATGCCAATATCCTTCAGTCAATAAATGCGATTGCCCTTTAATACAGAACACATCCCATATAAAATATCTTGGTATCTTAATTAACGACACATTATCTTTTAGACAGCATATTGCAAATCTAGTAGTCAGGATCCGTAAATTAATGTATATTTTTAAAAAATTACGTACCATTGCAGGTCCAAATCTAATTAAACAGGTATATCAGGCCTTATGCCAATCAGTAATTCAATATTGTATAACTTCATGGGGTGGAGCTCTCAAAACTATTTTAATCCCTCTCGAGCGAGCTCAGAGAGCCATTTTAAAAGTAGCCAATTCACTTCCCTTCTTATATCCTACGCATCAACTTTACAAATACTGTAATGTGTTAACTGTTCGCCAGCTTTTCATTATGCACACCATATTAAAACAACACACCATTTCACCTTTTTGCTCTGATATCACTAACAAAAAACGGAAAGATATAGTCTGCATCTCTACACATGATTCAAAATACATCTTTTCACATAGATTCTCTACTTTCCTAAGTCCTTTCTTATATAATAAGTTAAATAGAGTATTAGGTATTTATACATTAAACTATTTTAACTGTAGAACTGTAATATTTAATTATTTGCATAGCCTGACATACGAGCAGACCGAAGAATTACTTCTTATTTGTAAATAAATGAACGTAACTCCATAATTTACATTTACCAACATTTATATAACGATTACTTTAAGTTCTGTTTTAATTAATTTGTTAATTTATTAATCATTCAATGTATTATTTAGATCATAAAAGCCTGAAATACAGGTACAATTTTAACTGTAACCTAGTTCAGGCATCCATTATTTTGTACTTTATATTGTTATTAGTATTATTATGCAATGTATGACCTTATTTGAATAAAGATATATTTATTATTATTATTAAAATGTCCCCACTGCTGGGACACAGGCCTTCCCTATTAGGATTAGGGAGATTGGGCCATGACCCACCACGCGGGCCGAGTGCGGGTTGGTGGATGCTAACGACTGCCGATGCAGCCGGGACCAACTTAACGTGCTTAACGTGCCTTCCGAAGCACGGAGGAGCTCGAGATAGTAAATTTTTGATCACCCATCCAATGACCGACCACTGCGAAAGTTGCTCAACTTCAACGACCGCAGCCGAACGCGCTAACCACTGGCGCCCTCGAGCTCAAACAATATAAACTAACTAAATTATTTAAATCTAAAGAAAATTTTACTAGGAAAAATACACGCGGACCAGGCAGCAGACGGGACTCCAACCAGCAAACTCCGCTATCCGGGCGGATGCACCGACCATTATGCTACCACGGCCCTATTAGCCGCGTCGAAATTTTTTTCTCGTAGCCTTAAGCTGCAAGGCAGCGCCATCTCTTCGCAATGTAGGTAAACCCACATTTTTTTTTCTAGTAAACTTTTCTTTTGATTTAAACATCTAGCAGTTAAATGCTTAAAAAATAAATAAAATCATCACCAGTAGTAGCTGTCGTGCCAAACGCTGGCTTGTTCGCGCCAAACAAACTAGTGTTGGCAGTGTTCTGTGTATTTCCGCCAAATGAGAACGTACCTGAGAAAATAAAAAATAAATGTAATCATGGACATAGAAAATTAATAGATTAAATCTAAAGAAAAAATTACTAAAAAAAAACACGCAGCCCAGGGGCCAATCGCCTAACGCGATTGCTATAACTATCGCTATCGCCTACGTTTTCATTTTGTTATTTCTGACCGCCTAAGGTTTAAAAATTCTTCGTGCTCTTTTTTCTTTCTTTTGCTTTGGTAATAACACAATTAAAAAAAATGAGCGTGAGCAAAGATAGCTGGTACAGCAGTTATAAACTGCTACACCAACCATCCTCACCTTGCCGGCCTGCAGAAATGCTTCGTCACGCCTCTCTTAAATGAAATGAAATGAAAAGTCATTTATTCAGTGTAGGCTGTTACAAGCACTTGTGAAGGTCAAGAAGCTACGCCATCGGTTCGCAAAACTACGGCGGGAGACCTTGTACTGAGAAGAACCGGCAAGAAACTCAGCAAGGGCTGTTTTTTTCTCCCTGTATTGATATATACAGAGTCGTCAAGTTGAAAAATGACTTCAGAGATATGTCTGAAGTCACCTTCCATTACATCATTTAGAATATAAATATATAGTTACAATATATTTTCATCCCCCTAAATGTTAAGGGTGGTGCCACCTTTAATTTTTTTTTGATATAGTTTTTCGTTTCTATTTTTTTATGATACTTCATACAAAAATAGATACAACCCTAAATTTTCACCCTTCTACCACCAACCCCTATTTTTCTATGGCGGTACGAAGTTCGCTGGGTCAGCTAGTATGTATATAAGATTTCACGAAAATTGCTCGAGTCGTTTCGGAGTAGTTCAATTACGCACACCGTGACACGAGAATTTTATATATTAGATATATAGCTTTTCCAAAATCCTACAGGACCCTAACGTTTTACGGGGATTGAAAGTATCATCATCAGCGTATGACGTTGCCATCGACTTACTGTGGCCACTATTCTTACACATACAAAGAAATTAGGTGACTCATTTCTTTGTCGTATTTTTTTTTATGGCGGTACGAAGTTCGCTGGGACAGCTAGTACTAATATAACTACAACATCTAGTACAATAAAAGACTCACTGGTTTGTCCAAAACCTGGTGTTGTTCCAAGGCTACTACCACCGAACATGCTGGCCACAGTAGTGGTCGCCGGTTGGCCGAAAGCTGCAAGCGAAAAACACTTTTAAACAACATAATAAATAAATAAATATTTATAACTATTATTTATATTTTGACGACCTCCCCGTGGCCGAGTGGTTTGTACGCCGGGTTTCATGGTGTCGCCGACTCGACAGGTCCTGGGTTCGAATCCCCGTGGGGGCAGATGTTTGTGTGATGAATACGAGCATTTGTACTCCAGTCATGGATATTTAATATGTATCTCTATATAAATATTCTTATACATGTACAGTATATGTATTCTATCCGTTACCCTAGCATCCTATAACACAAGCCTTACAGTGCTTACATTGGGGCTGGGCTAATTGGTGTGAGTCTTGGAAATATTTATTTATTTATTATAACACTCACACCAGTGAGCCTAGCACCAAAGTAAGCACTGTAAGGCTTGTGGTAACGGATAGAATACATATTTTTGATACATATATAAGTATATTTATATATAAATATATATATAAACATTGAGGAGCTCGATGGCTCAGGTGGTTAGAGCGTTCGACTGCGATCGTTTAAGTTAAGCAACTTTCACAGTGGTCGGTCATTGGATGGGTGACCAAAAATCTTATATCTCAAGTTCCTCCGTGCTTCGGAAGGCACGATTATCCGTTGGTCCCGACTGCATCTGCAGTCGTTAGCATTCACAGGGTACGGCCCAATCCTATTCCGTCCATAGGGCAGGCCTGTGCCCCAGCAGTGGGGACGTTAACAGGCTGATGATGATGAGATATAAACATTCATAACTAATGTACAAATGCGTCGTATTTATCGTACTAACATTTGCCCCCACCGGGATTCGAACCTGAGGCCTTTCAGTGGCATGTATACCACTCGGCCACGGATGTCGTCAAATAATAATAATGATCATTTTCTTATAGAAGTTATTTGTCTAGCATTGCTTAAACACACTTACAAAGATGAAGTATAATTTACAATTTTCAATATACATAGAAAATTAAATTACAACAACTTAAAAACTACCTAATGTATAAAATTTAAATACAAATTTCCTTAACCTAATTACGACTAATATCTAATTTACTTAATAAATATAAAGTTAATATTTAATTTTATTAAATCTGATTAATCATTATTTGCAATTACAATGAAATATGCCAAGAAGTCACTTTAACATTCATTAAATTTAATTCATGACTCTTGATTGTGACTATAATACTTCATATACAGAATGTCCCATGACTGCCACATGGCCGGAAAAATACTGGATAAAAAATTTAAGTTTTAAATTTTTATTTAAGTACTAAACATATTGCATTTAAAAAAGTTTATTAAAATAAACAAAAGAATTAGATTAAAAGAATATTACATAATCGCCTCTCTGACCTGGGAATCAAACCCACTAAATGTGAAAATTATTAAAACCTCCTCAAACTTTATCCCGCATCGACCCAGTCATAAATCAATAACTTAAAAAAAAATACCAACTATTGATCCATAATTCTATTATAAAATATACTAAATAATACTCACTGCTTCCCCCGAACAAGGGTTTGGTTTCCGTCTGCTGAGCACCGAACCCTGACCCAAACATACCGCCACCTTGGGCACCTTTTCTTCCAGCCGTGTAGTCTTCCAAACGAAGCTCTTCCAGCGATTTATTTTCATATTCCTGTATGAAACCAAGCAGAAATCACATCACAATATACTTTTTTTTACCAATTAGCCTAGCCCCCAAGTAAGTACTGTAGGCTTCTGTTATGTTGTACTAGGGTAACGGATAAAATACATATACAAGTATATTTATACAGAAATACATATTAAACATCCCTGACTGGAGTACAAATGCTCGCATTCATCACACAAACATCTGCCCCCATTGGGATTTGAACCCGGGACCTCTCGAGTTGGCGACACCTTGACACCCGGCGTAAAAACCACTTGGCGGCCACTGAAGTCGTCGAATTTGTACGTCGAATATGAATTGCGCGAGAGACACTTCCAAAGTGGTAAAATGGGGGGGGGGGGCGGGGGACACATTTTACCACTTTGGGAGTGACTCTCGCGCGTTTCGAAAAAAAATGATATTAGAAACCTCAATTTCATTTTTGAAGACCTATCCATAGATACGCCACACGTATGGGTTATTACATTTCTAAGTATGGGGAACCCCCAAAATTTATTGTTTTTTTTTCTATTTTTGTGTGAAAATCTTAATGCTTCTGTGATTATTCCACAGAATTCATCTACTTACCAAGTTTCAACAGTACAGTTCTTATAGTTTCGGAGAAAAGTGGCTGTGACATACGAACGGACAGACAGACAGACATAACGAAATTCATAAAGGTTCCGTTTTTTGCCAGTTGGCTACAGAACCTAAAAAGCAGCAATACTTTTACAATCTTGCTCGAGGAGCTCCATGGTGCAAGTGGTTAGCGCGTTCGGCTGCGATCGTTGAAGTAAGGCAACCTTCGCAATGGTCGGTCATTGGATAGGTGACCAAAAGTTTGCTATCTCGAGCTACTCCGTGCTTCGGGAGGCACGTTAAGCCGTTGGTCCCAGCTGCATCTGCAGTCGTTAGCACCCGCCAATCCGCACTGGGCCAGCGTGGTGGGTCATAGCCCAATCTCCCTATTCCATCCATAGGGAAGGCCTGCGCCCCAGCAGTGGGGGCATTATTAGCTTACCTTCATACAAGTGATGCAATGATGTTTTATATTGATGTTCTGCGAGTTGCCCCCCTTCACTACCACGTCGGTGCCCACCACTGGGCTGTATTTCACGTGACCTGTACCAGTGGCTGTTGATTGGCCGAAAGCTCCGCCGCCTAGGGGAAAAATATTATAATAAATAAATAAATATTTCCAACACTCACACAAATTAGCCCAGCCCCAAAGTAAGCACTGTAAGGCTTATGTTAAGGGATACTAGGGTAACGGATGGAATACATATATTGTACATATATACGTATATTTATATAGAGATACGTATTAAATATTCATGACTTGAGTAAAAATGCTCGTATTCATCACACAGACCTCTCGAATCGGCGACACCATAAAACCTGGCGTATAAACCACTCGGCCACGGAGGTCGTTCCCCATTATATATAAGCTATAGTTGGGTCAGGAATGATGTCTTGTTTACGTAACTTTTTTATCATTATTATTCTTAATAAAACAATGATATAACTAAAACATAAATAGTGGAGCGGTTGAAATATATGGAAAACTAGTACAAATGCAACGTTGTATTGGAAAATCAAATACCCCCCCCCCCCCCCCCCCCCCTAACACCATAAAGTAAACATAGCGTATTTTCGAAACTCAAAACATACATTCATGGCGATTCGGAACGCTTAATTAGGTAATTGTCAGTGTCAATGTCAATTTCGTATTTGTTGTAATGATGTTTATTTTGTTTGTTTGATTGATGATATTCTTCCTGCGTTTAAGTCGATCTGGTAGTTTTATCGTTTGAACAGTTCACCACGTCTATAATAAGTATTGACAGTGATGAGATAGTGACTCTTTTCTGTGGATTATCGGGGTAGTGAATTTGAAGTCCCGTGTCTGTTACTGTATCTGTTTTACAACTAATGTAAATTTTTCTAAAATGTGGTTAAACATTGACAAAATATTTTTGATAGTAAAAAGATAGATAAAAACTAAACTCTCGAGAGTAAAGGACAATGGCGAAATATTTGTTGAAGTCTATCGGGAAGCATTATTTTTCAATATTATACCGAAACCATAATAAATAATCTCCACAAAACAAAAAGAGTATGGCGCCAATTCTAACGCAAAAAACTATAGTTGTCACTGTCATGCTTGTCATCGAATTGTTATTGTTATCATTATCGTTGCTTGTGCAAGTGCATGCGTATTGCAAAGATTTAAATCGGCGTATTGTGTTTTTCTGAGATTTGTTTTTTTATGTGATCTGGACTGCATTTGGACTTTCGAAATCTTTCCCTGCGACTTTTGAGTAGTTCTTGCCTAAGACTTCCGAATCTGATTTTTTGGACGACTTCTTGCTGTGGATTTTGGACACGATTCTGTCCCATACTGTGGATTTTATTTCATTATATCTTCTATCGACAATATTGTGATCAAAGATGTGGAATAAAAAGTATATAAAAGTTTTTCATATTTAATTAATATTTCAGTACCTACCCACTGATCATACATTATCAAAAAAACATTTTTTTTCGTCACTTCTCTACGGGACCGGTATACTTCTTTAGCTCCGTTCCACGTGTTTTATATTTTGATATAAAAATACTCTTGAAAATATGTACTTGTATAATTCGTTTTGTATTACTTGGTATGACATAACCTCCAAAACTTCAAAGTAGATTATCTATAAATCCAGACTTCCTATAGTAAAAGAAATAAGACGAATCAAATCGAGAATCTCTAACTCTATAATTTAACATGCAATTCATTTATAGACGCAAAAAAAATTTTCAACAAAAATTTGTATGGGAGTTCGCCATTGTCCTTTGGTTTGATGCTAGTTGGTACGAATCTCCTAAGAAAAATGGGCGTTGTCCTTTTAATAGTTATTTCTTACAGATGTATTTGAAAACAGTCTTTCCCTCCCCTATTATAATCAAAGTATTCCCAGCGGTCTAGTACCCATTGGACCCTCAAGATTCGACCCAAAAGCAAAAAGTGCCCATTGGACCTCTTTTTTGGTGTCCATTGGACCTTCTTAAAACATTTTATATTCAATGTGCCCATTGGACCTCATTTTTGGTGCCCATTGGACCTCCTTAAAAATTTTATATTCAGTGTGCCCATTGGACCTCTTTTTAAGTGCCCATTGGACTTTCAAGATTATACCCTACTGCCAGTTCGACCTTATTAACAGTTTTGTTAAGCACAGTACAGTCATGTAGAAAATTGCAGACAAAAATAAAATTAATAGTAGGTATTATAAAGCCACTAACTAAATACTGTATAAGTACCGACTCCAAACAGTAAGTAGTCCTAAACAAATTATAAAGAAATCAGGTTACCTTTTTTCTTCGAATTAACGACATTTCGCCGTCCCCGGAGAATAAAAAGATAACTACAAAAACGTAAGTTTTCAGGAAAAATAAAAAAAAACTGTTTTTTGTCTATTGCTCTATAAATACTGGACGCAGACAGATGATAGTAACCTTTAAGAAAAGCAAATTTTTAACACATTTGGATTTTTTTGTAAGGTACTCGTACAATAAGATTATTATAGAGATATTTAGAAAATAAAAAGTGAACCAAAAGTAATCAAAATTTAATTTGTATAATGTTTATTTTTATTTTATTCGTATTGACAAGGAGCCAAAACCAAATATTGCACTACTGACATGTATTTTTATTCTATGTGTTATAAGGGTGCAAGTGACTATGATAATACTTCAATATCTTTTTTTTTTCGTAAATATTGTAAAACCTTTTTTTCTTTAAAGGACATAATATATGTTTGTGCTTTTGGTTTAAAAGAATGATCATTAATTACATTAATTTAAAATTTAATTACATTAATGATCATTAATGTAAAAAGGTTTCACTCAATAGGGCGATCGTACACATAAATACCCTTACAGCGCAACACCAAATCCACAAGACCTTTCAAATCGAACAAAGTTCGATTGATTCAAAGTTCCTTAAAACAGCTTGGATCTAGACAATCTAAGCAACATTATGGTGGATTTTGCAACGAAATCATCTTTTGATCTAAGACTGAAATTCTGAGGTAGATTGAGTGTTTTTATCGACATTTATACTCCTCTTAAGCACCTAATGAAAGGAAGGTTATAGATTCCAAGCCCAAGCAATCTCTGCGCTTAAACAAAAGGATGGCGCCGATCTCATATGTGGGAGAGAGAGAGAAAATTTGCTGTCTCGTTCCGATTTATGACCTATGTTGTAGCTAGAAAATAATCTTACAACCGTAGGCCATTGCTTAGAAAAATTACTCACATATGTATCTTAAATATTTAATTTGGTAATTTATAATGTTTTACAAAAGACTGTTAAATTTTTTATGGAGGTAGGTAGTGGGGTAGTGGGTCTTTCGGCAGACTCCAAGTTTTTATGAGACGCAGCGCACTTAATTGTGAATCGTTTGACAAAAAACTAGAATTTTATTTTATCCCGGTTTTTTATATTAAAATAACATAAATCTATCTAATAATTGATTTGCAAATGGCAAGTTTATTTATCTATTTTTTGTTGCCAAGCATCAAATATATTATATTCAATGTGTAACAAAAGCAGTGATAATAATTTTGATAATAATCCATGACTGGACTGATTGACATTTGCCATAGTGATTGAGTTGACGTTATAAGCCACCACGCACTAAAAATATGACGTTACTAAGATAGGGTAGCCAGCATACTTAAAAAATTGTTTAATTATTAAACACGATTTTAAATTAATCGGTAATGAATAAAAAAATCAAAGTATCTATTCATGTTATACAAACTTTCAAAATATATATATTTCGTCCCTGCCGGAAACCGACTACCGCTTTTGAACCATATCCTTTAGTTAAAGTATGTTTTTATTATAAGCAATTTCTGGCTAATTGTAAAAATATGATTAGAAATCATTTTTTTATAAAATGTAATATGAAAATATTACATTAGTATTTTATTTTATGAATATTTAGAATACATAATAATTGTGCTTCAATAGTTAATGTGAGTGATATAAAAACTGTATGTATAATTTAGTTAAGATATCTGATAAAAAAAACATTTCTATTTAAAAGTAAAATAACAAAATCTGTGATTTGATTATTATATTCTATGGTTTGTTGCTGATGATTGATGTTTCGAATTTTATAAATATGTTGATTTTAAATACTTACATTTATAACCTTTGTGCTTTTATTTATTTTATCAATATTTAGAATATATAATAATTGTGCTTAATCTATGTGATATAACAAACCATATTTATAATTAAGTTAAGCTATTTGATAAAAAATAATTTCTATTGGCTTTAAAAGTAAAGTAAAAAATCTGTGATTTGATTATTATATTTTTTGTAAATATTTATATTGGTTGTTACTGATGGAGAGTTATGAATTTTATAAAAATGTTGATTAAATACTTAGAATTATAACCTTTGTGTTTTTATGTCTTTTACAATGTTACTTTACTACACGATTGTACTTTACCGTTCCAAAAGAATTAGCCAAATAGTTAAGAGCTCCAATAGCTCCCATTGTGTTGTAAAGTACGTCTTTGAGGGTCCAATGGGCACCATGTTCTTGATAGGAGGTCGAACGGGCACTTTTTTGTAGGTAAGGTCCAATTAGGAGGGTCCAATGGGTACTAGACCTTCCCAGCGGTGGGTATAACGCCAAATAGGTAGATATGTGTATATATAGGGTTCTATAGGTATAGGTGTCTATACCTATAAAACCCTAAAATAAATGTAATTTCTTACCAGTAGTATTGGAAAACAGTCCTCCCCCGGTCATCGAGGTATTCTGTTGCCCAAATAGCCCAGTCCCAGCGGTGGGAGTGGCCCCGAATAGCCCACCGGTCGTGGTCCCAGCAGTGGGGGTGCTGCCGAAGCCGAAACCTGGTGACCAAAGTAAATAAGTTAGTAATAAAGCTTGTAGTTGTAAACGGAATTTGCATAAATTTTACGCATTAAACCAAAAAACTTTTGACCAAAAATTTACTATCTCTCACTCCTCCGTGCTTCGGAAGGCACGTTAAGCCGTTAGTCCCGGCTGCATCTGCAGTCGTTAGCACCCACCAATCCACATTGGGCCCGCCCAATCTCCCTATTCCATCCATAGGGAAGGCCTGTGCTCCAGCAGTGGGGGCATTAATAGGAAGATGGTGAATAGTAGTATGTCGCTTTTGCTGCTCCCTTCCGTGTTTCTCTATGCATGAAGAACCTTTTTATCGTCTCCACTAGTTAGTTACAAACACTTACCAAAAAAAAATCAATATCGTTTAAAGAAAAGTTTACTAGAAAAAAATCCAAAATTGTGGGTTACCTACAATGCGAAGAGAGGGCGCTGCCTTGCAGCTTAAGGCTAGGAAAATTTCGACGCGGCTAATAGGGCCGTGGTAGCATAATGGTCAGTGCATTCGCCCGGATAGCGAAGGATGCGGGTTCGAGTCCCGTCCGCTGCCTGGTCCGCGTGGATTTTTTTCTAGTAAACTTTTCTTTAGATTTAAACATCTAGCAGTTCAATGTTTAAAAATAAATAAAATCATAATCAATATCGTTTACTCAGTCTAGGCTGTTACAAGCACTTGTGAATGTCGAAGAACTGCGCCATCGGTTCGCAAATCTACGGCGGGAGACCTTGTACTGAGAAGAACCGGCAAGAAACTCAGCAAGGGCTGTTTTTTTTCCTCCCTGTATTTATACAGTCGTCAAATTGAAAAATGACTTCAATATGAGGTAACTCATGAAGTCACTTTCCTGTGGGTTTACCTGCGGGTTTGGCCCCAAAGGCCGAAGTGTTCTGCGCATTCCCGAACAGTCCCGTACTGACATTGGTGCCGAACCCAGTAGAGGGCGCGCTGGAGCCGAACCCGAAACCGCCTGTTGTGCTACCGAATGCCGGAGTGGATGTGGAAGCTGCTGTGTTACCGAACAGACCGCCAGTATTGTTGGATGCTCCAAATAAACCTGGTAAAAGGTGGTGTATAGAAATAAGAACATTTATTCAGAGGAACATAATACAGTGGATCCCCGGTAGTCCGACAAACATTTTGCAGGGCAGTGTCGAACTATCGAATTTGTCGGATTATAGAGTACTGCCTAAGAACCTCTATAGTCCGATTTTTTTTACAAAAGAGTACCTTATAATCCGACAAATTACAGATCCAATGATAAGATTACAAATCATACTTCGTTATGTATGTCAAATTTAATAAATTAAACAACACAATAGAAAGATTATGTTTTATTATAAAAGTAATAATAATAAATACTGATTGTGCGTACAAGTTGTAACTTGTTCAATCGTGAATTAGCGAATACTTGTATGTAATAGACGATGTCGGATTATAGGGGGTGCCGTATTAGCCAGGGGCCGGATTACCGGGGCTCCACTGTAATATAAAGAAAGTTTTACTAGAAAGAAAATCAGTATACATATACATATATATACAATCAGTACACATTTGACAATGACATTTCGTACTCGCGAACGTTACAAATTCGATATTGTTTCGTGCTAGGGGTACAGTACCCTTAGCAGGAACCAATATCGAATTCGAATAGTTTGCGAACCCGAAATGTCATTGTCAAATTTTGTATGGAAACTTGAACATCAGCGCCACAACGGACGTAACAAGAACTAAAAATTAGTACACAAAAGCAGTGGGAGATACGCGCTGAATGGCCTACACCGCCTTACTTTCTTGACAAATTATTCTTTATCTGTCACCTTTGTAGAGATGGGCGTTTAGATATTTGTGAAATCGATTGGCATCGGTATCAGATAATTCGCATCGGATGCGCGCATCGATGCCAAGTGAATGTCAGTATCGTATCAATATCAATAGGGATGATAACTAATTTTTTTTCTTCGTTTATCAGGTAGATTATCAAAAAGTATTGGACACGTATTTTTTCTTTTTTCAGATAATATAAACATTGCAGAGATATATTGATTTGAAAAGTCGCATGACGTCACGTTTGAGTACACTTATAAGTGAAAATTCACTCAAAAGTGACGTCACGAGCCCCTACTCCCAAACTTTGACGCGCTATAACTTTGTCATTTTTTGGTTGATTGCCCAAAGAAAAAATACGTGTCCATTATTTTTTGATCATCTAACTGACGGACTAAATAGAATTTCGTTTACTGTACCCCGTCATCACCCCTATTACGACAGATGCGTGTTTGCGTGTATGTCTCTCTTCGATTCCATGAATCATAATTTGTAAATGCAATCGAAACTATGTATTTACATTTCGATATGGTAACTGAAAATATCGGATGCTGGCAAAATTATTACATAAAAAATTGCACTCAGAGAGTAGGTAGGTAGGTAGTTTCTGAGGCGGATGCATACGAAACGCCATTGTCGCCAGAATCGATCCCAGACGTCCCGTGCCCACTCTGGAATGGTACCGCTGGCTCCAAAACACAATCTTCTCTCTTCGCCTCGGGTCTTCACTCTTCACTTCTCTCGAGTCCACTCCGGATCCTGTGCCATCTACGCGCGAAGTCCCGTAGCTGCCTGAAGTTTGCCTCCGATCCCACAAGGTCCCGATAGTAAACCGGCGCAACCTCGAGCACCTTCACACTGTCCAGAAGTTCCCTACGCCCCTCCCCATAGAGCTTACACTCCCACAGAGCGTGGTATGCGTCCTCTACCTCTCCCTCCCCACAGTAGATTGGAACTGTAGTCGGTAATTATAAAATTACCGCCTCCAGTAGCTGGCTGCGTAGAAGCCACCTCTCGAGTCCACTCCGGATTCTGTGTCATCTACGCGCGAAGTCCCGCAGCTGCCTGAAGTTCGCCACCAATCCCATAAGGTCACGATAGTAGACCGGCTCAACCTCGAGCACCTTCACACTGTCCAGAAGTTCCCTTCCCATACACTCCTACGGAGCATGGTATGCGTCCGCATAATATCCCTACCCACAGTAGATTGTAACTGTAGGCAATAATTGTAAACTGACCCCCTCCAGTAGCAGGCTGCGTAGAAGCTGCAGCGCCGAATGCTGGCGGGGCGCCGAAAGCACTTGTGCCAGTTGTCGGCTTGAACCCGCCGAAGGGGGAAGACGCGCTTGTGCCGGCGTTGAACGACCCTGGGGAACGGACGAAAGAGAAAAATAAATGCCTTAACCATTACCTCTCTTTTGGCAAATAAGCTAATCAATTAGTTGAAGATTTTTATTGTAAACAACGCTGAAGCGACATAAATTTAAATGGGCACACTACACTATGGCGCTAACGCTTACGTTTTCCGTTTTTATGACAATTCGGGCCAAGCAATAGTCAACTTTTTTCCGGTGTTCTGAAATGCGACTATAGCTTGGTCAGAGTTGTCGTGAAAATGGAAAATGTTCGCGATAGTGCGACATTGGTGTCGATTCTGGCATGATACTCTAAACTTAAAACTAAATTTAATATCAGTCTCTCCTTTTCATTCTGTATAGAGAATGACAAAGATAGACCGTTGTCTTTAAGTTTAGGTTTAGATAATCATGCCAGAATCGACACCGATGTGGCCGTAACATTTTAAGAAAATAATAGACACATTGTTAATGACATACCGAACGTCGATGTGCTGGTACTCCCAAATGTCGGTTTCTGGAACATTCTGAAGCAGTTTCTCTAGAGGGCTGTGTTTATGGGAAACGAGTTCAGTGACCTCTGGCCGTCCTGTCAAGCGGCCATCGCGAGAGCTGGAAAAATAAAGATTTTTATTTATTTCACATCGCTCATGTACATTATTTATTATAAGGTCTTAGTTAATAGTGAGTGGTACATGACCCCGTTGGGGTGTTGCAACAAACTTGAGCTTAACATTTTACATACATTAATTTTACGGAGCAAAAATGTTGTAGGTTTAATTCATATTAAATCAAATCAGGTCGAACCAAATTTAAACAAAATCAATCAAATTTAAAAATTAATGAAGTCAAATTATATTATTTATCATCATAGTCAAATCATAATCATATCATTTTTAAAGAAGGACACTTAAACCACAGTTAGGCCGTATACAGAAAGAAAGCCGAAAGCCGATCGGCGCTTATCGGCGTTTATCGGCGCCGATCCTTCCTACATAAAGGAAGCCGATTAAAGCAGATCAAGCAAAATGTCGGACTCATCAGACGATGATCTGGTTTTGTTAGAAAATGTGTATTTAAAAATGCGAAAAAAAGCTATACATCCTTTAAATAGAGAAAGGAAACGTTTCGGCGAATACCATCATTTATTTGTAAAAAAAATGAAATTTGATGAACAATGATTTTATACATATACAAGAATGATTCAAGAAACATTTTATTACATTTTGGATTTAGTGAAAAACCGTTTGATGAAAAATTGGTGCAATTGGCATAAACAACCAATCCTTCCAGAAGAAAGACTTGTTGTCACCATTCGGTAAGTATGAAACAAATAATTTTAGCGCTTAGTTAATAAAAGATAAAGTTATTAGATTTATAAAAAGATTATAACTTAGATTGATTTAATCTAAGGATAATAATTCAAATACAAATTATTTATTATTCGGACCAGCGCGTGTCGGCGCTTATAGGCGCCGATAGGCGCCGATCGGCGCCGGTCCATAGAAAAAGGATCAGCGCTGATCGGCGCCGATCGGCTTTCGGCTTTCTTTCTGTATACGGCCTTAGACGGGGTAAAAATTTCTTGCGACAACGGCGCGGCTTGTGTTCCGTAATGCAAGTTTATGTTTTATGAAGTAGTACACAACATTGAAATTATTTGTAATTAACTAAACGCGCTAAAAATTTTTGAAACGACCGCGCGGCTTGTGTTCAGTCGTGCAAATTTTTGTTTTTTCAACTCTGACAGAATATTAAAATTCCCTTATGCTACCGCGGCCCTGACGGCCGTGACAAAGTTCCTCTAGCCTTTCTTAAGCTGCAAGGCAGCGCCACCATCTCTTCGCATTGTAGATAACCCACAATGTCTGATGAATACCTTTACATGTATTAAATATTTGAAGGATGAAATAGCAATTATGGTTATATTTGTAATTTTTAAGCATGTAACTGCTAGATGTTTAAATCAAAAGAAAATTTTACTAGAAAAAATCTAGGCGGACCAGGCAACAGACGGGACTCGAACCCACACTTCGCTATCCTGGCGAATGCACTGGCCATTACGGAAGCTTCTACGGAACCCTTCATGGGCGAGTCCGACTCGCACTTAGCCGCTTTTTTGTCTTTGCGAATAGTTTTTACGATGTATGAAAGAAGGGGGCACAGTTTTGATAAAAACTTAATAATCACGCGACGTATTAACATGAAGATACGTTTTGGTGTACTGTTGCGTCAGTATTATTGTTGCGTCTATGGGCCTACGTAGTCAAGACGTGGGCGAGCCGAAGGATCTTTTAAAAATACAATTTATTGAAGTGAAACTTCTTTACCGGCGTTGGAAATAAATTTACCGTCACATTTTTTCGGTTACGCGTCACGTTTTTTGGTTACGCGCCACCTCATCCGAACAATTGCTTCTTCTGTCAACTTTAAAAAAAAAAGTATCGACAGCAAATATTCGTGTTTCACACAAGGTAAGGTAAGGTAAGGTAAGGTAAGGTAAGGTAAGGTAAGGTAAGGTAAGGTAAGGTAAGGTAAGGTAAGGTAAGGTAAGGTAAGGTAAGGTAAGGTAAGGTAAGGTAAGGTAAGGTAAGGTAAGGTAAGGTAAGGTAAGGTAAGGTAAGGTAAGGTAAGGTAAGGTAAGGTAAGGTGTAGTTATACCCCTTTAGTGGGTGAGTTTTTGAAAAATCTTAGCGCACGCCTATATATATATTTCTGGAAAGTTGCATGTAGATCATTTTTCGAAAAAAATAAGGCCATAAAGAAGTTTCACTTCTTACGTGTGTACACTAGTACACGCACACATTTTTTTTTTAATGGAGACGTTCATTCGTTCCAACTGCCATCTTAAGACTAACTATGAACTAATTTACAAAAGCTAAGAGAACATGTTGTTGACAGCCCGAGTTGAGCTTATCAGTTTCCGTCTGTCGATTCAGCGTTTTTTTTTTTTTACAGTTGACGGCCACGCGACTGATGAAAAGCGACGTAGCAGCCTAAGGTGGGACGCGCTTGCCTAGAAAAAACCGATTGACGCGCGGCTTCTAGAAAATGTTATGCTGACTCCGGGTTATGGTGTGATCAACATCGCCAGGCATGTTATGATGACTTGACGTTCCGGTTGAGTCAACAGACGTAACTACGTTGCCTGATTATAAACAAATAAATATATAAATAAATAAAAAAAAGTATTTCCTATGGTGCCACGCGTTGTGTGATCCGTGTGCTTCATCTGTCTTTTGTTCTATAATTTGAGAGTTGAACGCTGGCAGTACACACTGCCGGCAAGAAATCTCTCCACTAGTTTAGTCTCATCATCATCAGCCTATTAATGTCCCCACTGCTGGGGCACAAGCCGTCCCTATGGATGGAATAGGGAGATTGGGCCATGACCCACCACGCGAGCCCAGTGCGGATTGGCGGGTGCTAACGACTGCAGATGCAGCCGGGACCAACGGCTTAACGTGCCTTCCGAAGCACGGAGGAACTCGGAATAGAAGATTTTTGGTCACCCATCCAATGACCGACCACTGCGAAAGTTGCTCAACTTCAACGATCGCAGCCGAAAGCACTAACCACCTGCGCCATCGAGCCCCTCAAGTTTAGTCTACTGCCAAAAATTGAGTTCTCGCCGAGTTAACAAGACATAATCTACTCAGCGATACGTGCTTGTTCCAAACACGTCGTAATCGAACCAAGGGCGGATCCAGAGGGGGGGTCATGGGGGTCATGACCCCCCCCCCCTGGGCTGGGTCCATCTGTACCCACTTCACAATCTGTACCCACTGTGACTTGACCACGACTATATGACCCCCCCCCCTGGCGCTAAAGCTGGATCCGCCCTTGAATCGAACCCTCGCTTATAGCCCAGCGATAAAACTATCGGAACTACAAACTCGCTTCCCGCTGCTCGCCACATCGTTTCTAAACTCTATTCTGTACCCTTAGCCCGAACTAATGTCGAATTTGAATAGTTTGCGAGTGTGGAATGTCATTGTCAAAATTTTGTATAGAAACTTGAACAGCAGCACCACAACGGAATGCTCTGCCTGCTCACGTGTTCCCTGCTCTTACAACCTGGGATCCTTTAAAAGAGGCGTTAAGAAGCAAATGGCAGTCCGGCAAGGTGAGGATGGCTGGTGTGGCAGTAGAACTGCTGTACCAGCTATCTTCACGTCTGGACTTCACCATCACTTAACATCAGGTGGGGTGGAGTCATTTGTCGGACCTATCTAGAAAAAAAAACAACAGACGGAACGAGAACTAATAATACAAAATAGATAGAATTCAATTATTCTAATTCGATAATGGTTCGTGCTAAAGGTACTGTTTGTCAGTGGTGGGTAGGGCTGCCAACCCTACTATAATGCGATTCAAATAAGAATAGGAAAGTCAATGACCTCCATCTGTCAAATGTCGCTTGAAAAGTACGGCTTGCAAAAAAATCTTGGAACCATTTTTTAGCACTCGGCTAATTATGGAATATAAACCAAACATTGTAAACAAACAATAACAAATATTGTTAATTAATATTGGTTGATATTTTATTTTCATTTATTGAGCTTTGGCTATGAATGTTTGATAACCTAAATCGTCAACCAAATGTCACTTTAAGTTGCGTTCAGAAACTCAATTTAAAACTTTGGTTTACATATAGGATACATGTTCGTATGTGACCTAGTAATAGTGCATGATTATTCATAACTACTCCGGCGCAGCGGTAATGCAGAGCAGAGATGAGCGGAATTGAAGAGCTTAATTCTGATTAATGTTTTTTCTCGCAGTCTTAATAAATAAATTTTATTAAAAAATCGGATGTTTTTTCCCACTTAATCTTAGTAAATAACTTTTATTAAATAAAAAACTTTTTGGTCACTCTACCTTTTTCGTTTAAATTGACAGCTATATGTAGGCGAAACTACAATATTTTGCTTAAAGCAGATTTTTGCCAGTAAAGGCGTTCAAGGAATAAAAAGAAAAATAGTATGAGTCCTTTTATAAAATTGCGTCGCTACCGTACTCATCGGCGCATAGGAAAATTTGCATTAGTAATATTTCATTTTACGGGTGATGTTTTGAGTCTTATAAAATAATTATTAATGAACTAATTATCTAATATATAAAATTCTCGTGTTGCGGTGTTTGCGGTTAAACTCTTCCGAAACGGCTTTCCAGATTCTCATGAAATTTTGTGTGCATATTGGGTAGGTCTGAGAATCGGACATCTATTTTTCATCCCCCTAAATGTTAAGGGTAAAACACCCCTAAATGTTAAGGGTAAACCCCTAAATTTTTTTTTCAATTTTAGATAATTTTTATTTTTTTTATGATACATTAAACAAAAATACATACAACCCTAAATTTTCACCCTTCTACCACCAACCCTTATTTTTTTATGGCTAGTCAGCTAGTAAATATATATAAATATTTTAGTCATTCAATAATGGTAGATATTATGAAAGTTATTGATAGTAATTCTATTTCATTCAATATCAAAATTCGGGTAAACCTGCATTGTTTTTTGGGAAAACTCACGGAGGTTAGATGTTTTTTTTTATAATTAATGAGATAGATTTGTATCATTACTTATTTTGTGTGTTTTTATCAACTTCAATCAATGTAGAAACCGGCCAAGTGCAAGTCGGAGTTGCGCACGAAGGGTTCCATACAACAAACAGCTAAAGGAAAAATCATTCGTTTGTTTTCATCACAACTTACAAAGTGCATTATGAATCATTATTATTATCAACTTCTTGACTTTTGTTTTGTTACACAATTGATATGAGTTACTAGACTGTAGCTTTTTAATTAGTCAAGACATTTTCCTGGTAAAGCCAAAAATTTAACACAGTAAATTCAAATGACTCATCAATGTTTATTAGCATATCAGCTAATAATAACCTATGTATAAACTGTATTCCTACTGTCCAAACTCCTCTTAAACAGCTTGAATGATATCAATAAAATTGTATGGGTGCATTCTACCCGGTCTCGAAATGGTTAGATTCAGAAGAACCAGGGGGCCAATCGCCCAACGGGATTGCTATGGCTATCACTGTCGCTTACGATTTCTTTTTGTTATTTCAAATGCTTCATGTTCGTTTTTTTTCTTTTGCATTGGTTATAACAATATTAAAGAAAATGAGCGTGATGTATTTGAAAACCTTCAGTGGTCAGAAATAACAAAATAAAATCGTAAGCGATAGCGATAGCCATAGCAATTCCTTTAGGCAATTGACCCCCAGTAGGTGACACTGCAGTTGAGCATAATAACATATATAGGTGCTTATTAGTGATGTAACGAATATTCGCATATTTTTGAATATTCGCATTCACATTCGCATTCGCATAATCTCTGCGAATGCTTTGCGAATATGTTTATTAGAAAAAAACAATTTGAAGAAGTTGTAGTTCTTCCTTTCCTTGAGAATATTCATTGTTACACAGCTTGCATTTAGCTCGTTCAGCATCGCAAAGTGTGAAATAAGTCCATATTTCACTAGAATTTGATTTACTCATGTTAATAAATCACTATTCAAATCTAACCTCAAAATTCACTTGTTTTGTTTACGAAAAGACCGGCGCGAGCGGAATGACACATCAATCGGACGAGTCCATATCAACTTGGCAATTCGAATGAGACTGCCACCATGCCATAGATAATTGGCGCCTGAACAAAAACTAAATATTCGCATTCGCGAATGTCGGTACCAGATATTCGCATTCGCGAATGTTCAAAAAATGACAATCGTTACATCACTAGTGCTTATTAACAAGATGACTCTAGGTACGCTTTTACACCATGTCTACTTCCAGTCGTCAGTTAGGCATGGGACACCATGGAAGTTTGTTAATGACACCAGCACCAGCAACAATTTGGGATCGGTGCAAATGTACAGACTGTGCTCGTAAACAAGCTTAGCGGACACCTGCCCAGGTAGAAACCGTGCCCAAACTGGTCTGGATGGAAAACTGGTTGTAAACAAGTGCCCAAAGGGGTCAGTTAAACCTACCTTATTTATGTTTGTATTTTTAATACATCTTATTTTTGTTAAAAGAGTGGCAAACAAAGATATGGCCCACCTGATGAGGCTATAGACACAACACAACAGACAAATTTATACCCGGGTTAATGTGGTTGACCGCCACGAATTGAATCTGGTAGTTGAGAAGCAAACTTCAGCTCCTCAGATTATATATATTGTGAAATATGATTGATTGCTTATCTGCTATTTATTTAGGTAGGCACCTCGTGGCCTTTAATTTTTTTTCTTATTGTATTTATGTTCTGTATATTGAAGCCAATAATCATGGTTGACTGCCAGGAATTGAATCTGGTAGTTGAGAAGCAAACTTCAGCTCCTGAGATTGCATAATATTGTGAAATATGATTGATTGCTTAACTGCTATTTATTAAGGTAGGAACCTAGGTAGCCTTTTAATTTTTTTTTCTTATTGTGTTCATGTTCTGTATATTGAAGCCAATAAACACTTTTTTTGGTATGGATTTTTTATTTTTTCATACACATTGAACTCTTATCATGTTTTTGAATAAAAATTGTCGTTTTTCCTTTTGGATTGTAAACAGCAATGTCATACAACTACAATTAAAATCACATGTTATTAAGAGTTCATAATATGCAGTAGCAGCTGCAGTATACATTAGCCCCGTATTAATAAACGACAAATAAGATTGGACTAATTACTGTATGCTCTGTCTCTGTTCATTGAATTACAATTTTTTTTTTTTGAGTGTGTATGCTTTTGGTCGCAAATGTCTTTTACAGCGTCACGGGGTTTGGGGACGGCGAGATCCTAAGGGGACCTCAAGCCGAGAACGTCACCCCACGGGGGGATTCTCCTCTCCGTCTGGAGCCTCTAGAATACTCGAACCTGAGGGGGCCGGCTCAACTAGAGGGCGTCTCTGAGACTCGGACCTCGGCTCTAGTTAGCCGTTGTCGTGGGATTGAATTACAAATGGTACTTGAGTGACATGAACAAAACACAACTTAACTAAGTCTTATATTATTCCTCGTTTATTAATAAGGGACAAGGTTTTTAGGACCTGTCAACTGACTCCACCCCACCTGATATTATGTTTTAGTGAATTCCAGATGTGATAACACACAACTATGAGGCACAGATTGAAACAGCTACAGCTTGATTGTATATCCATCGGTGAAATTTGATGATTTTGCTGAAAATCATACATTTTATGGGACTGGTGAATCTTTATAATTTCGGTTGAAGTCTAATATTTCTTTCTAATATTAATATATTAAGCATTTAACTGTTTGATTTTTAAATATAAAGACAATTTTGCTAGGAAAAAACCTAATATTACTTGGTTTAATGCCTTATTTTATCTTTGGATAATGGAGAAATATAGTTTTTTTTTATTATTATCAGTCTACTTATTATGAAGATTAACGATTTTTTATATTATCAATGTAAAAACAGGCAATATATCATTAAAATCATGTCTTATTTACACAAAATGAATAATAATGATAATTATTAGAAGATAAGGTGCCTGATAAGGCTTTCACTTATCTGGAAAACTTGGTTCTTCAAATAATTACAGCTAAATAACAATAAAAAGTAGGTATGAAATTAAATTACTGACTTGCCTGAAATACTAAAAATACCTATACAAAATCAATTTTTCTCTACAATATTCAAAGCCAATATTTGTAGGTACACAAAACTTTTTTTTCACTAAATCGTCAGAGTTACCACACAGTCACCATTAAATGGAATGAAACCGTTGTTATTCTCGCTAACATTTATAAAGGCTTTGAGTGACCTCATTGCTGGCATTTCACAATATTATTGTTTACAACATAATTTCACATGATTATGTTATTATGACGTCATACGCATGGAGGGCGAAACGTAAAATGGAGTGGGGGAAGGAAAGTACTTTCCATAAAATCATATTACACCATAGTTTTGAACCATTTCAAATTTAGTTGGTCTACAAACAATGGATAAACTGTACTTCCAGGGCCCAAAAGTAAAAACTTCACAGTTTTGTTGGTTGTAATTTCGCATTTTTGTTGTTAAAAAGGTTTCTGTTAACCACATTATTAAAAAAAATGTCACACTTATGCACTGGTAGTTTTTTAGAAAAAAATATTGAAAATTTTTACTTTTCTTATCAAGTGGTGATACTTCACACTAGGTTAGGTTAGGTTAGTGTTGTGACCATAACGCGCGAGCCGAGCGAGCAAAGCGAGCGTGCCGCGGCAGCGGCCAGCGAAGCGCCAGAAAAAAAAACTGTTAAAAAGACCTTTTCTACAAAAAAAAACAAGTATCACCTTTTGGGCCCTGGAAGTACAGTTTTACCCAAACAATTGCATAACCCATATTTACTAATACTATCAATAAAACAATGTACTAACATAAAATCAAATTGATAAGAAACAGAACATAAACAAACACGCATGAACTTACACAGCTGTGTTATACTTGAAGATTTTTCGGAATTCGGAATTTGTAGCAAGTATTCACACAATTTTTTGTAGAAGACAAAGATTTCTTTATCAATTCGTGTTTATCAAACTTCCTCAAAATTCATGGTATAACCTAAACATATGCAATTAAACCAATTATTGTACACCAATCAATTATTACTCATGAGTATCTCAGTTTAGTAATAAACAAGTAAAAGGTTTATAGACCGTTTAAATATTTTAAAACAATTCAGAATATATAGAAGATCAAAATACGCAAAATACACGAATAATTTTTATGATGTCAAAAGTAAGACAGTTGTGCGACATTGACGTATAACCCACCCAATTTTAATAAACATTCCGATGCTTTAACAAAAATGCAGTAAAAAATAATATAAAGAGAAGAAACTAAACGACATTTATCAGATTTTACCTACGATTTCATCAGAAATACTATAAGTAATAAATAATGAAATTTTTATATCAATAATTTGATCTGATCATAAAATTAATCTTTCCAATGCAGTCTTTATAAATCAAAGAATAATTCGAAACCCAGTTTCTTCGGTAATTGGACTTGGATTCAGGTGTAATACAAATTTATAATTTATAATAAAACAACAACACGTTGGCTTGGCAGTTATGCTTCAACTCGCTTTCAAAATATGAAGTGAATTGTTAACTTAGTAGGGTTATAAACCTGAAGATCAATCCATTCGCACTGGATTTTCTGAATAATTAGATCTACTTACCGCTTGTAGAAGGCAAAGCAATGTTATTCACAGGTTGATTATTAAAATTTCACAGTAAAACCACTTAGAAACAGCAAAATACAAGCAAACTCCAGAGCAAAAACGCACGCGAACATCGGCTTCTGACTTTTCGACTGACGTATGACAGTGCGACTTTGACATTTGACAGCCAGCTACCAACCAAAAAAAAGTAATATTTTTGTGTGCCATACTCTGTCACCAGAAAAGTCAAAAGCCCTTATTTTTTCGCGCTAAAGAATCTTACCTCCATTGAACATTTCCCTGAACAATCAACAGATTGAAATTGTTAATAACTGTAAATTTTTAGGCATAATATATAATTCTAAAATGACTGGTGTACCTCACTTGGATAATCCAATCAGCTAGAAAGCAGAAAAAACTGTCAACATCCTTAGATCTCTATCCGGCGTCCATTGGGGATGCCACCCTTGTAGTCAGAAACAGCTATACAATGCAATAGTCCGAAGCCATTTCGAGTATGGAAGTTTGGTACTGGAACCCTGCAATAAAATACCTCTGAAGAAATTAACACAGATTCAATCCAAATGTCTTCGCATGATTAATGGCGCTATGCATTCCTCCCCAATTAACGCCATGCAGGTAGAATGCCTTCAACCCCTGCTTCATCTTAGATGCCAGCTAATGAGTGATAGATATTTATTCAATATTGCACAATACACCCACCGAAACTAAAACAAAATGGCAAACCATACTATAAATTCAACTTACTGGACTAATAAGGAACTTCCTCCGCTAGTTAAAAGTCTTAATAATCTGAAAAAGCTAACATCTCCAATCACAATCGTCTGAAATTTCTATCTTCGAAACTCCCTATGAGGCTCTCACTTTTCAATCTACAGTTTTGCTTGATTTTGGTGTAACTAAAACCTCACTGGAAGCAAATAACACGTTCCAAAAAAATTTGACGAAAGACTGGCATGACTGGTACACTCTATTTATAGATGCTTCAAAATTAAAAGAAAACGGAAATTTTGGGATAGCAGTCGGGTTCCCAAAATACAGAATCATCTTAAATTATAAATGCTCCTCCCTAATATCTGTAAACTCTGCAGAAGCCTTGGCTATATTAGAAGCCACTAAGTACATACATTTATTCCCACCAGTTAAATAAATGTATAATCTTTTCAGACTGCCTCAGTTGTCTGCAGGACATAGCTAAGCCTCCATTCCACTCCAAACAAAATTTTAGTGTCATCCTTAAGATTACTGCTACAAGATCAATCTAAAAGTCGTCTTAGGGTACGGCCAAAGTGCACTCAGATTCAGATTCAGATTCAGATTCTGAAAACAAGCGCAAGAAAGAAACAGTGTAGTTTAAGCAGGTTGCCTGCTTTTTCTCGCGCTTTGTTTTCTGAGTCTGAATCTGAATCTGAATCAGGAGTGCACTCTGGTCATGCCCTTAGGGTACGGCCACAGTGCACTCAGATTCAGAATCAGATTCAGACTCAGAAAACAAGCGCGAGAAATAAATAGTGTAGTATAAGCAGGGTGGCCATAGTGGCAGCAGGCAACCTGCTTTAACCACACTGTTTATTTATCACGTTTGTTTTCTGAGTCTGAATCTGATTCTGAATCTGAGTGCACTGTCGAGACGACAACACCAGTCGCGATGTTTGAGGTGGCAACAAAATATGAGGGCTTGTGCTTCTGCAGGAGGCAAGTCCTAGGGTACCCTACCGAAAGACTACAAGAGAGAGTTATGGCATGCGCAGCGCTATGTCTGGACGGGGCTGGAATAGTGGCTGAGCCAGACGGAAGACGTTCCATAGAAGTGCCATATAAGTGGGCGACGCGGCTCGTGCTTGTGGGCGCACGTATGCACGGGTTGCGTGCGGAGCAGGCGACTGTCTTGGCTCTCATGCTCACACCGCTCTGCAGGAGCGTAGTACATACATGGCAGAAAGTCATGTTAGGAAATCTCCGCATCGTTTAAGACAGCTGACGTAGATACTTGAGTTAACATGGGTAATTGGCCTACAGATAATCTTGATACTTATTTATGACAATATTTATGTGTTCTATGAATCCTGGAATCATACCGTTGTGATGGTGTGACTCCGGGACTTAGTGGTGTCATAACTTTATTTATACTTACAGATGGAGTAAGAAAGTGACGAGAGGCATGGACGGACATTCGCTGGTGATTGAAGGTACATACACTATAATCTGCAGTGCCGTCTTTGACCTATATTTGGCCCTGGGCCTATTAGGATAATGGGGCCCCTATGACTTCCGTTTGACAATTTAACAGGAACTAGGCACTTTGTATTTGATCTGAGGGGGCCCCGGGCGGGGCCCTGGGCACTTGCCCATAGTGCCCACTGGGAAAGACGGGTCTGTGTTAAGTAACCACCCTTTGTCACTCAATTCTCCCTTTGTCACGTGTCTATCGTCTATCGTTTTATTACGTCGTAGTTTATATTACGGAATACACCCTATGGCAGCTTTCCGAAATATACTGGCCAGTGCACTGACGTCATAAATCGACGAAATATTAAAAATAGTGCTAATAAAGAAGATTTTTTTATCACCTCATCAATTAAAAGGAATTATTTTAGTACGGATGCCATAATTGTTCTTTAAATAAAAAAGAAATTAAATTTGAATACATCTCACGCACGCTCGGTCATACGTCATATTCGTTTTCCCGGTAAAAATATGGTATATACCAGTACAATATGGCGTCGGATTCGTGACGTTATAACCACTGGCCAGTATACACCCCTGACATCCCATCACAGACCATCAAAACCTTGGTTCTTCCGCCACAAACGTATACCCAAATCTATAATATCTACCATCATTCGCATGAGACTGGGCCATTTATGTACTCCAGTTTTTCTGTCCAAAATCAAAGTACGCGATCATTCACTCTGTGAGTGTGGGTTAGATGAAAGGCCCTTGAGCACATATTGTTTCACTGCCCTAAAATTTCTATTCCCCTGTATAATTTATTGCCAAGAAAAGGCAAGCCGTCTCATTAATATTAATAGGCTAGTTGACTCTTTTTGGAAAAAGGTTTTAAATGGTTAATAAATGTTCTATTACACCGAAAAAAAATGTATTGTATTTTTTTGAGACGTAAAAAGCTACAAATCTTTAATTTTAAAATAGATTTTTCATGGACATACAAAAACGCTGTCGGCCATTTTAGTCTATAGATTATCTATGCTTTGACGTTAACTGCAGTAAACAAAAACTCTTATGCACGTAGAAAATTACTTAACTGAGTTTACAATAAAATAAACATGATTTCTAATAAATACCACGAAAAATAAAGTAATTATCATTTTTGTATTGTACGAGAATATAAAAACACATCCTTGAAGACTCTAGGAAAGTTGTGGATTAAAGTGCCGAAAGAAATTAACCTGCGCAACTTTATTACACTTATTCATATGTTGTATCAGTTATATGTTTATTACTACATTGTAATACTAAATACATTGTACTTACATAGATGCCTTGTCGTTTCTCTGCTCCGCAGAGCAGAAATCGGGGTTTAGTGCAATAAATTCACCAACCATCAATGCGTCAATTCTTGGCAGATTTGTGTTTTCTGTTTTCACAAAACCGGCATCCATAATTAGTTTTTTTCAAAAAAAAAAAACAGTAAACGCAAACTTTTCTAAAGTTAAAAGTGTTTTAAGGTAAATTTAGTCAGACGAAAGAATCCACCCACAGTATCACGCGAATGACATTTAGTTGTTTACCATAAGAGACGTCACAATCATGGCGGATGTGGCGAACAGCGTTTTTAGTGTTTAAAAAATATAGACTAAAAAATATTTTTTTAAATTAAATTTCTACAGCAATCTTCTGCTTTTATGAACTGACATCGATATATTTAGGTTCCTTAGACCAAATACTTTAAGAAATAAACATTTATTTAATACAATTCGACATGAGTCAACTAGCCTATTATATGCTTTTGTACTTGGTACAATCCCCCTTAATTTATATACTGAGCAAATTTCAGTTACAGATACTCAACGAGGCTGCAGTCGTCCGTCATACTGCACAACATTAACAAAACCGTACAGACTCAGCATATACCTTGTCTCCTTTAACCCCGAGACATTGGCAGAATCGTCACGTAATGAGACGCAGCCATAATCACCAAAAATTTAATTAAATTGTGTCTCATGCATGGCCCCTCTACACATCGACAGATGCATCTGCGGGTGCGTCCACCGACGTGTAGATGGGGTAGTTTGTGCGTCTGTGGTAGGTATTTGCTTCGATCACAGAAAGACATTTGACATCCAATATCAAATTACTTTAAAAAAGAATATTGAAATTATTAATTACTATAATTACTTTTGTGCAATATGTACATTTAAATTATGTAATTATATTAATATATATTTTTATAATAATTATTACGAAAGTTCGCCCCACTTCTGATATGCATACTCTGTAGTTCTGTACACACGCTGTTTTTTTTTGTTGAACTCAGTTTACGTATCACCTATGACTGTTACAGAAACTAGGTATTTATAAAGAGTAAATACCTAGTTTGTGTGTTTTAAACTACTTACCTACATTTACAATAGTGTCGATTCTGGCATGATTCTAAAACCTAAAATCAACAGTCAATGATGTCGATTCTGGCATGATTCTCTAAAGCTAAACTTAAATTTGACAACATAGTGCATCCTTGTCATTCTCTATACAGAATGAAAAGGAGAGACTGATGTTAAATTTAGTTATAAGTTTAGAGAATCACGCTAGAATCGGCACCAGTGTATCCTTCTGATTCTCATTACGGAATGAAAAGGAGAGGTGATGATTTAAGTTAAGGGAATCATGCCAGAATCGACACTAATTACTTTAATTATAAAGGAGATATCTAGCGGCGAGCATCTAAAAATTCCAAATCAAACTAATTGAAAATGTTGCTATACTTAAAACTTTTCTTTTCTAGTAGAATACTTTGTAGCAGGAGTTCTTTTAAAAGGTCTCATATTAATTTTATGTAACGTCATGTTTCTCAGAAACTGCTGTTATGATTCGTAAATGTTTGCATTTAAATTTTGCTTTTACAATTTTTCTTTTACCGTTATTTATTATATTAAAAAAAATATATAAAAAAAAGTTTTTTGATGTTTTTTAAAACCACGATACAAGCGAACTTTATAATTATAAAAAAGTCCTTCCTTTGCTGGGAATCGAATCCAGACCACCCGCGTAGCATTCAAATTTTCTAACATTTTTTTTAAATATTAATATTATTAAAAATGTAATTTCGCCAAAATCTGTTTCGTTCCTGTTTAGCAAATTGCATAAAGGGGAACTAAAATTTTTTGGCGATGTAATGACAGATTCATTTTATTTAAATTTCCAGTACTTTTTTCCAATTTTTATACAAAATTTTTTTTGACTTACGGTTGTCCATATTCTTTATTTACCACTGATCAAATCAAAGAGGAGATTATTCTTAAAAACATCTTTTTAACATCAATCTGCTTTAATATACTTTATTAACAGAGATTTTAATTATATGAATCGAAACATGTTAGTAGAGAAATTTCGGCACGACCGTTAGGGCTGCGGTAGTTTATACCTACTACGTAAGTAATTGGTCAGTGTATTCGCCCGGATAGAGAAGGTTGCGGGATCGAGTTCTATCTGCTACCTGGTCCGCGTCGAGTTGTTTCTGGTAAACTTTTCTTTAGATTTAAAATAATGCAAATTAGTTATCCATATATTGATTCAAAGAGTACTTATGGGTGTTCCTCAACGGTATACCGTCTCTACTCTTCATATCTTAACATGTTGGTTTGCTTTAATTAAGACAAATACGCTTACCTACTCAGGTGAAGCGTAATGCTAGATTAAGTTTATATCATGCTAGTAGCATGGTAGTTTTTTCTTTTTTGTAGTGGTCTCACCAACTGTCTCTGTCTTTCACCAACAATGGCCGGAAAGTTGATGGAAAGCGGCAAATAGTGATCGCATTTTCTTTATTTTTCTAATAACATGAGAGTTTAAAGACAAAATGAATCGTCAAATTAATTCTAAAATAGATAAGAATTCCATTTACGAACTATACAGAGCATGTCGGCTTTGTGGTGCTGGTGCTGGCTACAAAATGCCAATAATTCAGAACGTCATTGATGCAGACGGCGATGAAGTGGATTTGAAACAGAAAATACGAGAATGTGTCCAAATAGAGGTAATTAAAACAATATTCGACAAAAATACATTCATCGGTACATGGTCCAGTTACCAGAAATTAGTTTTAAATAGGTTTTTTTAAGATCACTGTAAAAGTAGGTTAAGTGCACTGTTGTCAAACAAAACTACTGTAGACATAAAACGATAGATTGGTTCTGATCACGATTACAGTGGTAACCTTTTTATGGAACATTCTAAGAACTTTAATAGCCTGCGCAGACGAGGGACTTCCGTTTGTGGACATTATTTTCCGCCTAAATTGATCGCTTACAAATGTATCGCGTAACGCATACGACGGATCAAAGTACCGCGTACAAAAAGTCCCCTGAACGACCGAGGACACCGAAAGACCGCACAGGACAAAAGTACGCGGGAGTCCCCAAAAAAATAGAACTTGTGTGACTAGGCGCAGCAACGCAAACAGTGAAATTTAGCCTGTGTTGCGACGATAGGATTTAAAATAATAGACCCATTCAGTATTCTCTTCTAAAACATCTTTGTTTCTCAAACTTCATGATAATTACAACACAACATAATCCGAGAATATTTACTTTCCAAGTTTTCAAAAATTTCAGGTGATAAATGTTCATTTAATGTGTGAATTGAGTCTGGGACAAGTCCTCCGTCGACATTTTTTTTACAATCTACAACTATTGCCCTCCGCAGGCTAAAGTTTCTTGTCTGCACAGGCCATAATATTTTAATAATATAAGTTTCCAAAACTGAAATCAATATTTCTTTCAAAAAACTTTATGTTACTGTATTTGACTGTTATTCCTATTTCATGAATAGACTTCTTTTTTCCACATCAATAGATTCCTTCTTACCATAACACTTGGGTCAAAGCGAATTTTTCTTAAGTCTCTACATTATAAGTTATATCTCCTGGTGAATTTATTTATTGGGCAACTTTCTTCTTCATTTTGATTGTGCAGCTAAGTAAATTAAAAGATTTTCTACTATATTGAATTTTGTTCTTTATAGGTACATCAAGATGATAAGATGCCTCCTTTAATCTGCGAACTCTGTGTGGACAAAGTGAACGACTTCTATGTGTTCCTGGATTTGTGTCGACAAACCAATAAGAGGACTCGGCAAAGACTCGGTCTGCCAATGCAGTCCACACATAAAGGAAACGTAAGATTTCCCTCTCTTTGCATGAAAATAATTGCAACATTTTGTTATTTGAATATGCTTTGTTTTTAGAATTAGGTCAAATTAGGACAAAATTTTCTATTAAGTTTATTCAGCTGGATTTCGAGTATAATTTATGGTTGTGAGTATAAGAAACTCAAAGGAGTTAGACAACCATAACTTTTTTAATCATCATCATCAGCCTATTAATGTCCCCACTGCTGGGGCACAGGCCTTCCCTATGGATGGAATAGGGAGATTGGGCCATGACCCACCACGCGGGCCCAGAGCGGACCAACGGCTTAACGTGCCTTCCGAAGCACGGATTAGCTCGAGATAGTAAATTTTTGGTCACCCATCCAAAGACCGACCACTGCGAAGGTTGCTTTAACTCAACGATTGCAGCCGAACGCGTTAACCACTTGCGCCATCGAGCTCCTCAATCCTTTTTTAATACATTTGGTCAGTGTTTCAGAAATCAAATAAATAAACTTATTTTTGTCTTACTACTTATATAAAATAATTTTGACTATTGATTTAGTTCCTGTCTGCATTTCTCCTTTTGGATATCAAACACAAAAGGCAACTGAAATAGGCATTACATGACTCTTTCATAGCAAAATATAGCAAATATATATAGCAAAAGCTCTTTTGCAAATGCAAATAATGTTCTATTCTACTATATTTAAGCTAATGAGCTACAGATGCTGCTTAAGTAACATTCTTTCGGCAAAACTGTGTTTTCTGGGCCCAGGAAGTGACACTTCACTGAAAGTTAGGTTAGTGTTGTGATCATAATGCGCGAGCAGAGAAAATAGGGAAAAATAGTTTATAGTGACCTTTTCTGACCTTTGCAGCAAAAAATGAGGAGTGTCAGCTCCTGGGCCTAGAAAGTACATTTTTACCATTCATTCTGTTTGTATGATAACACAAACTTTAAAAATAACTAACTATAAAATTGTATCTTATACTTTGTAACATGTCAAATATTTGATTATTTCTGTGGTTGTAACTTTAAAGTTAAGTCAGAAACATATTATTGTGTCGTGTCACGCCATAAGACAGAACACAAGCACACATTAGAGACATTTTTGTAGGCTGTGTCGTGGGCCACGACACGACATGTAAATATGTCTCTAACCATTATATGTAGGAAACCGATGTGCTTCTGGTGCGTCACGATACAACACTTTAATATTTTTGGCTTTAGTGGTAGAATGACAGATGTCTTTGGCTAATGATATCTTAACATTAATTGCAGTCTGATTCCGGTGACTGTATCTTGGGTATGACAGAGCCAGTCTATGTGAACGATGACTCTGATGAGCCCCTGTCCAAGTCGTCACCAAGGAACTCTAAACACAAAGGATCAAAATCAAATAAACCTTTGGTGAAAGTCAAAGTGAGTAGTAATCATCATCATCAACCTATTGATGTCCTCACTGCTGGGGCACAGGCCTCCCCTGTGGCTGGAATAGGGACATTTGGCCATATGGTGCGGATTAGTGGGTGATAACGACTGCTGATGCAAGCCAGACCAATGGCTTAATGTGCTTTCCGAAGCATGGAGGAGCTTAAGATAATATGTTTTTGGGTACCCATCCAAGGACGGACCATTGTGAAAGTTGCTCAACTTCCACAATCAATGCTGAACGCAGTAACCACCTGCCCATCAAGCTCCCCCAAGAGTAGTAATAAAATAAGAACTTAAAATTTAAAATAAAAAAAGACATCAAGCAAAAATATTGCGATTAGAAACGTCCCCTGAATTCCAATAAATTCTGAAGAGATTGAATCTGCATTTGCCTCTAAACGGTTCCTAAAGATTGAAGTAGACACTGCATGTATTTCAAGTCTTCAAATTGTATGGAAACCGAGCATGTCAGATTTTGAGTACTCATGGGATGATTTGATTAATAATAATTAATTTCAGACCCTATAATCCATAGAGAGTTAGTTATATTAAAACTTAGAAACTATGTTAGTACAATTCCATTTAACCTATTTTCTATATTTAATGTTAGTGGGGACTTCGGACATTATGTGATAGTTGTAATAAGCAATATACACAAGTAGTCATATTATTGTCATATGTCTGTATGTAGAATGGTTATAGATAATGAATATAAGCTTGTTTACATATAATATATCGAAAAAAGAAGTAAACCTACAGTATATTTTGTTTTGCTGGAACAAGTAAAATGGTTGGTCGTTTTTACCAATGAATATCAATATGAAATCTATCCATATTCATTGGCTATAAGTCGTTTTAAGCGATATTCCGCTATATCTTGGCACTAACGGTCATATGTAATCGCGCCATAAGTGAAGAAGAAAGAGAAAGAAGAAAAAGCTTTTATTGACCTTATTCATAAGTAGGTAAAAAAAACAATAAACATAGCAATAAAAATAAAATACGTCAGTAAGCAAAAATATGCAGAGAAAAAAAAGGCCAATCAGGACCCTGCCTCAGCTTAATATTGTTATAGTAGGAAGTTAATATTCCCACCATAACAGTGCTGGTATTCTGGCAGATCCTGTACGAGATTGCTAGAGACAACAGTATACATCTTATATATAAAATTCTTGTGTCACAATGTTAGTTACCATACTCCTCCGAAACAGCCTGACCGATTTTTATGAAATTTTATATGCATATTCCGTGGGTCTGAGAATCGGCTACTATCTATTTTTCATATACTTAAGTGATAATATTTGTCCACCGGTAACATAGTGTTCTGAAACCTACACTGCGCCTTCGCGTCAAAATGCAAACTATTGGGTATTGTAACGTAATGTTCTCATATGGGTTAGGAGGAATGTTATCCCAGGAAATTGATAGAACTACGTTCCACACCCCTAAAATTTTTTTTGGACAATATTTATTTTTTATAATGTGGTATTAAAGACTTCATACATCCCTAAATTTTTTCTTCTACCACCTGCCCCTTTATTTATGAAGTTCGCTGGGTAAGGTAGTTTTATTATAAAATGGAGTAAAAAAAAACTTATAAGTGTACCATAAGTGTATAAAGATGAGCTATTTATCGTCCTTCAAAGGTGGAGAAACCTGAACCTCGCGACAGCCGCCATAGTCGCGGGGTCAAGTCGTCACCTCACGCGGGCCAGAAGCGGCCCGCCCCGCCCGAGCCGGGCCCGCGCGTCACCAGGCACGCGCGCAACACTAACGATGATAATATCACGCTGAACACCCTGAGGGTAAAATATAAATAAATAAATAAGTATTTCCAACACTCACACCAATTAGCCTAGCCCCAAAGTAAGCACACATAAGGCTTGTGTTATGGGATACTAGGGTAACGGATAGAATACATATACTTTACATATATAAGTATATTTATATAAAGATACATATTAAATATCCATGACTGGAGTACAAATGCTCGTGTTCATCACACAAACATCTGCCCCCACCGGGATTCGAACCCGGGACCTCTCGAGTCGGCGACGCCATGAAACCCGGCGTACAAACCACTCGGCCACGGAGGTCGACGGGTAAGTGCTAGTAGTAGAATAACTAAACTTAAACCTGGACTAAAACTAATGCTGTCACTTTTGCTTGCTAAAAAGAAGACGCAGACTACATTGGGTTTAAACCAACTTTAGTTCCCGTTTTGGAATAAGGCGGTCAAAGTCAGTACGCCTAACACTAACGATGACAATATCACACTGAACACCCTGAGGGTAAGTGCTAGTAAGTAATGGAATAACTAAACCTGGACTAAAACAGATGCTGTCACCTTTGCTTGCTAAAAAGAAGACGCAGACTACATTAGGTTTCAACCAAGACTAACTTTAGTCCCCGTTTTGGAATAAGGCGGTCAAAGTCAGTACGCCTAACAC